GCGAAAAGGGGTGAGGGTCTTGTTCTTGACCTCGGGAATGAGCACAGCATTCATCTACTTTACTGCTTTGATATTTCAAGTCAAGAGAGCGTATCCTACATTCCCCAGAGAGTTCTCTCTATCATTTAAGGATGAATTATCATTTAAACAGTATCTGCAACACGACGTCTAGAACAATATCTCTTCAGAGTGCAATCTCATTTGTCTCTGTAGTTTTGATGGCCCCAATCAATCCTTTTTGTTTCACAAAGGATCTGCCTACATCCGTCTTCTTGTATGTATTCCTCATGTCACCTGTTGCACCCTCCATTGAGGCTGTGAACCATATCTTTTTTTTTTTTCTTTTTTTTTTGCAATGACAAGAACTCTTTCTCTCCTCTTTCTGCTCCTCCCTCTCCACTTTCTCCTTCCACTTTCGAACAGTGGAGAAAAAAAAATGTTATTTTTCCTGTTTTTTTTAAAAAAACAAAAATAGTTGTATTTCATTCAGTACACTTTTTGCTACTTTCCTTTCCCTATGCTTATGGCCTAATCCATTGGGTTTAATAGATAGAGGAATGGGAAGGAGGTGAGGGCTCTCTAAAGACGTGCATATAGCCATCAATAGAATGAAACCAAAATAATAAATGGCCCAAAAACAGGTTCCCCTCATCTTGGATCAAAACTTTCCGGTCGACCGCATCGCATGCCCTTTTGTTGGCAGCAAGCTTATTGAACGATATCGCTGGGAGCTGAATAAAGGCTGGGCTGAATAGAAAAAACAGATACCTGTCCTATCAGGATAATAAATGAAAGTGTAAGAAAAACTGGAGGATGCCAAGCCTGTTCAGGAAGTAAGGCCATATATAACAGTGAATCCTTTATCCCTCCTGTTTATTCTACTCTTTATTTTATTATTATTATTAACATTATTATTAACATTATTATTAACATTATTATTAACATTATTATCATTACTATCTTATTAGTATTATTATCTTTATACATAATGGTCTTGGCGTTGTGCTAGGACAGGAGGGGCTTCTCAAACCATTCAAAGATTGTTACTGATGGCTGTGATCATGATAGGGATTGCTGCTTTCTGCAACGAGCAACAGGATTGGCGCAGCTTCTGTTTTGCCTTTTTTCCTTGAATGATGAGGATTGGTGCATACATAATCATACCGCATGTTATCTGCTAGGGCAAACGGAGGTAGAATGTTTCTGCTGCGCTATACGTTTATTATTTTTTCTTCATGAAGAGAAGAGAACATTCAATGGATAATGTTGTTACACTGAGTTAAAGGCTCACTCGCCTCCATTCCGGTTGATGCACGGTACACAAATATCGAGTTAAAAAGCGTTGTGGAGAGACAGGCTCCCCAAAGGCTTGGCTGGATTGAAGGATGCCTTTTTACCTTATTTTATCTTTTTGCAACTCTGAAAAAGATGGACAGCAGCGTTAGAGAATACGGAAATAATGAGTCTCTACAACGACATAGTACGTTAGTAAGCCAGCAGCGACCACACACAGAGGAAAGAGATGAGTAACATATCCACCTAGGGGCTAAATAAAAAACAGGGGGTCACAGAAGGTCATTGAAGTAAAAGCTTCTTTTCTTTTTGCCTTCAATCCTAGTCACGCAGTCCTGGTTTTTGTTGTAGATGATGGAGCTGATGATGATGGATCTAATGCAAAGAAAAGATAAAGGCAAAGACAAAGACAAAGACAAAGGCAAAGCAAAGTAAAGATAAGGGGTAGGAGGTTTTTTTTTGTTCTAAGCAAGCAAGCGGAGACAACCTCACTACAATGAGATATCAGAAGGAGTAATATAAATAGTGGCATTATCTGGACGTCCAAGGTCTTTGGTGATACTTCTGCTATATTAAAAAGAAAATGGCCCAATACGAAGCATTTCAAGGTGAGTGGATGGATCAAGAGTAAAATGATGTTTCGACTGCGGTATAGAGCTAATTCAATCAGCAGGAAGCAGATAGCATACAGTATCAGAAGGAAGAAGCAAAAGAGAAATAGAAGCAACTGGGGCATCAAGTATGGGTCTTGGACTGGTGGACGGTATTCCGAGCCGTGTTTTAAAGACCATCGGGTATGGCAACAGGAAAGAAGGACTGGGAAAGAGAAGTATATGAAGGGCAGTAGCAAGGACTAAGATAACAAGAGGGAGGGAGAAAGAGCGCAAGAGTAAAGTAAAGCCGAGTGGAGCTACCTGAAGATAAAAAAAAAAAGGAAGAGTGGATGATGGGATGGCAAAGGTGCCGATGCCAAGAGTCAGTATGGATGGACTAATTAAGCGGCAACATAGAACAAAAGATACCGAGGAAAGAAGATGGAGTGGGGAAGGAGGCCTAGGCTAGAAGTGAGCGTTGAAAGGAACTTAACGGTTAGGATGAAGATAGAGGTAGGCAAGTAGGATGACAGCAAGCTGGCGATCGTAGTGGAAGTGTGAGGTGGCGTAGCTCTATAAAAGGGAGACTCTCGCGTCCCTGCTTTTCCCTCTTTTTTCTCTTTTTTCTTCCTTCTGTCTCTCACATCTCTCCTCATTTCTTTTGATTTTTCACTTTTCCCTCGCATCCCGAACACTCGAGATCTGATTCGCCCCAAAGTGCTCCTTGTGACAATTCAATCAGACTATTTTGTACGCCTACATATATTTGTTGTTAACTTATTTACATTGTATTAGATTTTATTGCATTGTATTGTATCATGTATTATGTATTTCGATAGTTGCCTTTGATAACAAAACAACAAAAAAAAAAAAAAAAAAACACGCAGGCATCATCATCACTGACCACTGCGATGTTTTGCTTATTTTTCTTTGCTTTACTCGCTTTTGCCTTAAAGCATAACAACTAGCAGACTAAACAAAAGAAGAAAAAGTATTAACGGAATCAACATTACAAGGTAGGACATAAACTATCTAATATCAAGTAGGGAGGATCCACCTCTCCTGCTGCTGCTGCTGCTTGCTGTTGCCATTGTTGCCACTATCACTTGTTTGTTTCTGCTCGATCCAGTTCCTTGACAGATCTCTAGTAGACAGCACCTTGGTGCACAGCAAAAAAAAAAAAAAAAAAAAAAAATCTAAAAGCGACATTTGTGCAAGGGAAAAAGGGACATGGGAGCAGCCTGACATTGTGATGTCTATTCTTCTATATACAAATATGATTTGAACGTGTTGTTTATCCCATTGCTGTCGTAATAGCTGACATCGCACGTTGGACAACAACAACAACAGTAACAGTAACAGCAGACCCCTATCTTAAGTTAAACAAAAAAAAAAAAAAAAAAGTGTATGAAGGAAGTTCCTTATTCCTCATTCTCCATACTTTCTTTTTGATGGGTTTCTTTGCACTACAGCTCCTTGAAGCCACTCTAAGTATTACTGTCTGTATCGAAAGCAAGAAAATAAGAAAACAAGAAAAAAAACGTACAGCATCGGTTATTGAATAGTGATATCAGGCAAGTACCCTTTTTTCCCTTTACGTACCATTCTGTGGCCTGTACTTTTTTGTACTGTTATTGTGTTGGTCCAGTACAAGAGAAGTTGCACTTGTGGTCATCCGACAGCAATAATCCCGAAAGGCCATAAAGCACGGTGGTGAAGAGATAGGTTACTTGCTCGCAACCATTCATTATCGTTGCGTTAACGATCATTTGATGGTCATGTCTTTTGTTATTGCGTTGAAGACTCAGTCTTTATAAAACTTGGTTTTTTGTACGGAAGAAGGCTTCCTTCGGGTTTCTATATTTGTTTCATGCTATGAGGTGTATTATAAGTTAAAAGGAGCTTCACTAGCAGTCGAGAGGAGGTTCGGACAAAGAGTTGAAAGGAAAAAGGGTTTCTACACATTTGCTAATTATGGTATATGAATAGTGAATCTGGCAGTGCCAAGGGTGGAGGCGGTGTTTTTATGTTTCGAGTAACCATTTGAGGAGACGGAGCATAGGTTTCATGGGGCTGAATGTGGGAAGCAATACCTCGACTTACTGCCATAAGGAATGAAGTAATGCGATGGAGTCAAGGATCTTTCTCGTCCTTGGCTCGTTCCTTTCTTTATTGCTTACTGTGTTTTGTTCTGTTTCTCATTAAATCCATAAGCACATACGAGGATATGTGATGGCAATCAGCCAAGCCGTATGTGTGTGTGTGTATAACTGGATTGATCGAAGCCGATGTATCGTGGGCCGCAAGCGCAGATTTGCATGCGCCTTCTGATACTCTGCCCTGGCCAAGCTAAAAAAAAAAAAAAAAAAAAAAAAAAGTGCATTTCTGAGTCGCTTTATTTACTCTCCCCCTCTTTATTTTTTATTTCCAGCATTTTCCATCGTCTACTATTGACTCGCTGTTCCAAACACCTTTACGAGACGACGTTTCGTTGCGATCTCCACGAGCGAATAGCCATCCACTCTGAGCTGAGCTTGGCAGGCAGAAAAGTATTATTTTGAAAAATATTCGCCCTGTAAGTGTATTGCTATGTGGGATATAACGACTTTTATTTACTATTGATATTTTTGGGGGAGTGGTCCTTCCTTTCCTTCTCTTTTGCGTGACAATCGATTATTCACTTTTGGAGCATGCGGCAACAAGCAGCCCCGTCTTTCTTTCTTTCTTTCTTTCCTTCTTTCTTTATTGCTAAAAGGCTCGGGTATGGATATGGAATATAAAAGATAGTAAAAAATGATGGGATATGCATTGTCTCTATGACTCGCAATGATCGTCTAAAACCCGAGTAGGAAAATTAATCATCGTCTGAAAGAGTGAGCAACTGCTCCTTTTGCTTATTCATCCTCCGACCAAACTAACTCGCCTACTACTTTGAATTGCTGCTGTAAACGAGCACGCGGAAGCATGGAGTTTTCTTTAATTATCATCCTATTTTTATGTATGCCCATTTTATTAATGATTATAGTTTCCCTTCTGTCTTCTACTCTACTACATGTCTTGTATAGACCGAATCACAAACACACTCAACACATACAACACCAGGCTCGAAATAAGATGGATTCAGAGTTCTGTGAATATGATCTGGCAGAGGACCATCCTGGCTATAGTCTACCAGTTAGCAACATCGCTTACCATATTGATAACGAAGATAACTGTCGAGCAGGTCAAGCTGCCGTGGCGCAAAGAGCATTTCAGCGCATCCTAGATTCATATGACGAATACGAAAGACTGGCAGACAGCTTTCAGCTGGAGCTTGACAAGCGACAGGAGCTGATCAATGCTCGTAAGGAGCGTGAGAAGGCTATGCGTGAAGAACTGCAACGACAGCTCAAGGAGGAGAAACGGATGAAGAAGATGGGAAGGACCAAATCAACATCATCAACATCAGTATCAGCCTCTCCATCAATAGCCGCATCAAATCCGTTGATTTCTCGACAGCCTTATTTCCACCCATACAGATTCACGCCGCAGCGGTTCAACGGAGTGTCATTCACAGATCAGGGGCGTGGATTTCCCGCATACAAGCACGACATTAACTGCAATTTTACTTTTACTGAAGGCTATGACCAAAACTGGAACTGTAGACAACGATCACACACTGTGATCTCATCTGAATCACAATCTCATTCGAGTCCAGATCATCTTCCGAATCTAGTCCATGGCGCAATTCACTCAACCGAACGATCTCCCACCAACTCCCCTGTTCTCCCTCTGACACCGTCGCCACCACTTGGACCATCCGATGCTGCTACCACAGCTATTGACATGAATGTCACATCGTCCAAGCCCAGCCTTCCCACAACTGTTGATTTATTATCATCGTCATCTATACCACTGCTTCCTGCCTCAGAGCCAACAGGCACATTCAGCACTGCTCCATGTTTAGGATCACAGCTAGAACAGCGACATCATATGTGCAAAAAGCGTAAGCAGGCCATTCCGGTTCATCCTTCTGTTGTTAACCGCATCCCTGGCATTACCCTTAGAATCCAGCCGGATACCGAACAGCATTTGCAGGTCGAAGTACTCAAGAATGTGGAGGACTATCGATTGGTAGACCACAGAAATGGTGATGACATTGTACCATCATTGGATCAGAAAAATGAAGATACGAGTATCCGTGGTAGTAGTGAACTGCAACAACAATTTCAAGCAAGGCAAGATCTGGATAAGATCAGAGAATCAATTGAATCTAGTCGGCCTGGATATGGATTTTTTTCCTCCTCAGCCTTATACCCTTTTACGCGACTGCCAAAAGATATTGATTGGGAAGCAAGAGCTCATGAAGTGCATATGCGCAATCCAGCTATAATGCAGCGTTATCAGAAACATCACCGTCGTCAAAGTAGCGCCAGCCGAAATAGGAGTTTAGATTTATATGATCCGACTGGAACTAGACTGAATGTAGTAATTGGTGATCAAAACAAATCACACATGACCTCAACAAGCTCTACTCTGGCCAGGGGGGCCTCACCGCTCTCATGGGACAACTTTTTGAATCGTGATTGTCAAGTCAACAAAGTCATTGGTATGCACGATAAAGACTTTGATGTTCTGGAAGGGATTGTCCAGGAGGCTGTCGCGCGTCAACAAGCAGCTTCTCATCAGTCTTCTGAGGAGCCAGAAGATTCACTTCATCAAAATAACCGCCACCATGCTTCTTCTCACTCAGCAGAAGAACAGGGGGCTGGTACAACGAAATCATCATCGGCGAGCTCATCCAAATCATTGACAAAGAATCAAGCTACCTCACCAAGAAAGCCCACTGGATCGAGTTTGGTATCAAAGGTTCCAAAGACTACTCGTGCTACAGGCATCCGTGCAACACGTGGTGGGGCGGCAGAGCTTGTGGAAGGCTATGATGACATCGAGCGGGTTATGAAGGAAAAACGACTAAAGAAGCGTGAGGAAATGCGTCGCAGAGAGGAGAATCGAATGACTTCTGAACCAATCACAGATATTAGCCACGAGAGTGACCATGAGCTTATGGACAAGCGTGGCGTGAGCGAAGCTTTGAGTGTCGATGATGATGGAGACACCCGTATGACCGAGCATCATCCTGAGGAAATCAAGCAGGAAGTGACAGAAAGTGACATCGCAACAAAAGCACGTGCCATGACTAATGAAAACAGTAATAGGGATCATCAAACTAAGCACCGGAAATCCGCTAGCTCAACGACTGTCCCTGGCTCACCACCATCGCCACCTCACTCTCGACAGGTGACCCCGTTCAGAAATGAGCCCGCCACGGATTCCAGGAAATCAAGCGTTTCGATGTCGTCCGTTCAAATTCAGCCTATTGTATACACCACCACTCAAACTCGGGAATCACATACTTCCAGTACCCCACCTGCAACACCAACAAGGACAACGACCCTACCACCGCCAGTATCGTCAGTACGAGGGAGGACAAGGTCAGGTTCAGTTGCAGGTCTTTTGGAGAGTGGTAGTGCTCTGGAAGAGCAGCAAATCTTGGAAAAAGGCAAAAATCATTTTTACGACTCCAAGTTGGATGAAATTGCTGCGAAAGAGAGAGCGAAACGAAAACAGAAAAAGGAAGCAGCAGCAGCAGCAGTAGCAGCAGCAGTGGCCGCCGCCGCCGCCGCTGCCACCACTCGTGACGAAGCAACATCAGCCGCCAATTGTAATGGCGATCAAGACAATAGCCAGGGACAAGGAGAGAGGCGTGCGATGGATACGGATGATACAAAAGAGAATAAGACAGACCTCAATGATAACATTGTTGTCGTTAAAGAGGGACCATCTAGGACTAATCCGGATTTACAGACTCTGAAGGGTGAAGCTGGGGATGTCAAGTCCTTATGCAAAGATCCTGTGCAACTAAGCATGACCAATTTACCGAAATCATCCAAGTTCTTGCCCGGACGTGTCTTACGCACAGCTCGGACAAAGGCTGTGGATCCGTTGTACATTGCAGATTCATCCAGCGTGGCAGGCCCACTGTCGACGGTAGAAGCGCGTAGTGGCACTGGTGCTGATCGTGGCGTAGCTCGAGGAAATGATTTTATGGAGACATTGGATCCCGACTGCACATCATGCCGACTAGTAGTAAATGAGTTGGATAGGGCCTCGTGGAAGCAAGCACGTCAGGCTGGTGAGATTCATCTCAACCTTAAGAGATGGGGCAAAGGAGCTATCTTGTGTAATCGATGCAGGCCAGAGTACCAGAAACACCATCTGCGTTGTACTCAATGCTTTTATGTCCCGGTTATTACGGATGGTTTGATCGGTCGTCCTGGGGCTCCGAAAGCCGGGGGAACTTGCACGCGTTGCAAGGCTGGCACTTGGTTCCATGAGATTGACCACTAAATGCGAATGCAAATAGTATTTTCTTTTTTCTTTTTTCTTTTTTTTTTTTTTTTTTTTAGTAATGCATGCGTGTATGAAAAATCGCGCACATGCAATATGTACATTTATTACAGTAACACAACGCACATGTACATCATACATACACAATTTGCTTTTTACTTGATCAAATTTCTTTCATCCAATTCATCATTTCAAAAAAAGAAAAAAAAAAAAAATTGTATAATAATAAAAAACGTTTTCAGCATACAACTGATTATATAACCAAATGGATGTCTATTGAGGGCTTCTGTCATTTGCTAATATATCCCAGTCTTTATCATGTAATGATGACGCCTGCAGACCCAATGGATCGATTGAATTGAGCTCCTCAACTAAAATGTCGCGCGCCAAAACTTCGAATTCTTTATAAATTAATGATAGTATTTTCTAAGGAAGAAGAAATTAACGGAAAAAAAAAAAAAAAAAAAAAAAAAAACGGGCTTTTATTTTAGTTGATCCGTTGTATTGGTTGATCAAGAAAGTCGTGTAATTTTTTTTTACCTTGAATCGTGTGTCCACCTTTTGGAACATGTCAAGAGTTTGAACTGTCCATGAATGCTCCTTCTGTAGTTCCAAATAAAGTTTCTCATAGGTTTGTTTGATCATATCACAAAGGGTTGCTGTTGTGATCACATAATCGAAATTAAAAGGCTATGTCGGAAAAAAAAAAAAAAAAAAAAAAAAAAAAAGTTAAACACGTGGCATAGATTTTATGTTTCAAAATAATTTGCAAACTCTTTAAAAAAAAAAAAAAAAAAAAAAAAAAAAAAAGGTGAGAAAAAGAAAGGGCGTTACAGATTTAGGCCTTGATTCTACAAAAGTCAAAGACTCATGCTCCTTAAGGAGTTGGGCTAATGCTTTGAGAAAATCGCCTGTAGTTGGAATATCGAACATGGCTGCAAGAGATGTTCCCAAGTAGAAAAATTGCAAGGCCCTATAATAAGTATAAAAAGAAAGATGTAAAGAAATAAATAGACAAGCTTGGTGACCAATACTGTTATTGCTATCACCACTATCACCACTATCACCACTATCATCAGTATTGTTGGGTGTCTCTTCCCTCCTTTTGGGCTGTCTCAAGGATTTGGATAATGAACATCTTGGTTTGGGTTGGTTGAAGGAAAAGAAGAATGAATCGTGTGATCAACTCCTGTGTTACAAAAAAAAAAAAAATTCCGACTTTATTTGATCGTGGCAAAATTGGCTTTGTACGACCATGCAATTATTCATGTATTGCCCAAAGATCGAAACTAAAACACAATCAAGACTTCTCTGTTATTGTTGTTAATTCTTTCAGTTCCCTCTTTCCCTCTCCTCCTATCTCCCGCCCCCACGCGTATGCACGGACATCGATTCATATATTAAAAGCTATTTCATCTCCAATCTTTAATCGTCCTTTTCACCTTTTTTTTTTTTTTTTTTTTTTTTTGTGTACGAATGTTTCCTTCCTTTACTATCCTTCTCTATTTTCATTTAAATTTGATAATGATTTGAAAGATCAAATTAAAGAAGAACATGATAAACAAAAAGTAATATAAATGTTTTTTTTTTTCCTTTTCTTTGTCCCTATCCTTCCTTCCTATTTATTATTAATCGATCTTTGAAGGAGTATTTTCCTTTTTTTCACAAATGAAGCACCATCACAAGATCATCTATTATATCTATAAATCGTATCAATCTAATGTCATATCGCATCATATCAGATCCCTTTTTTTTTTACCTTCGTTGCATCTTTTCCTCTGTCCAGATATATCTCATATCTTGCTCTGATATCAATGCTGTGTTATAGAAGACCAGTCCACCTTGAAACATTTGTGTCAAGTATTGCCATGAGGCTGCTCGTTTTAAAAGGCATCCTGGAACCCATTCTTGTTGCTGTAGATGTGTCATCTGGATGACATTTGACGCGTGGGCTATCATCAACCCAGAAGATCCCATTCCAGATATTCCAATGCCTGACATCTTTCTTTCTTTCTTTCTTTTTTTTTTTTGGGAGGGAGGGACAAAGTCTTAGTATAGTAGAGAAATGAAAGAAGGTAAAATAAAAAAAAAAATAATAATAATAATAATAAAAAAAAGAAATAAAGCTTGTTGTGGAGCAGAATTGTATATAACTCTATGAATATGAGAATCAACGCGCCTATTCCATAAAGCGTTTGAAAATCTTGAAGTAGTTTGTGTGGCTGGAGAATTTTGAACGTCAAAAAGGAGCAGCAGAGGTCCGAAGTGAAAAGAAGAAGAAAAAAAAAAAAAAAAAAAAAAAGTGCGGAATGAGAGAAAGGAATGAGAGTGAATGAGTCGAATGTCCCAAGTCTTAAATGAACCATGGAGTCTTTTTTTGGAGGACACTGTGAGAAAACAAAAGTGAAATTCAGGCACCGCATTGGAACAGAGGCATAGAGGGACTAGATTGCTTTATGAAAGAGATCATTGCACTCGAATTATGTCCGATCATTAATGCTCTAGGCTGAAGGCTCTTTTTTTTTTTTTTCCTTCAAAATGTTCACATAGACATCATTTGTACTGTTGTGTCCGTGGAAGAGCTAGACCAACCTTGATTGCTCTATTTTTCTTCATGAGAGAAAGGCTTTTTCTTTCTAGTCTCTTACATAATAACACACGGACGTCCATTTTTGGATCCGTCTCTACCATGCTTAATTGCCTCATCAACTTGGGCTTTCAACCGCTTTCCTTCCAGCCCCAACGACCCTGGACGACGACTTGCCAAAGTGAACCATTTTTGTGCTTGCATCAAATCTCTTTTGGACGGATCCCATTCATTGATCATCCGTGGCTCTGACTGAGACTGAGGGGTCTCATCTTGGAAGTAGTATGCCCCAAGACTCAGCTGCGCCAACCCGAATCCCTGTTGGCCAGACATCTTCCAATACTCGATCGCCAACGCGTCATTCTTGGGTACTCCTATACCTCTAAAGTATGCTTGACCCACATTGTATTGTGCTTCAGCTAAACCCTTTGATGCAGCCTTTTGATAATGTTGAAATGCAGCCTTAAGATTCGGATTCTCATTCTCCATCTCCAGAGCCCCTAATAGGAAATGAGCTTGTGCATTATTATCATCTGCCTTGATAGCCAACTCGAAGCATTGTTTAGCCTTGACAGGGTCTCGAGGAAGATCCCCACTGAGATACATCCGCCCAAGCGCCACTCTAGCCTCGACCACACCCGCATTCGCAGCAGCCAGATACAGGTCTCGGGCTGCTTCAAAATTCTTATCGTCACGAGCATAGATACTAGCTAAAGTCGACATCGCGATTGGAATAGGCCGAAGAATACTTTGGGCAGAAGGCTTAGCAATAGATTCCAAAATCGCCCGACCTTTAACAGGATCTGCAGGAACACCTTTAGCGCCACGATAAAGCATAATGCCGTAACTATATCGAGAGAGAACGTCTCCTTGATCGACAGATAATTTTAGCAATGCAAATCCTAATGGAGCACCATCTATAGCACGTAGAATGAGTGAAAAAAAAAAAAAAAAAAAAAAAGAGTTCGAGTTAATATGTGACACATGTCAAGCAGCTGTTTTCTCGAACAGACGCGTGTTTCGATTACCTCGCGTGTATTGAATGGACCATGATGCGAGCTCATAAGGCATAACGTTCTTCTTCTTGCAGACTAATCAACATAAAACAAAAAATAAAGCACAAAGTACAAAGTACAAAATGTATATTAATAAAATATAAAAATAAAAAACATTCACTGGTCAACTTGCTTCTTTGTTTTTGTTTTTGTTTTTTGTTTTTTACAATTTAAGAAATGTTTCTCTGCCTGGACACGTCTCGTATCATCGTGAGGCAGCGGCAGAACATCCAATATCCCTTGAATAGACTCCTTGATCTCATCCACTGTAACACCCAATTCCCTTTGAGTGATCAATTGCTTCAGAAATGCATCTGGTGGAAGCACATCTAAGTCATTAAACAAACGATTGTTTTTTTTTAGTCTCATTCCAAAAAAAAAAAAAAAAAAAAAAAAAAAAGAACACTAAAAGCTTTGTTAAACACAATGTACACAGCTATACAATACCTCTGAGAGTCAAAGTCTCTAAATCCACCCTATTTGCATTGGTCGCTTCGGCTTTTGTAGTGGTTCTAAAATAGAAAAATAAACAAACGCGCTCAGTGCTCCAATGATTATGAAGATACTTGTGTTCACGGGTTCACGGAGGAGGCGACAATATAAATTGCTGTTGCCCCTCTTCTGTCAAAAGTCTAACATTTATTTTATTCTTCCCTATACTTACTCTGGAGCGGGAGCGGGAGCAGAAGGTGAGGACGGTGATCTAGTAAAGCCCTCATACTCTGAGAACAGGCCGCTGATGGGCGCCTCTACCTGATCTACAGGATCAACAGGGACAATCTTGGATCCTTCCTTTCGGTAGATGACATCGCCCTCGATCTTGGGTGGGATTGCCGTAGATGCAGGGTCGATTGAGTTATTATGCCTATTACCCTTATTAGAGCTATTATTACCGCTGCTGATACTATTGTTGTTGCTGTTATTCTTGGAATGATGCTTTTTTTTCAAAGATGCACTGGTTGAAAGCAACTTGGATGATAATGATGATGGAGGTGGTGATGAATATTTTGTTGACGATATGACTTTCATCCGAGGATGCCTTGTTATTGTTGGTGTAGTAGTGGTAGTAATTAATGAAGGTGAATAAGAGGCAAATCCTCGTACATTATTGGGCTTAGAAACGATGGCGCGTATTCCTAACCGACGTCTTGGGCGTACCAAAACAACAGCTTGGCGTCGAGTATGGACAGACATATAGCCTGCAGTGCCTGGGACACGATGTGTAGGCGCATGCTTTGCAACTGAGCTGAGAATCATTCTTTTTTTTTTTTTTTTTGTATGGAATGAAGAATGAAGTGAAAGAAACCTCCCGATTAGGAAATTCATCTCTCTATTCTCATGTGGTGGTTAAGGGTCGATTTTTCTCATGCCGCGTGGAAAGGCCCCGCCGTTTCTTTCAAAAAGGAAGCTCTTTAAGAATTACATCACAACAAAAAAAAAAAAAAAAAAAAAAAAAAAAACATTCAAGGGTCACAAAGTCATGGTGATGGGACAAGCCAAAAGGATAGTTCTTCAGAGTCATAGTTTGTTTTCAACGTACAGCTCAGCAACGACTATAAAAACAACACCTGTGGCGACATTACAAACAAGATGGTGTTTACAAAAAGATCTAAACTCCATGATCTCGAGTCAAAAGCGAAGACTTACCACATCGACCCCTACACATAATTCGAAGCAAAACAGTACAGGGACCAACAATAACCGGACCCCTTTACAGCGGATGTCTCGTACTGAAGACCATGTCTCTCAATTGAAGATAACTAGGCTGAATTCACCTAAAGCTGGCGATACAGTCCCATCAACAGCAACAGCTACATCATCATCATCATCATCATCAACGTCAGCGTCATCATCTATATCATTTAACCGCCGACTCGAATTCTTGAGCGGTGGCAGGACTGTCGCACCTCGATCTCGATCATATCCTATTTCCTCAGAAGCAGCAATACCAATTACAAAAGTATCAAAAACACAATCAGCCAAGAATGGTGTTCTAAAGAAATATAAGCCTGGATTTATGGCTGGCGATTTCATATGTCCACAATGTGGAAGCCATAACTTTCGTCCGCCAGAATACAGTCCAATAAGGCATGCTCTACAACGGAAACAATTCCGTCAACAGCTTAATGAAGAATCTGCATCATCTACAGTATCATCTACAGTACCATCTACAGCACCACTGGACAATCTAGGGGACAATGTGGTTCAGGACGCGTCTTCAAAAGCCCAAGCAAAGAAGGAGGAAGAAAAACAGGATCCTTTACGTCAATCTCAACATCATGATTATCATCATCGCCTTGATACGCAACCACAACCACAACCACTTAAGACGAGAGCTCAATCTCCATTAGGCGCAAAAGCCCATTGCTTCGAGTGTGGATTCGAAACATCCTATAACCTTCCAATGGCTGCTGCTAATGATGACAAATCCTCCTATAGTACCAATGATTCACCATCATCATCATCTTCATTTAAAAGGCCCAAGACTTTGACAGAACAGACGATCCATTTACGGAATGATATTCGGCTCGCCAAACCGCGTGATTATGTCTGCCCTCAATGCCTTACGGTCAATTTTTATAATCGACTCAACTGTATCGGCTGTGGCACCTTTGCCCCTTGGATTCGTGAGAAAGTCGAGGCAGGGGTAAGAGATTAAATAAAGTTAAATGCAACTAAAAGATTCATTGATAAATATTTAAGAACAAATCAATCGTTCATTGTATTTTCTTTTTTTTTTTTTTTTTTTTTTTTGTTCTTTCTAATGTACAGAATGATAAATCAAGATTTATTTTTATGAATGAACAATGACTGAGTGAAAAGAATAATGTAAATATGCAACAAGAAAAAAAAAAAAAAAAAAAAAAAAAAAGGTGAAGAGCAGAGAAATGAAAAATAATTACAAGGGGGAAAAAATAAGATATTTAATTGTTGATTTTGGGAGTTGACTCAACAACCAAAAAGGATGAGACGTCACCATGCACACTCTCGCGATATTCTTCCTTTTCTGCACTTGGACCGTTCTCACTCACATCTGGAGAGCCCTGCGCTGACACGTGTGAACTCTTTGACACATTGTTGGTGGAGGTGGCCCTTGCGTTTGCAGTTGCACCTTGGTTATGCTGTTGTTGTTCTCTGGACCTTCCAACAACAGACGGCGGTATAAGGCCATATGAGTTGGATGATAAATGCTGCTGCTGCTGCTGTAGTAGTTGTTGTTGTTGTTGTGAAGGACCGTTTTGCTGTTGATTTGGATAAGAATGGTGTACCATCGTATGACCTTGAGCATTACCATTACCATAGCTTTCTGCGCCGTACTGCGGATATTCATCACTGGGATAGGCTTGTGAATAATAGTACTCCTGAGGGTCATAGTACTCTTGCTTCTGATATTGTGCAGAATACGCAGCATGGTCTGGACTGTGTTGTGGAGGTGGCATTCGATCATCTATGTTGTTACTGTTATAGCCGTAACCGCCACCGCTGTTCTGGAAGTAATGGACATTCGATATGGGGCGTGGTGGGAACGGGTAGGGGCCTCGAGGAGATCTGGCTAAGGGAGAGTATGCTTTGGGAGAAGAAAGTGGCGGTGCAGTAGCGCCAGGAGCAGCTTTCCCTTCTCCTGCCAGACTCAGTAGCCGCGCTTGCATCTGTAGATCAAGTTGTCGCTCACGCTCCTGCTCCTGTGGAGTAAGCTCCTTTTCTATTTCTACATCTCTACCTGTACCATAAGTTTGAGCACTCCTTTCGTTCTCACCTCGGGATCGGGGATTTAGCTGCTGCCTAGTTTCATCATTGGTATAATTATTTGCCATCATTCTTCTTGCACCTCCAAGTCCAGCAGCAGCAGCATGATAACTCTTATCGTCATAGACATCATAGGTGCCTCTGTTCTCTACGTTTGTCCTGTTATTTGCATATGAAAAGCCCTCATAGTCATCGTTATTGCCATAATGACCATAACTGCCGCTAGCGGCACGTTGGTGATTTGATCCTCGCCTGTAAGAGGGCTTGGGAGGTTGATGGTTGAGATCCGGCCCAGGGTAACCACCGTATTTCCGACTACTACCAGCATGGTTACCTCTTCCAACAAGCATCAACCTCTTTCGACGCTGCTTCAATAACAAAAACCCGCCGATGACCGACCCTACTAGGACGGCTATAAGGCCGACGACAATCCCCGCCACTGCAGCGCCATTGATGCCGCCATCATCTCCCCCATTATTACTGCCTCCACGGCCAACGTTGCTGCTAGGACTCAAGGGCAAAGAACTTGATTTAGGGGGTGAGGTGACCGATGTTCCAGGACGCGCAGAAGGCGTAGTACGTACAGGAGGAACTGCGGTGCTAGGACGCGATACGGGAGGGGTAACTGGGGGATTTGTCCTTGAGGGTGTTGCAGGAGGACGTGGAGGCGTGATGGGAGTGGGTCTCGGTGTAGGTGGCCGCGTTGTTGGTGGCCTTACTGATCGTGTCGGTGCTGTTGCCATGATATTTCTTCACTTTAAAGTCTTTAAAAAAAAAAAAAAAAAAAAATTGTTCGTTCTTCACAGAATAAATGCACACGCCCCCAAAATTATAATTTAATCAGATAATTGCTCATGGAAAACAATGAAGAAAGGGACAGGAAAGAAAGCTTTGAAGAGGAATGAGAGTGAAATGAGGAACGAAATGAGTCTACACGGACAAAAAAAAAAAAAAAAAAAAGGTAAAGGTGAGAAAAGAAAAAGTCTTTTTTTTTTTTTTTTTCCCTTTGTGTGCACTTTCAAAAAAAAAAAAAAAAGGCACTGCCCACTTGTAGGACCAAGAGTCGAAAAAGAAAAATTAAAGAGTAGCTGTGAGCAATCAAAGCGGACTACAGAGCATCCAATCGCAAAATTGTAACCACAGCAATAACAGCGCCGACATCAACATCAACACATCAAAACATTAACACATTAACACATCAAACATCAACACATTAACGCATCAACGTTAGAAGACGTGTACTCAGACAGCACAGGCACATTAGTAAAAATAACCGAAGCTCGAGGATTTTAGGAGGAGAATAAAGCACACGCGGTATGTCCTAGTCAATGGCAAGACTTGAAAAGGGTGAAAGCCTTTAATTTCCCATGCTTGCTCCCTGCTTTCTATGCCAATCTTCTAAAATGCCCTTTCACACGCTTCTTACTATGAAACGAAAAACAGTCAAGGGTCATAATTCGAGCATATTGTAAATTAATTTGTTTCCATCCCGATCCTCCTACCCCGATGTTCTGATGCATGCATGTAATAATTCTCCTGTAGTAATAACGGCACATTTTTACTCTTGGGGCAATTGAAAAAAGAAAAAAAAAAGAAAAAGAAAAAGAAAAAGAAAAAAAAGGCAAACAGTGACATATAGGCACTGTCACCTTGTACATAAACAGCTGGAAGTAGGGCAATGTTAATGTGTAGGCAATGCCTCATTTATTCTCCTTTGGTTAGTACAGTCATCTTCACCATCTGGTATTGGGAAGGTGTATACTTTTCTCAGTTAAAAGCAGCTGCGACGCCACCACAAACTTGGGTTTGTTTACTTCCATGCAACGGGCTCACTTCTCCGCTTCGCCGCTTCTCCCTACTCTTCCTTGGTTTTTTTTTTTTTTTTTTTTTTTTTTTTTTTTCACGGTGCGAGCGCGTGCTTGAGCACCATATTCTTTAGTTCCTTTGGTACTTTTTTTCATGTAGATGTCCAGTGCGTGCAATGCATAGAAAATGGATGACGAATAAAGGGCTCATTGTTGTTGTTTTTTAATCCTTTTGTTTTTTTTTTCCTATTGTCACATTGATGATTAGTCCATTGCTAGCATTCTACACGTGCCTTTTTTTTTTTTTTTTTTTTTGTGTTTTCGCGTGTGTAAGAGAGTTTCACTGTCAACAAAAACATGACACACAACACACGCAAAAAAAAAAAATTCTTTTGGACAAAGGAATGAAAGTCCATTTTGAAGATTGGATGAAGTTTGTGCAACATGAAGAATAATAACAAATAACAAACAAAAGTTTATTAATGATCTCTGTAATAAAATATAATTCATCCCCTTTCTTCTCTTGCAAAAAAGAATGTGCATTCCAAATTGCATCTCAATACATTTATATTTGCATATTACACATTGCACATTACACATTACAGATTCGTACTAGACTCCATTGGGCTTAGTTTGACATAAAAGATACATCTTCCAGATCTGTTCATGACAATGATCCTGGTTACTGACCCATTCCCTCTCCGCTTGCTTTTTGTCTGATATAACAACATATATATATATATATATATATATATATATACTTTATCTTTTCGTTCTTTTTTTTATTATTATCATTGTTTATTTTTTCTTTCATTCATTCGTTGTGCGAGTCTTCATGTTCGTTGAAATGATAAATATGTATAAATGTCTGTATGTGTTGCGTGTAAAAGATACCAAGACTAATTGCGACAGAGTGGAATAAACTTATATACTGGAGGCAGAAGTGAAGAAGGCGGGAAGGGTATATTGGATGAGTTAGTGGAGGAACACTAAAGAGGCCAAGGGATAGGGTATCCAGAGAGTAGGGTTAATGGAGTGATTGGAAAGGATGGAGAAAGATGGCCGATGTAGGAACTATTGTCGTGGCGGTAACTTTTGAAACAATTATATGTACGGTAAATGTCTTAAAAAAAATAAATTACATTATGGGCAAGCTTAGCCTCGTCGAGAAGGCTCCAACATCTCCCATCGATGTTGATTCAGCTCCGCGCTCTCCCATTGGTATTCTGATTCGGGGTTGGTCAGGTTCGTCAGTCGGCTACTTGTTCTTTGGACAGGGCTCAAGTTCCTAGCAGTCCTAGCGGTTGCTCTGGATGATGATCTTTCATTTGAATCTATTTCAAGATCAGTCTCTTCAGGCGTGATCCGATACTGGGATGGACCTAGAACGGTCAACGAAGCCCTCGGAGACTGTGGAGATTGTGGGGACTGGAGGGACTGCAACGGTTGATGGCTATAACTATGCTGTGTATATAGTTGAGGACGCTGTAAAATTGGGGAAGGTGATGATGGTATTGAACGTGGTGGTTGCGGTGAGGAAGGCGCGGATGGATAACGGTGGTGAGCTCGCAGCGTTGCGATAGAGTCAATAGAATCATAATGTAGCAGATTGTTGGACAGTGGCGGCGGCACTGGTGAGGTCCTTTGCAACTGATTCTGCCGATGAAGAGCATACGATGCCGAAGATTGGATCAACGGGTTGGGCTCGAGGTCCTCATTCTCTGGTGCTGTAGGACCAGCAGCTCCCCTAGCAAGAATGGGTGAATGTCGCTGCATCTGCGGATATGCTTGGTCATGCTCATGCAACGAAGGATGAGTACTATGGGTCGAGAAGGTCGGCGAAGCAACCGATCCATAAGGTCGAGAGGGATGGGCATGAGAATATCCTGGAGAAGTAGAAGATGCAGAGGCATTAAACTGCGCATTTGGCGAAGGAGATGGCGGCTCTGTTATGACTGTTGTAATCATCGACGATGCAGAGGATTCAACTGGTGGTGTTGTTGCTGGAACAGAAGGTGATGACACGGACATCGCTGTGGATTCAGTACGCGAGAACGAATAGGCTGCTATTGGAGAAACCCTCAACTCCTCTACGATTTCATCATCTCTATTTTTACTCTGCTCTTGTTGCAATTGCAGATAGCGCTGTTGCCGATCATACCGTTGCTGCTGTTGTAATATGCGCTGCTGGCGTGCCTCCTCCTGATCATAGTGCTGCTGCTGTTCTTGCGAGAGCCTTTCCTGCTCTTCCGAAGCCTGTTGTTGCTTTTGAAGTTGTTCCAAGCGGTTTTTGGAACCCTTCTTCACAGCCGCACGACGATCCATCCATTCCTGTTGAACTTTGCGCTCAAAGTCCTGGGGAGCATAAGGGTCAGAGTTTTCGCTATAAAAACCACTATTACTGGCGTTATTAGAAAGAGAAGCTTCTGGATCGAGATAATCACTTTCTCTTCGAGTGACTCTATCATTGTCTGCATCAGAATCAATCCCCTCCTCATCGTCCCCTGGACCAAACGCACTCAACCGCATGTTGTTCATCCTGGACATTGTGGTGGATGCACTCAGCAAAGTTGAGGTCTCTTTCAACGACCCCTCACTAGTGCTTCCTGCAATACCAACGCTGTTCTGAGTACTTCCTAAATTACTATTATGAGCATGACTAGAGCGTTTTTTGTACACTCCGCTGCTGCTTTTCTGAAGAGGATGCGCTGCTGATGGAAGCCCGGCAGCTGACATCGAAGCGGATACAACAATGGGATCGGATCCTTGGCCAGAGTTATAAGAATAATTCGAGTATGCTCCTCCAGACTGCCTTGAAGACAAGCTTGTGGAGTAAGAAAGGCCACTCGCCTGGCTCTTACGCGCATCACTATTATCTTTGTCCTGCTCATCTCCACTGGGATGCAGCCCACTTATCTGTCCTGAGGATGATTGGGACAAGCTTCCTGTTTTTTCCCCACTTTTCCTGCGGTGGTGCTTCTGTGGTGGATGTGGCTGTATCTTCGAAGATGATGATACGTCTTTGCGATCTCCAAAGGCACCGACAGACACCTCGCCCGATGTATATGTCACATCTGATAGGTCACCTGTCCATGTTGTGCTGTATGTGGATAAAGGTTCAGATGCCATCATAAAAGAGTGACGATCTATTTGACCAACCGGAGGTTGCTGCTGTTGCTGGTGATGTCGCTCTGTAGCCTGTTGGTAGTCGTGTTCATGTTGATGGAGTTCCTGGCGAGTAGCGATGGGCTGATTGGGAGCATCTTTCTTTCCACCAGATGAATGTCGACGAACAACACCAAAACTGTCTGCTGAGCCCATTCGTGCCTGGGATGAATGCGTCAGGTTCTGACCACCATTGCGTTTATATTGTTGTTGCTCTTGCTCTTGCTCTTGCTCTTGCTGCCGCTGCTTTGCCGCTGTCTGGAGAGGGTGAGGCGCTAATATCTGTCCATTGTAAGCATCATTAATTTGAGCAGTGTCGTCTAGCGGGCTAGCCATACTTTCACGGTAATAAAGTTGACTAGAGCCACTGCCAATGTTCAAGCCGGAGGTTTGAATTTGCGTCGGCGATCGTAGTGGTTGTTCTTGTAGCTGTAGCTGTTGCTGTTGTTCGCGTTTGTGATAACTAGAGCCTCGCATCACTGCGTTGTAATGGTTTAGGACATCGTTCGTAGAAGAAGAAAGGTTTGTTTTTTTGGACTCATACCACGCGGGGGTTAGGGGCCGAGGTAGAGTTGTAGGTGAGGTGATTGTAGGCGATGCGGTCTCAGTCGATGTGGGTGAAGGAGGTATGACTGCATTAGTTTGAGCTAGATTGAGGACATGAGGGCTTGTAATGGAAGAAACCCCCCCTCTTCCTTCTATAGCCCTGGACTCGACAGGCTCGCGAATCCTCTTTGGACTCTTCGGCGGAGATACCATAGTCTGCAGTGACGATGAAGGGGACACTGGAGGCACATGTGAGCTCGCAATCTGTGGATTCTATTGGCGATGGCAGTATTAACCATTACAACAGATGGAGTTAGCAGCAGCACCTAGGAACACAAGTATAAAGAGCCTAATAAGCCGCTTTCAGGATCTTACCTCAGTCTTAGGGGTGGTAACATGCTTTAGGATATGAACCGGTACGATATGGTCTCCATACATTTGGTTGGCCATCTCCAGTAATTGAGGGTCAATCGCCGTATCCACTGAGCGTCTTGGCCTCACTCCTGGAGGTGTAGTGGGTGTGGTGGGTGTAGCTGGATAGCTTGAAGCTTTTTGGTCTGTGTTTTTCGAATAAGAATTAGCCGCTTCCGTGGGGATAGGAGGAGGTGGCGCTTTGTATTTCTTCGAGCTATTATTGCTTCCAGTGCTTCCCCTTCGGCCTAAGGCATCCGCTCCTGCCCCTGATGCTGATTCAGCTGAGCTTGTGTCGTGATAGTCTGCTGTGTCGAAGTGCCGCGTGCCCGCAGATGGGTAAGGATCCGCCATAAGAAACCCAGTCATGGTTGGCGACATGTTTATCTCGAGCGGTTGGATACCTTGGGCTTGAGGCTCATATGGCAGGGGTGGTGGCGTCGTGGATGCTGAATTGTCGCCTGAGGGCTTTCTCAACCCAAAATAGTCTACTTCCAGGCCATCCTTTGATTGTTTCGGTTTTGAGGACCGTGGCTGTACATGTTGGCTCTGGTGCTGCAATTGTGTTGCCAGCGCTAGAGCTCCAGCGTCAAACCGTCCTGTAACATTAGACCTTCTTTGTTGAGAAGTTGGTGAAAGAGGCATTGGCTCCGCGCTAGAGTGCAACGATGACGCCGACACTTCCAGCGGCGGCTTTGATAAGCTTGCGCTGGAAGATCTTCGCCTGACCGCTGCATTATCATTACTCTTCTTTGTCTGTTGCACACCCTGGATAGAGCTTGTGCGGGCTCCATAATTAGATGCTGACGTGTTTGGGGGTGCTGTTGATGAACGGTTGAATCCTACTGCGGTGTTGTTGTTAATTCCTCCTATTTCAGGTGGGTTTGAAGGGTTGCTCTTCGTCTTAAGGATACCTGTCAACGGTGTAATCACTGCTTTTGGCGTGGATGTAGGTGACGCCGCTTTATTGGTTGCAAAAGCTGTATTTATATCAGCCTGAACTGTTAAGGGGGGAGGCTGTTTATCAGCCGCCGATAGAACCATTGTCGCGAAGTCTTCGGAGGTATCCGTCCGGAGCGAGAGTGGAAATGCCATTGGTGACTGGCTCCAGGGGTGGCCTGGTGGCATTGACTGTTCTATCTCTCTAGAAGCTGCTCTCTGCTCCAGGTTGTCGTCGTCAAAAGCATTCGGACTATTAGATCCTAGCCCGTCAGAGGAAGCTGCTTGTAAAGAGCCCTTATTGACTATGGCAGCCGACTCACCTCCTTCCACCAGTCTGCCCGATCTTTTGTCGACCAACTTGCTGTCTCGGTCGCTTACACGTAGAGGAGTATTCGTCATCTCTATTGATCCAGCCCCGTCCTCTTCCATGATCAGTTGCATCTCGTTAACCATCGCCGTTATAGAACCCATGCGCTCTCTGCGCATAGGTTCATAGTAACTGTATCGCTGAGGGGTCTGTGGTTGAGAACTCTCCGAGACACGCGGAGTAAGTCCTGGGTGTGTGGTGAGAGCATGAAGGCTTGAGTGGTGACCTCCATCAGAATCGCCCTCAACATATAAGCTTTCACGAATCCGTTGTGCATCCTTAACAGTCCTTCGCTCACGTTTCTGGAATCTAGAAGAGGGGTCGTTCTCAGGCTTTGTCAGAACATCCATGGATGGGTAGAGCAGAAACATAGCAGCAGGGTAGATCATGATTACAAGTGTGCTCCAAAGAGCCCCTTGCAGGTCATTGATCGCTCTGGCTAAGACCGGGTGGTAGTCTGCCTTCACCAGCTGAACTTTGTATAAGATCCCAAGAAGGAGGATTGAGATCATACTGCCTATGAGCCAGTAAACGGAATAAACATAATACGTCAACTGGAACGTGATGGACGTGTCGTCTCCGTTGACGTCCCTTGAGTCACGCTCGAGAGCTCGGAGCCGAATGCAGGTCATGACATATCCAATAATGATGCCCACCCCTAGAGCCAGCAGCAAGCCATCAGTGACTATGGTGGCCAAATTCCAATCTCCAGTCCCCTTACCAATGCCTATTAATGTGCTCACTGGGAGAACGATTGAAAGCGCAGCAAGGATATAATACATGTACATTTCATATCGAGTCATGAAATCGCCTTCATCCACCAGGGCTTCCACATGACGGCACCAATATGTGTTTAACAGGAATAAACAGGCCATCAGAGTACACTGCGAAAGTTTTATCACTATCCGTAGACAGAAAAGAAAGCGTTTATCCGAAACGGAATAAAGCGAAATCGGCTTCATGATCAAAGCATGATAATGCTTTTGATCCTTCTGCAGAGTTATATTCATGTTTTTGATATCCCAATCAGGATTCTCGCTCATGTCCATAAATGACACATTGATGGGGAAATTGGCTGACGGCGGATCCGAAGCTGGACTGTACACAGAATGGAGGCTAGGTCCAGTGTAGACACCCCCCATGGTTTCCTTGTAGAGAATATAAGCAAGCAGTGCACTATAGAGGGTCATGAGTGTCAACGATGTGCAAGCAAGCCAGGTCACAATGGTTCTTGTATTAAATCCAGGTCTTAGGGCTGCAAAGCCTCGTGTTGTGAGGACTCGCGCGACAATAAAGATCTAGATTCAAAGTTGATTCATGGAGGCCATGAGGAAGCAATAGAATATAAAATGGGTGTACTGTTAGTTTTTAAATCGAGTGGTGTTTTAGAATCAAATGACGAGAATGATGAAGAGCAGGAAAGATGAGAGTAGGGAGTAGGGTCGGAAGGAAAAGAAAAGAAAAAGGAAACAAGGGTGAGAAGAAAAGGGGGGAAGAGAGGATTGACGGTCGATGTCGTTTATAGTTTATCGATTAAATCAACATTGGCTGTTGAAAATAATCCAATTCATTGGCTCATCAGGAATATGTCAAAATTAAATCTCGTAAGACGCACGTACCAGCACGATAAAGCCAACAACGCCACTATGAATAGCCTGAGAGGGCGGATCCATTTCAAAAACTAACATCGGTTGTGGAATGCATATTACAAGAGGGACAGTATCGAAATGAGAAAGGTCGTTATTAATATATGTATATGTATATAAATTAAACATTAGATGACTTGGAAAGAAACATACGCATTTGATGTGAAACAGTTTTTGAAGCCATGGCGCTAGAAAGGGAAGGCTGATTTGATATTGAACAGAGTAACCAGCTACAACAACCAGGGACAGCAGCGCACTGCTGTGGACATAGGTATGTTTAGGTAATGTGGAATGAGATGGCGGAAGGAATGAGCAGCCAAACGTGGAATAAAAATGAATGAGGAAGGCAAGGAAGGATGGCAATTAGATTCAAAAAAAAAAAAAGCGAGGGAAAGTGTAATTATGAATTGAATTTGCTGTAGTGCAAAGACTCAGGTACGGATTAAGGCACAGAGATTGGATATCAAAAAAAAAAAAAAAAAAAAAAAAAAACTTCTTGGTCAACTGTCAATTGCTTATTGATTATTGCTAATTGGCAATTGTAGAAGAGGACAGAGGGTTGAAAGAGGCGGGAAAAGAAAAGAAGGAAGAGATGGAACTAAACCGTCGTGGATGTAATGGGGCATGTATTCGTTCAGTTAGGGGCAAAAAAAGATGCATAAACGACCGAAAAGGAGGTCCGGAAGGGGCGTATCTGTTGTGTGCTGGGTTCTGTGCGTAATGGATGCTTGCTGCAAGAGTGATGGGTGAGGTAAGGAAATAAAGAAAGAAAGAGGCAGGGTCGTTGGAATGAAGATTGTTTATAAGATTAGATGGATTGAAAAAAGAGAGGATGACAGGGGATCCAAGCGATCTGCACAGCTTGCAAAGGGCGGGCAAGGTAGTAAAAAAAAAAAAAAAAAAAAAAAAAAAAAGGAAGGGGGAGAAAGACAAGAAGACAGTGGCCCTCGTTCTGTGGATGGATGAGGTTCAGATGTTAATGGAATGAAGAATGAGGAATCGAATGACTAACGAGCAGAGCTGTGTGAGGGTCGTGCGATACTCCGCTTCTGTGCTCTTTCTCTTGGGCGAGCAACAACAAACAAACACACAGACAAGAAAAAAAAAAAAAAAAATGGTTTTATTCAAACAGACATTGATATACTAGCAATAGACTACATATGCTTGTAATAGCATGCATGTTATGCATGTATGTGTGTATGTGTGCATTAGTACTGTCTACTGTGCAGCACAGTCCGAACAGGCCCCAACCCTTCGATCCAATTCGTAATCAGAGCTCATCTCTGTCCTCGCCATTAGATACGAAATCAACAAAAGACAAGAATAGCCGGTTTGGTCTCGATTAGTTCTTTGTGCGCGAACAGGGGACAAGGAAAAAGATCAGAAGCGCAAAAGTGGAAGAAAAAAAAGGAGCTGATATTCATCTGACTGGCTATTTTGGCCACAGTCTGGTAGTCTGGGTCGCACAGGATAGTGGCATGATAAATAAATGTATAATCCACAATAAACATTTACATTATTACATGCATCTGAAAGGCAGTGTAAACATGCCAGACCTTTGCCTGATGCTTGTGTGCACATTAATTTAAGTATTATTCATCTATTCATGTTTATACATCTCATCCCAGGAAATAAAAAAAAAAAAAAAAAAAAAAAATTCACATCCATCATTCGGATGAGGGCGGAATGGACGAGATTTGGAGCGAAAGAGCAGAGGATCGAAAAATATAAAAGACCACAAAGCAAATGCAAGTATTCAGACACAAGGCTCTCATCTTGTACGGCTCTCACTTTTTTCTCTCTCTTCTTCGCACTCACTCTCACACATGCACTCTTTTCCATCATTTCCACCCTTTTGACAACTAAAAAGACGATGTGTATACGATTGTCCCACCAAGAAGTCCGCTACACCCTCCTTTATTACAAAAAAAGAAAAAGGAGTGTTCTTTCATCTCGACTGCGGGACCTGTGTGATGCGAGTGCTCAGTAAAATATGGAAAGGTCACTTGAATTTTGCCTGATAAAAAAAAAAAAAGAGAGCCAAAATTGAGAACAATCGCACTTGATTGTCAAGATGAAAACTATGGAGATATACAAGATGAGAGGCTGCAGCTGTTTCGATCTCTGCTCTCGAGACCAAAAAAAAACTCTAGGACCAGTCTGACAAGCCCTAAATGCTCAAGGTTCCTAAGAGCCAACTTCCTTGTCAATGTCCTAAAAAGATGATTAGGTGCGAATGAGTCGTTTGCCTAGCCTAACAAATGACATCCTGGAGACCATAGATAGCAAGCTGCCCACAGAGTCAAGCTCAAATTCAACAATGATGATATGATAGTCAGTCCATCAGTATCAACGCTCTTAAAGTTTAGTCCATAAAGAAAAAGCGAGACGTTATTTGAGAAGTTTTCTCATTATAATCGTCAATAACAGTAGAGAATGGTAATGGCATTGTTTAGAAGTTGGTAGAAGAAGAAGAAAAAAAAAAAAAAAAAAAAAAAAAAGTTGCAATGAGAATTGGGAAGGAGAATGCGAATGAGCAACTTTGCATTGCACCTCTAATTTTTAACTTTGCTAAAGGTTGACACTCTTTTGGATAGCCTGCTCAATGTCATGGTTCTGGTCATGGTGAAGCTGAGGGGAGAGATTGATAATGGGATGAACGAAACGAAAGAGGGTATAGGTTTGGCCTCTGAAGACCTACAATGTTTGTTGTCTTTGCCCACTCTTTCATGCAAGTGTTCCTCTCCCAATAAGGTTTTCTAGGAGGAGATTAATAAACCCATCACGTTTTCACGCGCATAAGGACGCGTGACGTGAATAAACTGGGCCGAGCGCGCAAGGTCAAGACGTTTTTAACGCTTTTTTCATTCAACAAAACCCATTCGAACATTCATCATGTCTTGTAAGTGGAAACCATTGTCTGCAATGAGAGCCAGAGCCAGGCCCTTCACCCATAAAGCGTTTGGAATGTCATGTAATAATGCAATAGTGGCCTTCTTGGAGACACATCACCACCCCTTTTATCGTGTTTGCATTCATGATACCTCATGTTCATATTATTGCTCTCCATCCATTACTTTTTTCTTTATAGCAAATTCACGCAAGGTGATAATCGTCTTCAAGGATGGTACTCCTCGAGATGAAGTTAATAAGGCTGCTGAGGAGATCAAGTCCAAAGGTTAGCGTGTGAATTTTTTTTTTTTTTTTTTTTTTTTTTTGGATAACACCTGCATCCTACACATGCGACATGAAAGCAAGGAGGGATAGGTAGATGGCGATTAGATTCTTATTCCTCATACCATCGCTTTCTTCTACTTTTATGTTCTCCAGGCGGAAAGATCACACAGAAATACACGCTCTTGCTGGGCTTCGCAGCTGAAGTTCCAGAATTTGAACTTCAGATGTTGAATTCTCATCCTCATATTGACTACATTGAAGATGATGGTATAGTAACCATCCAAAAATAAAAAAAAAATTACTACTGAGATGCACTAAAACGTAAATAGCCAACAATAAACATAAAACATCAGATGACATCAGGGACAAAATTTATTTTTTATTTTATTTTTTTTGCGTTATTTCACACTGTACAGGTTATTGAGATAAAAGTGTCACAAAGATGAACGTGAAAAAAGATTGAAGAAAGAAGAAAAAGAAAAACTCTACATAGAAAAGCTTACAAAAATATAACAAGTCAAATAATGGCGGTTTGAAGGTTATAGGCAAAGAATGAGAAGAATGAGTGGGAGAATGCCACTGTTGTTCCTAGAGCCTGGGACGAAGCTCGCTGCTTTTCATCTATTAGTCCCCTACTCCTTGGAAGGTTTAGAAACAAATACCCAGTTCCTCCTTTCTCCTTCTTTAACCATAACGGAAACAAGACATCAATCGAGAAAGCTGTTGTTCTTCCCAGTCTCCCTCTTCAATTTCCTCTTTCTCGTTCATACTCTCTGCTCCACATTCCCTTGAGTCCCATGCTTGAAGGAACTTATGCCCCGACAGTAGCCTCATTCGGCACTGGAACTGAAGACTTGTTCTTGCAGGACTTGCACGAGTTCCCTTCACGAGCACCCTTAGTGATGACGAGGCATTTCTCGCAGACGGGGGCCTCGCACTTGTCACACTTCATCAGGTGTTCGCGGTCTCCATTGCACTTCTCACAAATGGGTCCACAGCAGTACTCTTCACGGCAGCTGTCACAGACGACGGCGGGACAGCTATAAAGTATAAATAGGAATTAAGACAAAAGGCGTTAATACAATCAATTAATAGAGCAAAAAGAGTTATGAACTATGAAAGATACAAAGAATAATTGGTTCACAACCGTGTGGGAAATTAATGCAAAAAAAAAAAAAAAAAAAAAAAAAAAAAAGGCCACATGAGACACACGTCAAAAAAGGTCATCCGCGTAATGTGGTACGGATGGGGTTTCCTCATCACTATATTCTTTTCATCATCCATAACGCGTGCCCATCTCTCTTTCACACACACGGCGCCCAAAGGAGAGGAATGAAGTGAGAAAAAAAAATGTGATGCTGAACCTATTACTATGCCTTCTGTTTTTTTTTCCCTTTTTATTTTCCTTTTTTCCTTCTCTCCTTTTTGCTTGCTGTCCCGAGTCGCGCAAGATAGAACCCAAAGGCTGAGAAAGGCAAAGTTAATTGCCACCTGGCGCATAGAGAATAAAAAATATATAGAATAAAATAAAAACTGGAGGCAAAAGTAAAGGCAAAGGCAAAGGCAAAGGCAAAGGCAGAGGCAAGGGAAGACAAAGGGTAAAGAATATCCAGGAACAAGAGTAATTACAATTGGAGTATTGTACTTACAAGCGGCAGGCTTCCTTCTCTCCCATGGAGTGGCGCCCGCAGGCACAGTTTTGCTTCTGGTTGACGGCAGCGGCGGTCTTCTTACCCATATTGGAAGAGTGGTCTTGATGAAATGAGGTGGGGAGTAAAAAGTGTAGGAAGCTTGAGGATGTAGGATGGTCTGTGAATTTGAAGAAAAAAAGAAAAACAAAAAGGAAAAGGAAAAGGAAAAGGAGGGGATTCGCGAGGTTTTTAAGAATGGGAAAAAATGGGAATCGGCCCGACGCAATGACCTTGGTTTCATTCACCAAGCTTGTTATCACCAGGCGCAGGTGCAGTTGCAAGCCAAGGAGTTGATTGTTGATTGATTATTGATTGCTGATACTGACAGGCCATCCAAAACCTGCATCAACAGTACACGGATGAATCGTACGTGTTTACAAAAACATACAACCAAATATTTTTGTTCCAACGCCTTCCCCAGAATGGTCTGTTGTCCCGTCCTTGCGCTACTCGCTTCATGTGTACTTCCTTTTGTATTTTTTCACTGCGCTTTTTTTTTTTTTTTTTTTTCGTTTTTGTAACGGTTAAATTCCTTCCATGTTTCAAATCCTTGCGAATACACAGTCGTTCTAGCTAAGGCTGAATTATATTCATCTGGACTTTGGTTACTAAAAGCTGCTCATTTGGATTTCATCTGGAGTGATATCTTTTACATTTGAAGTGACAACTTTCGAATCGTTGGGCGAATTCTTACTTTTTTTTTTTTTTTTTACTCCACACGATAAAAAAGAAATTCATGCAAACTCCACAGGGCCTGTGCGTGGTCTTGTGATGTGGTGCCCGTCACATTTTTTTCAGAAGCTCACACAAAGTTTGGACTCTTGAACCAATTAATAGGTCATACCCACCTTCAACGCGTAACTTCTTCTATCATACGTCTAATCCACTATGTTCTTCATTACTTCTTCCTGCAACCGATTCTCACTGGATAGCCGCCTCAATAGATAACGTTATTTCAGTCTTCGTTGAATAATGATCTCGTCTTTAGAAACTCGGAATTGCATGAGGACATTGGCAGAAGAGTTCTTGGTTTCCTCATTCAATTGGTTTGTACATTCGCAACAGCAATCTGTACGGTCCTCATCACAGGAACCAAAATACTGTTCCATTCTTCCAAGGAACATTTATAAATCTCGCTAAAAATAAACTGATGACTATCGGGAAAACGGCGAGGAAACAGAACCTCATGGCGATGGTTTTAAGGAAAATGAAGATATTTTCTTTGAAGTTGACGTGAGCGTCGCGCTATTTTTTTTTTTTTTTTTTTTTTTTTTTGGCAAAACCAGAGTATGCAAGCCAAGTTCCAAGCAAAGACACCCAACCAAATGAATTATTGACTTAGAAAACAGGTCAGGCTGGGTGGGGCTAAGGAAACGGTGTAATGCATCAAATACAAGCATCAAAATAATCATTCTCTCAGTAAGGTTGCTATCAAGCTCAGTCAAAGCAGCTATTCGTAATCTTATCCATAGGATCATTTTTACCAATATGGTGATGCTACAACTTAATATGGAACATGGAAAAATAACTCAGTTTCTGCACGAGGATGAACTTTTCACGAGACGATTTATTACGTATGATGATGTAGAAAATATTTGCCGCAAGGCGAGCCTCTTTACGCTTATTGTCAGGAATGTTAGCAGGGGCTTTGGAATCCCAGTTGCATTCATGCTGGCAAAAAAATAAAGAGGACGGACGCTTTTCTTACCAACTGGCTTAGAGCTCATTTATCCGCTTGGAAAAGTACACATTTATGACCCAAGCGCCCAGATCACCGGTCAAGGAAACATCGAGATCCTTCTCAAGAGAAAAGGTTTCTCATATACTTTTGTACATGGCATAATATACCGTATCTGGGAGTGAGAGATACCCAAAAAGATGCATAGATTGATATCTGTTCCCATGCACAAAGAGAAGTAGTAAGATCCGAGGTGTAAGTATTGGATATAGCCTGTCTAGAACTGTGGTGATAATATAACCTATGACTCAAGACACGCAACCTGTCAATAATAAATAACCATAATAAGAATAATACATGCAACATACCAATTTATTTGATGGGTGTGGGTAGGCGACTACGAGTGAGGAAATTTTACTTCTTACCAGCATTTGCTATATAGTACTGGGTACACAAGCTTTTAAGACGTGACTGGAATCTTGTAATCTCTCATTTTGTGGCATGTATTTTTAAAGTTTAAGGTTTAAGGTTAATTAGAAGGGACAGAGGCCAAAGGATGTTGTGGATTTTTGGGACTATTAGCTACCAAGAAAAAGCAGTGTCGACGTAAAGGTATAAGGTGAAATGACTTTTGTTCCTTGGGGAGGGCCCTAATACTGTGGTATTAAGAGCAGAATAGGCTGGGAGCATAAGTATGATGGATGAATCAGAGTACAAATGAGGCTCCCAAAGGATCTTAGTTCATTTAGATATTGTAAATTAATTAAGATAACTAGGCAACTTTGTTACTACTGACACCTTCCTCTGCGAGACAATGGTCTCGAGTTACACATCTACAGAAATACCGTTTCCAGTGAAACATGCCAACAATGAGGAAACTGCTTTAAACGCCAATTACACTAGAGTTATATAAATACTTGGCCTCAGCTGGAGATGGATCCTTATATCAGTTACTAAGGCTGGAAGATTTATATGGCTGGATACAGATGAATCTGTAACAGGCGGCTTCAACTCAAGCGACTTGAATCCACGATCTGAAACTACAGTTAAGATTGGGATCTGGAGCCAAATAAAAACAATGATATATCCCCTTTGGTTCACTAACATCTAGTATATATATCCCAAAGAAGCGAGCTTTGTCCTCAAAGCTTCTATTCAGTGTGTCCTGCAACTTGTGTGTCATGATCGTCTTAGTCCCACAGAGGACAACGTGTTTAGCCCCAGATATGAGACCAGCGGCAGTCCTCTATCTAGTAGTAGCTGAGATGATAGTTTCTAGACTGCTCAACCCCCTGCACCATCATTACTTGTCATTTACTGTGGGGGTATTCGATAATGTCCATATGTATTGTGTAAACATGGTTGAAGAAATCAGGCCAGTTTAGACACTATGGACGTCTTTTTCACACTAATATCCTTTTTTTCTTTTTTTTTTTTTTTTTTACAAATTCAAGAGCTGCCTTTTGCACACACCAATCAATGGCGGGTGCACTGATTGACACAACTACATCTAGATTGCCACTGTTTACTGGGGTTGTTTCTGCCGTAGTACCAAATAGCAGAACAATATTAGCAGCGTCAGCACACACATATCCACTCCTCAGCGCGTACCAAACAGAAAGAGGAAATAAAACGTGCTTATCCTACTGTGCCTTGCTTCAAAAAAAAAAAGGACGCAAAAAACATTTATTAAGGTTTACCTCGATGAAGAGAACATTTTGTTCCAACCAGAAAACGTTGGATTTTCAGGCACACACATGTCTGTGTGGCTTTGCTACAATCCGAGAATGTATTCCATGAGCAAAGTAATTCATCAAATCCTCCATCTATTACTATTACCATCACCATCGCCATTCAATTGAACCATCTTATAATACTAATGTCGCGCCCTGCCACCATTTTCACTGGCCTCTTGGTCTCAGGAGCTATTCTCTATCACTTCAGAGCAGAGCTTTCATCAGACATGCGTCAAGTTAGAAATCAGTTGAGCGATGTCCAAAATCGTCTTGCTGGATCTATTCCTGGGAGCAAGATCGGCAATGTAAGGACGAGGAACAGCTTTTTCTTTTTCCTTCTTTTAGGGGAAAAACAACAATGAAGTATTGTCGGATTTGCACAGTTAGTTGTTGACGATCGACAATAAGCTTTGTCGTGGAGTTGACTTTGGATCAATAGTGTTACTATTCTAAAAAAAAAAAAAAAAAAAAAAAGAAAAGGGAGCGATGTAGAAATGAGAATATCTCTTAACGACCACTATTCAAAAGGAAGGAGTTGAGACTCATTATTATTTATATCGTTTACAGTCCATCTGACAGTAACTAAATCTTTTGTATTTGTATGTAGGTTCTCACATCACATCCTACAGCATCAATCCTCGAGAAACCAAAAGAGATGTTGGATGAGTCGACAGCATATATCCAGAAACGCATTTTGCCCACAGTCAAGGATACCTGGAACTCACATGTGATTGGACTTGCAAACAATATCAATGAATTAGATGCTGAGAAGATTCAAAAGATGGCGAAGGAGGTTAAGGACAAGTGGCTGTAAAAAAAAAAAAAAAAAAAAAAAAAAAAAAAACAGAATTCATTAGTAGGCATCGTGTTTGTTCAAAATATAAAATAAAAATAAAAAAAAAAAAAGTAATTATCGCAGATGGGCTAATCCACACCATTTCTCCAAGAATTAAGAGAAAGTAAGATGAAGTACAAACAGTAGCAAAGTATATTTGATATGATGCTTCTGTTTATTCATATTTCAAAGAACATCTATTTCAACGTGATCTCGCTCGCAGTGCAACTGAAGAAGGTGCCTTGATCAACAGTCCCCCTTTTTTTTTTTTTTTTTTCCCACACTTGAAATTTAGAAACCTCCTTTCAATCCCGCCATTTCTACAATATTCATTCATTCGTTCGTTCATTCATTCATTCATTCATTTCATTCTTTTTTTCTTTCTTTTTTTCCCTAGACTTTAAAGTAAAAAAAAAAAAAAAAAAACATGAAACAAAAGACACGCAGTGTTGCTATTGTTGGTGCAGGGCCTGTTGGTGCTCTTGCAGCTGTGTACTGCGCAAACCGTGGTTGGGATGTTCATCTCTATGAGACACGTCCAGGTAAGAAAGATCTTTTTTCAGTCATCAAAGCAACCATTCATATATTTATATTGTACTTTTTTTTTTTTTTTTTTTTTTTACAAAAGATATGAGATTACCAGAGAACAAAGCTGCTATCCAAAACCGATCCATTAATTTGGCATTGTCAGTCCGTGGTCTGACGGCATTGAAAGGCACAGGTTTAGCACTAGATGAATTGATCATGAAGTCAGGCATACCTATGCGTGGCCGTATGCTTCACATTGGAAAGGACGGTCATTTGGTGAGCCAGAATTATGGTGTTCACGGCGAGGTAAAAAAAAAAAAAAAAAAAAAAAAAAGCGCTTTCGCCCCATATGATCCATCATAAGTTTTTTTTTTTTACTTTCTTACAACTCTTACTATTTTCTAGTGTATTAACTCGGTGGATCGTGCCAAGTTGAACGAAGATTTGATTACGGCAGCAGAAGCATTGAGCAATGTAAAGGTGACATTTAATCATGCACTTAGGAAGGCTGATCTGGACAAGGGAATCCTTGAGCTAGAGAACAAGTAAGGCAAACAAAAAGGAAATAATGTTAATAAAAAATTAGGGCTTTATGCAACGCTAAATTTGTAAATGTTTGATTAACTGACATGCATTCGTTACATCCGCTGGGACATATCTATAGGAATACAAAGGAAATTATCAAGGCAGAGGCTGATCTGATCATTGGATGCGATGGCGCTTACTCGTCTGTCAGGAACTCATTGATGCGCTATGTTAGGTACATTTTACGGTGTCAGAATAAGTACAAACTTGAAGGAATGAAAAAAAAAAAAAAAAAAAAAAAAAAGAAAGAAAGAAAGATTCCATGGGGTACTGAACAACGGCAATTCGTTTATATTCCCATCCATTCTATCGCAGAATGGATTTTGAGCAGGGCTATATTCCTCATGGATACTGCGAATTGAGCATCCCACCAAAGATCGGGACCAATGGCAAGCAAGAATTTGCCATGGACCCTGAACATCTTCATATCTGGCCTCGTCACAAGTTCATGATGATTGCTCTTCCCAACCCTGTAAGGTTTTTTTTTTTTTTTTTTTTTTTTCTTTTTATAAAAAAAGAAGAGAGAGAGACTTGAATCTTCATAAAGACATATTACAGCTGGCTTACTCACCATAGCTGGTCATTAATATCATAGGACAAATCCTTTACAGTGACGCTGTTCATGCCATTCGCCAATTTTGAAAAGATCCACAACGAGAAAGATTTACTCGAGTTCTTTGAAACATACTTTGCAGATGCTATCCCGCTTATGGGCAAGGACCTTCTGATCAAAGAATATTTCAAGAATCCTAAAGGTTCTCTTGTCATGATCAAGGTAAAATCAGACAAGATAAAGAAAAGGTCACCCTGGACACGCTTTATATATATTTATGTAGCTCTAATATCATCATTAACTGCGTGTCAAATTGACCGGTATATAGGCTAACCCATACCATTACAAGGATCGTTGCATTATCCTCGGGGATGCAGCCCACAGCATGGTGCCATTCTATGGCCAGGGAATGAACTGTGGATTTGAGGATGTCCGCATTCTGGATTCACTTTTCTCAGAGTTTGATGTCAAAGCAACAGTGCAAGGTGATTCAGACAAGTCATTGCAACGAGCACTTCAAGCTTACACAGATAGAAGAGCCAAGGATTTGAAAGCGATCTGTGAGCTAGCGCTTCTCAACTATACCGAGATGCGTCATGGAGTCACCTCACCTACGTATCTGATGCGTAAGAAAGTCGAGAGTTGGTTGCATTTATTGGTGCCAACAAAAGTGATTCCCCTATACACAATGGTCAGCTTCTCGAACCGGCCTTATTCAGAGGCCTATGCACGTCATAAAGCTCAAGGATTCTGGTTGGGAGCTGCAGGAACTACGGTCGGTTTGGGAGCTGCAGTCGGACTGGCATTGGCAGGTTGGAAAGAGAGAAGACATTTGAAGGACATGGCCGAGCTGTTGAAGGTATCCTTTTTAACAGTCGTTCAGTCTGCCATGAAACTCATCCAATAAAAGTAAAACAAAGAGTATTTTTTTCCCCTATTGAGTCAATTCCCTTTTTTTTTTTTTTATAACGATGGGAACTAAAACTATTCTGTATCATAACGGCATTTGAGGACCTAGAAAAGATAAGGATTAATCTATTTGGCAGCCTAGTTGCTAAATATTATTTGGCAGCCCATTGCCAAATATAATCAACTTTCAAGACTCTCTTTGGCAGCCCAGTTGCCAAATAACATTCATTATTTACTTGGCAGCCTACCCAGGGCTATTTGGCCTCTAACTATTTATTTATTTTTTTTTTTTTTTTTTTTTTTTTCAAGTAGGTCGCTCATACAGTTTTGGAGGTGCCATTTGGAGATCAATGCCTATGAGAGGTTTTCGCTCGGAGCAAACGCGTCTCACCTGCTACCTAGACGTCTTCAATAAATCATTCCCTAACCGTGTACATTGAAGGCTGTTTTGCGAAGATGTCATCGCCGCTGCCCTTAGTACCTCCGGCGGCATTAGCTGTGCAAGGCAATGTATCCACAGAACGCTGCCTGTTTTACCACTGATGTTATGACACTGTTATAAAAAAAAAAAAAAAAAAAAAAAGTAATGTATTTGGCAGCCCAGCTGCCACCCAAGAGTGCGAAGTTAAGTGGCAGCCCCCAGAAGTAGGCTGCCAAATAGAGGCAAAAATTACTATATTTGGCATGGGCTGCCAAATAGATTAATCCAAAAGATAAATGAATCTACGAACTCAATCGTTAAAAGTGTGACATATCAGTCAGACGTTAATAGAGCAGTTTGATCATTCACTTTTATTTGAATGTCTTTCTCTATCCACGAAAAGTGATGCAAGTAGCAAAACATTACTTCGTAAGTTAAAAAGCAAAAGTTATTCCCAGTCCGGGGATCGAACCCGGGCCTTGTCGGTGAGAGCGACAAATCCTGACCACTGGACCAACTAGGAACTTATAATGTTGTCGTAGAGCATCTACTAGTGATCTCTGGAAACTAGTAGGTAATGATGAAAAATGAAGAATTGGGCAAGAGCCTCGTGGTTTTGGGATACGATAGTGATCCTAAGTAATGCTTTGAATGATTTTGAGGATGCTGCAAAAGGGCATCGATAATAAGAAGAGAGATCTTTAATAACTGCTAATTTTCTGAGAATTCATAATGAGAATAATGAAGATAAACTCACCTGCAAAAGGGCATCGATAATAAGAAGAGAGATGCCGTTTTTGCAGTGAAGGAAAAAGCTACTTAAATACTATTTAAAAATGGTAGAAAATAGGATGATAGGAAATAAATAAATTGAAAGGAAATACATATTTAGGTAAATGAATAGGCGTCATTTACGACAATGTATCCGGCTCTTATTAGCTATATATTTCCATTAGTAGCTAGGCTTACTCCATAAGTGCATACTCCCTATGTGCACGTTAACCCTTTATATGCAAATACGGAGATTGTGCAGCGACAACATGAAGGAGCGGCCCCGAACTATCATAATTCGATCTAAATATTCGCGAACCCTCATTATCAAAAAAAAAAAAAAAAAAAAAAAAAAGCAATTGCTTTATTTGCGCACCAGGTAATGGGATAATCCATTTACAGAGTATATTTTTAATGAATCCTCACGGCCATGTAGGTCCCAGTTGTCAAAGTAAAAGAGTTACACCTGAGGATCCATGTTATCAAGCCAGATGTGGCTAGATGTGCTGCAAAATACATTTTTTCTAATAGAGAAGGTTCCTGCCCATATATGCATATTCTAAAAAGCTCTGTCCAAAAGGAAATCCCTTTTTCAGCTGCAAGATTGCGCCTGTCTCTCTTGGTGCTCTTATTTGCCTTTGCCTTGACACCTGTTTTCTCAAGAATTATAGAGTGATAAGACCTATTCATTGCATATGATCGTCTTCATGGGAATTCTGGAAAGCTTGATTGGGTTTTGATATCCTACGTGGAGAAATATATGAAAACTCCATGATTTGGATGCATATGGTTATTTCCTGATAGATTATAAAGAATAAAGAAATAGGGAATATGGGGTTCCCGAGGATGGGGATTAAACTATGGCATCATTTCTATTTGGCAAGAGAGATGGAGGGTGGGAGCGAGCGGAAAATATATACTTTGGGCTTTTTTTCTTTTGGTCGGGTATAGACTCTTGGTCACAAGATCTTTCCCAGCCCCGCCCAATCTTTACAGCTTTTGATATTCCGTTTCGATTACTTTCCTTTTCTTCATTCATAATTGTCTACATCAAACACATTGGCACATCAACACACATTCTCCACAAAAACGCTCTTTCTCTTTCTGTCGTTATCGCTTTAGCTTGTTTCCCCCGTTCTCTTGCTGCAGCAACAACAATTTGCATACAGCAGCAATAACATTACAACAAACAGATATCACAATCATTTACATATTTGCTCATATCCAATATCTTTATCCGATTCCAAAAACGCCTTTAAGAGGTTCTTGACGATTTCCACATTTCCACATCAAAAGTCATCAAAATTAATAATAAAAAAAAAACTCCCAATCCAACCTTTATCATTATGGAGAGCATGAATAATAGCAATTCGACTAATTCTGCCTCTGCTGCTGCCGCCACAGCCACTGCTGCAAGTAGTAGCACATTAATGGCCATGGCACTTCCTCTTGACAGTTTTGCTCCTTCTCCTGTTATTGCTCCATCTTTAACCAATCAATCTAATATTCATGCCGTTTGCTTTGCTAATGAGACCAGCACGGGTCCCCAATGCTATGTCTATTCAACTTGTAAGTCCTTGTTGTCAAAAAGCGTTCTGAAACATTTTGCTTTTTTCACTGTTTTACTGACATTCTTGATAAAATTTTAATTAACATGTGCTTGATGGTTTTTTTTTTTTTTTTTTTTTTTTGTAGTGGAGGGCAGGGGCCAGTGGTGTTCCTGACATCCCTATTAATGATTGCGCGACAATGCTCACAGGCCCTGGTGGCAGCGGGGCCTGTGAGCAAAGTCGCCAGGCCGGCATCTCGGGGGAGATCTGCGCGTTTGTGAGAGAAATGAAACAATATTCCTCAAATCACGTTGATGATACCGGCCATGCGAATGGTATGGAGGAAAGTGATGAAGCCATTAGAAAGAGGGTAGATGCAACGTTAACAATCACATCAAACGACTCGAAACGAAATACTTGGTTGGGATTCAGGTCTAAGAAAGCATTATTTTTAAAAGGCAATGGATGGGATGACATGGATATTCGAGAGGTAAAGATCAATTTTTTTTTTTTTTTTTTTTATACTGAAATAAGAGGCTTTTACATTTAGCGGTTAACAACTTGTAAGATCAGCAACAGAAACTGCTACAAAATTAGAAGCATGAAGGGATCTTCTGCAGGGACCGTTAAAGTAACTTATTAACTATAGACTGAGTGTTGATTGATTCTTTCTTGGTAATTTATAGAGTGTTGTTGCTGCATTGGAGCTAGCAGATGAACAACTTGGGTGTGAGAAAGTATATCTTTGCCTTGAGAAGAGCAATCCTGACCTTGGTAAGAAATTTGCCTGCGCCCACCATCGTTGCTGTTCATTGGGTCTCCTTGGATTCTAACTGACTTGCTTTTTTTTTTTTTTTTTTTTTTTTTTTTGTAGCAAATCTTGTTCGGACGCTTCTCTATGCCAGCTTCGAAGTTGTTCACCCTGGGGTATTAGCCAATGCAGATCCTAAATATCTTGTACTTGGCATGGAGCTATGACAAGATCTGCTTGTTAAAACTAGTTTTTCTTTTATTACTTTTGTTCTCGCCTTTTTTTCTTTTTTCTTTTTATATATGCCTGCTGTAAAAAATTTATTTGTGAATACATTATTTATTATTATTACAGTTGTTATTATGTTTATGCTATCAATACAAGAGGGACCATGGTTGATCCTTTCCTTGTATGAGCTCAAAATTATGTGATCAGCGAAGGGACGGGGTTTTAGGGGCTATAGCCATGAAACATCAGGGAAAAGGAGTATAGTAGAAAACATATGAGGTGGGAATGATTCCTGATCCTTGGAGAGAACTCTAGTACTAAGGTGTTAATTAACTTGTTGGCAAGGGATACCTTGGCTTTGATGTTTACTCCTTAGGTTTAATGAATGAGGTTGTGAAAGGAAAATAATTACGAATTAAATTGTGAGACTGGAGACACTCAGAAAACAATGGAGATGGGGGAGTAAGTGAGAAGATATGGTGTCGATACACTACACCTAGGATTTATTCATTTTCTGTCAGTAAGAGAACAAAAACATGTCTACAAACATGCCTGACTATGGTTTGATTATGAGTAAGCTCATGTAGTAATTACATAATGGTTCTTTATGTCAACCTGTCAATCGGTTAATCTGTGTATGCTCTGGTTGTAGCTGGTTTTCCTAGACAGAGCGCGTACCGCGTACTGTAAGCAAGAGATTTCCTGACTTGTTTTGTTCTGTTGTATAAAAATATGGTTTGTGATGACCGCGTCAAGGTTGTTTATTCTAGCTAGTCAAAATGAATAAAAATAATGCCGTTGAAGGGTCGGAGTTTCTTTCCCAGAGCGAGGAGAAAAAGGGTTCTGTGCGTCATACTCGTTCCCCGAGCAGCAATATGACAAAGAAATTAAACGACTATTCCGGATCTTTTATTACTTTTTACCTTTTATCTTTACCTTCTACCTTGGAGGAATATAAGCCCAATTTCAAGCTGATGACAAGTGAATGGGTAGATACTTGTTTAATTTAAGACAGAGCATCGGAGCAGTCAGTATTTAAGACAAAGGCTTTGATCAAACGAAACAAAAAGGTTCATTTCATCTCCCTCTCCTTTTCTTGTTATTTCTTCTCCTCTCTCTTTCTCTTCGTCTTTCTCTTTTTCCCTGCTCATAACCGCTCCTACTATCACCCACCCACTCTCTTTTTCATTTCCTCAGTCGTTCATCATCTCACCTAAACATGCCTACTTCAATTATCTCCAAGCGTTTAGTAGTCTTTGATTTCGACTGGTATGGAATGGAAAATATCACAGGCTTCTTGCTCGATAAATTTCTTCTGTCACACAGGAATGTAACAGTTTACCTGATGTTTTTTAATCACCTTCCTAGGACTCTTATCGAAACAGACTCAGATTACTGGATAGCTGAGCATTTCGGTCAAGAGTTTGCTCAGCAACAGCAAGACTTATTTGATAAAGTCCAATGGACAGATCTACAGTATGTGTTTTATTCAAAAAAAAAAAAAAAAAAAAAAAAAAAGAGAATGGATGGGATGATGGGGAAATAGGAACGTAAGAATAAATGTTGATGTCAGCATGATTGCTGATTTATTTATTTTTTTTTTTACTTAAATTAATTTAGGGATTTGCTGTTAGGACAGATGCACCAACGTGGTGTTACTAGACAAGATCTTGAAAAGTCTCTGAAAGAAATCCCTTTTGTATGAACAAGAGTTTTTTTTTCTTTTCTTGATCAGCAGTGAAGTGAATACAAATAGATGGATTTTTATTCAAGACATAATCTAAACTAAAGTTGTTCTATTTTTTGAACATACCTTTGAATTGCGGATTAGGCTCCAGAGATGATTGCTGCATTGCGCTTGATGAAGTCACAAGGTGCCGAACTCTGTATCATCTCTGACGCGAATACGTTTTACATCGATACCATTTTGAAGGTATATTTCACTTTTTTTTTTTTTTTTTTTTTTTCTGCTCTAGTACGTCAATGTAATCATGATTATTGATCTTTTTTTTTTTTTTTTTTTTTTGTTTTAAACTTGATCCTTTTTCCTACTCAGGTTCATGACCTCGATCAGCTCTTCACGAAAGTAATCACCAATCCTGGACACTTTGACAAGGATGGTCGTCTTCGAATCAAACGTTATCATGACATTGATCAGGAACCTCATGGATGCTCCTTCCCTTGTCATGTCAACCTGTGTAAAGGCAGAGAACTTCAAAAATTAATGGATGCTCAAGAATGGGACCAAGTGATCTACATGGGTGACTCAACCAATGATTTCTGTCCTTCAGCACGCCTTTTGAAGGAGCGTGGAGACATTGTCTTAGCACGCGCCAATTTATTGCTGGAGAAAAATATCAAGGAACACCCAGAGTTAGTCAAAGCAAAGGTCATTTATTGGGAATCACCTCAGCATGCTTTTGAAATCATCAAGTCGATTTTCAACGTTTCTAACGTATAATGCTATAATATATAATACCATTGCATTTTTTTTTATATCATTCTCTGTAATCATTTTACATAAAGTGTTTTTTATACCATTTCTATTTCTTCATTATATATATAAAAAAACCGGACCAAAAGTCTCCACCAAAATTATTGTACTTTGACGCATGCTAAAAAAAGACAGATCAAGGATGACCATCGCATCCAAAATATATGGGACAATCAATCCTTTTTTTTTTTTTTTTTTTTTTTTTTTCTTTCCTTCCTTCCCTTTTCTTTATCTGATCCGGTATTAAGAAGAATAATAAAAAAAAAAAAAAAAAGTGATGCAGGAAAGACTGAAGAGGAAAAAAAGAATGAAAAGCTGGATGGAAAAAAAATCTACATTAAAAGACGACAGAAGGGCTCGGTGGCCATCAATGATATTTGAAACCCATCGCGAGATGTTCTTCTGATCGTCCTGTCAATCATGAGCTCGAAGTATCCACCCAGAGTTTCACTGTCTTGTCCTTGTCAATGGCGCCAGATGCAATTATATTTTCGGTTGGATGACATGCCACACATAATACAACATCTGATCGTGTTTTCGAGGGTTTCAAGGATGAAAAAAAAGGATATATTAGTGTTTATTACAATTTTTGATCGAAACATCACGATTTCAAAACTTTATATACATTTATAAAGATACAAAGACCTACCAGTATGTCCTTCCAGTTTTTGAACGACCTCTCGCGTCTGAAGGTTCCAGATATATATACAATTATCCTCGCTGCCACTTACAATCCATTTGCCACCTGTGACAGAGAAACTACCAAAGACACAGTAAGCGTCATTTTTATGTCCTGTATAAGTCTTGAGACATTTTCCCGTATGATAGTTCCAGAGACGTATCGTGTCGTCCAGAGTTGAGGCGAGGATAAACTTGCCATTCGGAGAGAATTTAACAAACGATCTAGATGGTGTTCAATATTTGAAAACGAAACTCTCCATGGTCAATAGCAATCTCATAAGCTTATAAGCTCATCCTTTTTCTTGTTAGCACCTGCTTGTATTTGCTTACACTGGTGGATTGTTATCATCAATTAGAGTCTTCAGACATTGTCCGGTTGTTGTATCCCAAATGCGTCTGTAAACATAAATGAGGAGGTATTAATAGCGTACATATGTAGGTGTTGCTTAGCAAGGTGCGGCTGAATTTAGTGTACACTTACACAACTCCATCGTAACTGCATGAAACAATCATGGTGCCATCCCTATTGAAATGAACTGCATTTACAGGATCCGAATGTGCTGGCAATGTCTTGATTGATTTTCCTGCAGTTAATAAAATAGAAGTGAGTTGGATAAGTCACTCGTCGCGAAAACAAAGGCCTCATTTTATAGAAATACGCAAAGAAAAATATATGTAGCAGACTGCATTGCCCACCTTTCCTGACATCCCAAATCCTGACAGTTTCATCAAACGACCCAGATACAATCAGATTTGACTGAGGGTTATAGTTGACGCAAAATACGTAGTTGGTATGTCCTCGCAAAATTTTAGTCGTCTGACCCTGTAAAGTGAATATTCAAAAAAAAAAAAAAAAATAAAAAAAATAAAAAAAAAAAGACAAGTGCATCAGGGATTTTTGTTTTTCTTCTTCTACCAGTAACAATGTGGGTTGTACTTACTGTTTCAAGGCTCCAGATACGGACGGTTTTATCATCTGATGCGGAGCAAAGCGAAAGTGAATCTGACGCCCAGGCAACATCTGAAATCCCTTGGGTATGACCCTCCATCGTATTCTCATGCTTTCCATCGTGGGCATTCCAAATTTTAATAGTTTTATCCGAGGCTATATATTAAGGAAAACAAGTAGCAATAAAGTACATAAGTATTTCAAAAAGCAATTTGGCACATTTGCACATGTCAGCTCGATCCACGAACCCATAACAGATCAATGGATAGAGGCAATGATGAACGAATAGTGCAGTTGTAAAAGGAAAAGGATATGTGATAAGTTATGAAAGCTCATATCTTGCAAACTCAAGTAATGTGGATCCTTTTTGGTCTTGGTCGCACGTTATTCCTTGTGATCAATTTTTTTTTTTGCTGTTGCTACTGCGAACTCTTCTCTAAAACACAAATCGGTCTTTGGAAGCTAAATATACCAACTACCACCAATTGTTCAAAATAATAGTGCTTACATGAACTGGCAAGCCACTTCCCATCAGGAGAGAACTTGACGCTTGACACTGCTTTGCGGTGGCCTACAAGGGAATACTTGAGTTGGTAGTTGGGCTTCCTGTTTGCATTAGGATTCGGAGTAGATGCAGGAGCAGCAGAGGAAGGAGCAGCAGAGGAAGGAGCAGCAGAGGAAGGAGCCGAGGTATGTGAAGGATGAGGTTGTGGTTGCGGTTGCGGAACTGTGGCTGTTGGAGCAACATCGCTTTCTGCATGTCCAACACCATTACTAGTGGCTTCCTTACGCGCCTTTTTAGCGGAGGGGCCTTCATGGCTCTGTTGCTGCTGACCAGGAGCGACACCATCCTGATCCTCCAGTTTGAAGTCTCTCTTGAGCTCGGACATTAGAAAGAAAGGCGGAAAAGAAAAAGCGGTTTAATGGAATCAGTGGATTAATGAAGAGAAAGAGAAGGAGTAAAAGGAAGTATAATCCACAGAGTTATGACGTGCAGCGATGCGGCGCAAAAGGATGTGAGCAACCCTCCTTCGTGTTGAGAATTAGCTTCTGTCGCAAGGATTTTTTTTTTTTTTTTGTAAGACTGCGTTTTGTATTATCAAGCCACACCTCTCGAACAAGCCTTGTCCTTACACCTTTTACACTTCATTCATTGTCCCATTCCATTCACTCTTTGAGAGCACATTTTCCCAAATCATAATCTAATTGAACTGATGGGGACTTCATTCTTTGACACTCTACAGCATTCTCTGCAGCCAATGCTCGGCAATAAAACCTTTACGGATAATTTCCCTTACAAGGGAAGTGTCCTCGCCTTTATATCCTTAGTTTTTCTTTGGGAAGAATATCTCAGGTATAGTCTTTTACATGCACAGAGTATGCTGTCTGCATTTATAAATTTATTTTTTGCATATTCCAAGTGTACTGATATATCGACTTACCCTAATTGATTAGATATCGCCACTATCGCAATCTTCGCTCAAAGGTCGTACCCACGGCATTACGCGAATATGTCTCTGATGAAGAGTTTCGCAAGGCACAGGCGTATGGTTTAGACAAGACTCGATTTGGCTTTGTCGAGTCGCTTTTCACGCAAATCCAGAATACCCTCAGTATCGTTTATGATTTTATGCCTTGGCTCTGGGGGCTGTCCGGAAATATCATGTTCAAAGTAACCGGATATGGGAAAGAGTATGAGGTATGTATTACAAATTTTTCTTATACAAACATATTATATGATCCAAGGAACAGATAGCTGACTTGGTATTGTGCTGATATATCGAAATAGATCACACAATCTATCATGTTTTTCGTGGTGCTGTCTATCATATCCACAGTCATTTCCCTGCCATTTTCGCTTTACTCCACTTTTGTGATTGAAGAGCGTCACGGGTTCAACAAACAGACCTTGAAATTGTATTTCACCGACATGATCAAAGGACATCTTGTTGCAGGGGCAATTGGAATGCCTTTCTTGGCTGGATTCCTCAAGATCATCAAGATCAGCGGAGACAATTTTTACTTTTATGTCTGGTTATTCATGTAAGTATATATATATATATATATATTTAAAAAAATACTATTAGAATACTAACTAGATAACAATGTATTCCCTTCATCATAGCGTCGTGTTCCAACTCATCATGGTCTCTATCTTTCCCACATTTATTCAACCCTTGTTCAACAAGTTTGATCCGCTTCCTGAAGGCGAGCTTCGTACGATGATCGAGGCTCTTGCATCTCGTATCCACTTCCCATTGACCAAGTTATTTGTGATTGATGGTAGCAAGCGCTCAGGCCATTCGAACGCGTATTTTTATGGTTTTTTTAAGAACAAACGTATCGTTCTTTATGATACTCTTCTGGAGCACTCGAGCAACGACGAGATCTGTGCTGTTCTTGGTAAGTGTGTAGTAGAATCAGGGGAATGCACAAGATACTTAGGTTTCATTGCAGCTAAATTTTTTTTGTCCAATCAATTATATATAGCACATGAACTTGGGCATTGGGCATGTAACCACACTCTCAAAATGCTAGCGTTCACGCAGGTTCACTTATTTGTGACATTTTACATGTTTTCTCAATTCGTCAACAACAAAGAAATGTACGAGTCATTCGGCTTCATGGATGTGACACCTACATTGGTGGGATTCCTGTTGTTCAACTACATTTATTCGCCTGTTGAGAGTGTCATTGGATTCGTTGTTAATATTATCAGCCGACGTCATGAATTCCAAGCGGATAAATTTGCTCGTGATTTGGGATACGCAGCCACATTAGCATCAGGATTGATCAAACTTCAGCTCAAAAACCTGGGCACTATGAACCCAGATTGGCTTCACTCCATGTATCATCGATCCCACCCTGAGTTGGTGGAACGCCTTAACGCCATCAAGTATCAAAAAAGCGACTCTACAAAGGCTGAGAAAGTTGAATAGGAAATATTCATTGAATTCTTTTTTTTTTTTTTTTTTTTTTTTACATTGTACAATACCAATAAGAGCTCGATAGGAGAGCTCGTATTGATTAAATTTCCAAGCTGATGATATTAAACTAGATATAAAAGATGCGCAAAACGAATTAAAGAAAAAAAAAAAAAATCATTGCATTATTGACTATTCTGTACGTGTGTACACTGTGTTCTTCCAAAGTTTTTCTACATGATCAAGAAACGCCATCGAGGGAGGTCTATCATTAACGAAATCGTCCTACTGCTGTCTGAAAGTGTTCTTTCCTGATAGTATATCAATGTAAAGCTTATTGTTCCTTGGAGTTATCTTTGCGAGCAAGTACTCGGAAAGATTCTACAAGACGTTACAAATCGTCAGAAATAAGAAAAATTAAGATCATGATGGTAATAACAATAAGATATATCCTAATATATCGTATTTCTTGCTAATATTGCATACTCAAGGCAATTTCTGTCAACTGTTTCTCGCTACCGTCCTTGGCAGTATAGGAACGGTAATGGATAGGCCCTTCTACGTAGACCATGTCACCCTTCTTGACGCGATCTGCCAAATATGGATTCCTTTTTTGATCCCATGACACAATTCTATGCCAATGAGTCGTCTGGACAGAGTTACCTAAGAACGATCCACATAGAAAACAAGAAAAAGTCATGGACTTGCTTTATTACACTCTAACTGAGAAAATTGCTTTCCTTTGGAGGGTTCAAACGATAACCGAACGACTTATCGTTATTATCTTTTTGTAATTTTTCATTTTCTTACCATCCGCACCCTTACGAACTTCAGAAGTAGCAACTGAGAAATGGACAACTGAGCGGTTTTCAATAGGAGTATTAAGCTCTGCATCTTGTCCAACATACCCGATAATAGAGGCCTTATTAACTTTATTAAAGAAAAAGTAATAATACAATTAGCCAATTTTCTAATAGAAAACAAACTAATATTTTTAAAGTCGCGTGCGCATCAATAAGGGTGGCTGTTTTTTTTTTTTTTTTTTTTTGCCTTACGAAGGGTACGGACAGATCCAATAGCAGACTATTGTTGAGAGTGCATTTTCAAGGAGATAGTAAAAAAAAAAGTGTTGAAGTATATATGAAGTTGAGTAGTTGAGTACGTGTTTTTGCAGAAAAGACGCGTCATTCTTGAGGTTTGAAAGTAGTGGGTGTTCTGTGAATGTGCATTATACTGAAATGTATAAACTATAAACTGACCGTGGCAATGCGCTTGGCAGCAGGATTGATTGATAGAAGCATGGCGATGGTCGTTAAAAAAAGTAATGGAGAATACAATAATAAAATACGCTCAATTGTCTTATTGACCACAAACAGGGGATAACACTCCGGTTCATTAAGCAGTCCGATAACGTGATGCATCTTTTATTTTACAACGTCCAGACTTTACTCTTAACGGAGGGTCCGGGTACCAACCCGGAAAATTCGTTTTTCTTTGGATCAAAGTAAGGGGCAAAGAGGTATGGCCCACGACCTGAGTATGGAGCAGGTTCATTTTCCTTTGTATAAACCCAGTCTTTGCATTGTCACAAAATGCAATCGTCCCACTGTATTACGGATTAGAGGAGAGTCTTTAGAAGATAGAAAGAATTGTTTATGTGATGCACCCCACTACCAAATAAAAAAAAATCTAGACTTTACAATGGGTCCAGAACTCTGTAAAGAATACATGCAAGATAGCGAATTGAGTTTGAACGCTTGAACATGTCAGGTGTAGATTATTATCATGCAAGCAGGCGTGGCAGGACAAACTTGATCATCTTTTGTTTGCATGCAAGAGTTTGGAGCCCACTCGCCATCTTCTCACTGTATGCATCTACTCAACTGGGGGGTTGTGTTCAGAAAATTTCTGCATTCACACCCATGGAAGTGTAGAGCTCTTTCTTTTTTTTCTTCTTCTCTCTCTTCCCTTCTCTTTCTCTCTCTCTTTCTTTCTTTCCCTATTTTCCGTTCTCGCCTCGTTTGTCATTACATCTCTGAGTGTACAGTACAATTGCAGGCTCTATTGTCCTCAATACCACTGTTTTTTGCATCTTTCCAATCTCCCTCCTCCACAACGCACAACACCACAGTATCATGAGTGTTGCCGTACCTGCATATAAAAATGCCTGTATTGCGCCCGAGCGTTCCGGTGCAGCGGTCTGGCTGATAGGAGTTTCGCCTGTATCTGAAGGTCGCTTGGAGGCCTATACTGTCAGCCTGTCCAACATCAACGCTCCTACTGCCACACTTGTTGCGAGCCAGCTTGACGTCTTAGCTTGGAGTAGCCAGGCCGAGAAGGCATGTTTCAACTTCCCAGGATTAGGCCCCAGCATGAGCAGCCCTATTCTCCTGCAGCAATTTGGCCCAAAATCTTATTTCACCAACATTTTTCCAAACGGCACATTCGAATCTGCAGCTAACTTTCAATCAATGGGCTTTGTCTCGCCAAGGTTGGCCAGTCTCTCCGGCGCTGTGGGGGACCTAAACTGGCTCACAGCTGTTGCGAACGTATCCTCTGTGCGGACAAATTCTCCTTGGACTGGCGTGCGTTTGAACGGAACTGATTTATACAACAGTGTTCAAGAGTAAGTGAGCTTGAATTTGGTCCCTCGCCATACCCATGCACAGCCTATTGTGAAATTTTGTTTATTTTACCTTTTTTTTTTGCTCATCAAACCACTGACATGCTGACCTTTGAGTGTTCAGTTATATTCTTACTCAGTACCCGACCAGTAACCCACTTTTGTCAGTTGGGGCTTATGTGCCATCTTCCAACACCCCGGCTCAAGGGTATCATATTGTTTTTGACAATATCGGGGGTGGAGTGGCCTACACGACCCTGGCCTCTGCCGGGTCTATTGTATCGAACCTTGATCGAATCCTATCTCTTTCCAACCCTCAGAGCGTGGACATGAATGGTATCAAACTGACAAAAGATGCCATTCCGATCACTATGGCGTCGGTCGCCTATATTCTGGATCGAGCATTAGATGGCTCTTGCGTCCTTTATACTCTGAACCCTAGTCAGTCTATGCAACTCCAGCGTGTACCTATCAAGGGCGATGTCCCCCCATTCTCTGCTTCTATTGCAGCAACTATTCTGAATTCGCGAATTGTGATTTATGGAGCCTCGAGCGGTACCACTGCTACATCCAGATTCAATGCATTTGACACGGTTGATGGTACTTGGAGTGGACCTGGATTGGTTAAAGTAAACGTGACTCCTTCTAATGGTTCAACCCCCTCAGGTGGTCAACCCGCACCAACGTCCATAAGTCCCTCTGGTGATCCTGACAAAGGAGCTCCCTTGGGCGCAATCATTGGAGGTGTTGTTGGCGGTTTAGTTTTGATTGCTCTAGTTGCGTTCCTGGCTATCCGTCATCGTCGTAAACCTAAGCCTGCCTCTACAGCCATAACAGTTGCAACGACAGGAGATGCCGGGCCAGTAATGGCAGCAGCGGCAGCAGGAGCGGGAGCAGCATTTAGCGTCCCAGGAAAGAACGATGGGTTCCTTACCAATCAACCTCCCATGCAACAAAGCTATAGCCCCCTTCAGCAGAACCAACAACAGTCGATACAGCAGGCACAATTCTCCCAACAGCAACAGCAACAGCAATATAATCCTCACCACTCGTACATTCCACCAGCCTATGTTGAGCCTGCCAAGGATGGATCTGCATCGTCTCAGCAGCAGCAAAGTCCCGTTCTTTTCCAAAATCAGCAGCATCATTCGTATGTGCCTCCTACAATAAATGCTAATGCACAACAACCAGCACAACCAAACATTTTCCAGCCTCAGAGTGAGGCCTCTAGCAACCCCAGGTATAGCCATGCGACCTACACTCCATCAGTTAGCACACCTCAGGCCTCATATACCCTTGCCAGTCAAGTGCATACCTCTCCAACAGGTGCAACCTCTGGCCCTCAGCATTTCTAACTTCCAAAAAAATAAGGATACGTTTAGTGAAAGTGCGATATCAGGAAAAGAATGATATTTTCCACTCTTCAATTATAAGAATTGAACAAAAAAGCAAAAACACAGACAAATAAGTAATTAATAATAATAATATATTGAAATACTTCTTAATTGGATGTCATTTTTACCTGTATGAGCGCGACCTCCAGTTGAAGGACGGCCATCATGTCATGTATTAAGTTAAAATGTAAAAACATGTGTCTGAAATAAGGACGCTACTATTGACTTTTTTTTTTTTTTTTTTTTTTTTTTTGGGGGGGGGGGGAGTTGCTGTAGAGAATAGAGGTTTCTGTTCAAAGGTATATTTACAAACATTCTGCTCCTAATCTAGCGCCTGAAAAACTGCCAAATCCATCCTATGAGGTAAACAAGGCTGCCCAGGAATCTGCCAGTAGCGCCGATCGTAATAGTCCAAACGATAATTATCACATAGAGATTTGAGCCGTCCTTCAGCACCAAGTACGGCGCCAATTGATCCGATGAAATAGTGATCACTAATGCGCCATTCACCACAATCCATAAAAGTAAGATTCGAGTTCGGAAAGTACGATAGTAATCAGACTGCATCGTTTTGATATCATCTCGTCGTACTACTTTCGCAGTGTTGGAAGTAGATGTAGAGGACACACTGGTTTTAGAGCTTTGCGAAGGGAGTTTAGTAGAAGAGCCAGTATGAACAGGGAGTAGGGTGGAAGTGGATACAGAGGCTATAGATTTTGGTCTCTTCTTGCGATCAAGGTCATCAATGGCGTCTTGGTATGCGGATGAAACGTATTGTTCGTCTGGCATAAGTACTGTTGAGGCATGATAAATTGCATCACGACTAATAAGAGGATCTTTTTCGTGGTCTTCGGGTTCTTTGATCCCCCAACTACATGGAAGAAGGCAAAAAAGAGCGGGAAGAAAAAGAAAAAGAAAGAAGAAAAAAGTCAAGTTTAATTTTCCGTTAGCAAGGGCTTCCTTGAGGATGTAATTTGTGTTATGCATGCAGTGTATCTCGTACTTGACTTCGTGCATGTTACAGAAGGCGTAGACACCCAGAACGCTGACATAGCTGGGCAACAAAAGTAGAAATTGGAGAAAGCAAGCTATCATATGCCATGGTTCCCCGTACAAGACGGCTGAAAGGACATACACCGCATAGCAGCAAACTAGCGCGAGAATTAAAACATGATATCCGGCGGCTTTGAATACCGCCACTACGGTTTCGAGGGATGTCCAGTCTGCATAAGGCAAAAAACTGGTAGCATGAATAAATGTCAAATAGCCCGCTGAAAAGAGGATGTAGGCTTGAATGCAAGCAAAGAAGACGAAGCTAAGAATGAAGAGATAGAGCGAATTTCTACTCGGATAGCGCCAGACATGCATAGCAAAAAGCTTTTTAATAAGTGATGGCACAAATTTTCTTTCAGAAATAAATAACGGATGATTTAACTTACCCTCGAGGTCGATTGCCCATAGAGATCATCATCACGACAACGATTAGACAAATGTAAATATATCGTGTCAACATGAACGCTGTCCCGCCGAGAGTAATACGAGAGCTATTTGCCAGGGTTTGTGCCATATAATAGAAAACAAGATAGTAGTTTCCCTAAACAATTTTTTTTAAGGATATGAATCCAACATTTCCACTGCGTGTTAGTAATGAAATATGGCCGTCTAAATAAGAAGGTGCATTCCAAAACTATAACTAATAGCTGAAAAAGCTACATACCAGAGCCAAGAACCAGAAAGCCGTATCACAGCCCAAATAGATGATCTCTAGTGTTAACCACAGCTTCCTTAATAAGCTATGTCCGCTCCTCCATATGGCCGATACATGCGAAACTGCATAGATTAATCCAAAGAATCGTCTGTTTTGCCATTTCCGCTTCATACCCAGGAATGAGCCGATACCCGCTGGTAATTCCGTTTCTGCCCAGGCGGATTGGACGTATTGCATAGTGTATTGAGCGTTCATCCGAGTTGTGATTAAGAAAGGCAAAATCTGGTCTTCAGCAAAATAAGAGTACTGTAATACTTCACCAACGTCCCGATGATCCTCGCTGAAAACAAGATAGTCCGGTTCAAAGTAGGCAGTAAGTGGTCCCTTGCCGGAAATTGGCTCCGGCAATAATGCCTCATAGCGATAGGCGACAAGAGCGCCAGGCATAACGGAAATATAACCAAAAATGCTCTCGAATGGTTTTTCAAGAACGCTGGAGACTTTGTATTCAAAAACCTGGGCGGCGATAATAGGGTTCAGGACCTTCCACCACAACAAGCCTTTAGCGACTCGGATCTCGCCACATGCACCAGCAATCTGTGGGTTTTTATCGAAGGCATCCCAGAGATGAAACAAGCTCCCATTTCCAATCTTCGTCCCTGCAGTCGTGAGTAATGTGATCCTGGGCTTGAGTAATGGACATAGGGCATTGAAAAACCAGCGATGCGAATTAAGTTTCTTAGTGTGTCGCTCTTTCAGACAAAATACAATTTGAATGGGTGGAAACCGGTGTTTGTTGGTATTCTTCAGTGTCCGTCCCTTCAACCGCAGTTTACTATTCACCGACACTTGAGTTGAGTACTATTGAAGCACAGGAGGGAAAAAAAAATGAGAAGGAGCTCAATCAGCACTCGGTAGCATTACAGGCAAGCCTTTTGTTTTACGCGTTTATCCTTACTTCGAAAATGTGTGCTTCCACCGCTTTTCCATTGACTTGATTTTTAGCTACCCCTTCCTGCCAGCAGCCCATGGCAGCGAGAACTTTAAGGATAAGCGGGTTTAGATTTCGCCTTCCGTCGGCAACAATGCAAATAACGACTTTTTGCCATGAGTCCTCCTCCGCCCACACTGGATTCTTGTGCGATCTGGATTTAGAGACCGAAAGACACATTTGCCGAATATTCTTGATCAAAGAGTGCAGTGTCAGACAGAATTCCTGTGGTGTTTCCTATAGTCATCAATTATTCAATAATAACTCATCAGTCGTCTGCACTGCATTTTTTTTTTTTTTTTTTTTTTTTTACTGAGACCTATAGATTCCGTCATGTACCTCATTGACTGTTAGGCATATAGCCAGCTCGATTGTCCTGTTCAAACTTTGTGTCCTAAGTTTGTATCTTCCTTCAGGCATCATATCCGCATCGCACGTTACAGCCATATAGCTCATTGTCTCAAACTCATGTCCTGATTGATAATCTACTGCTGACAGGTAACTTGTCGGCACAGGTGTATGCAATACCAAATTTCCATCCGTTAATTGCACTTTTTTGGGTTTAAATTCATAGTGGATAGGTATGGGCATCGACATGGATGGAAATGAAATTTCTGGTAACCGAGAGGTCAACCCCCTTAGCCATGGAGCCTGAAGCCAGTGAGAAAGAGGATAGTATTGTGTTGAGGGACGATCGGGACTGTGCGTGTCATTAGCATAAGGCGGATAAAGCTCATCGTGTGTATATGGAGTGGCTGTTGCTTCTAATGTTGGTGAGAGTGGTGGTGAGTATAGTGTTGTATTACTTGTTCTCTGACGACTCCTTGGTGTTTCACTTCCAACGCTCACTCTCCTGTTCCCTATTGGCATATCTGAAGGATATTGGCCCACCATCCTGTTGGTCTCTCTTGACGGGGATAAGCGCTGATTCCTTGGTGTCGTTATGCCATTATCATTGAATTGTATTGATGTTGAGGGTCGGGATGAAGGCATGGAGCACTGCGTTACTGTTTAGTCTCTCGCTTTATGCTTATTAATCGACCTTGCTATTGACCAGACTGTGTCTTGAAGAGTAGTTATGGAGGTGCGTATTTCTATATAATATGATCTTGAAAAAAATACTTTTTTTTGTTGGGAACAACAATCGATTAGTATCTAATTGTTAACACAACATTCTCCTCAAGGATACTAGGCGCTAGTCATCACAAGATAGTTTAGCAGAATAGAACTTCATAGAGGAATGTCTATCTATCGATATCTTTGTAGTAGCAATCATGTAGCGCTCTCTCGACGCCTAATATACAATGCACATACTTTGCATTGTGTCTATTGCAGTAAAATGACCGAGACTCCGACAATGTTGCTAGTCTCAAGCCAAGAGGCAGGCAGGGTCTTACCAATAATGTTGTTGTGAATTATGAAATCCGTGATATCATCAAATATGGATTGGCATTAAATTAGTTGGTTAAAGGATGTCCCCAAAGACAGTTATGAAGAGAAATGGAGGGAGGAAGAAAAAAGAAAGACAAAGGAGAGAGGAAGAGAGGAAGGCAAAGGAATCCTTGCCATCAACCCACCAGCATGCCTGAGAACAAAAGACCCTATTGCAAGAGGGGTGGTAATATGATCAACACATTGACAACACTGACCACCCATCAGCATACCGCTACGACAAATTATGAAAAAAGGGGTGAATAAATCGATCTGCTGACAGTGCTTCTTTTTGTGGCCACTCGTCAAATCATCAACGTTTGAGGGCCCCTCTGCAAGGTATCTATCCACTGCATATTTCAACGTCATCTGTAATCTAGGTAATCTAGCTTTGGCTTTTTGCACCATTCCTTGTTCTTTGTGCTAAATTACCATGTGGGGAATAGACTGCTTTCAACCGTCCCTTTTTCTGAGAACGGAAGGATAGGTGGGTCAAACACTGTTCATCCCTGGCAGCATGTTTTGCCGACAGAGACACCTATCTCCATGTCTATTCCGTCATTGATCCTTGATAAAGTAAAAAAGGAAAAGGATACCCAATCATGAAGGGACGTCAATTTCCCAAACATTGTTACTGAAAATAAATTGTTGTATAAATTTATATATAAACGTTATATTTAAACGTAACAAGTTCAAATTTATTTTAAATCAGCGACTTTGCCAACAGAATGCCATGCTTTGTGGCCAAAGACAAGGCAGCCCGAGATTTACATCACTTTCAAGAGTCACAGTCTTCCAGCCCAATGCCTGGTAAGAACGGTCAAAAAAGAAAGTTTTTATTTCCCTGATGTTTCCTTTCTTTTCTTTTTCCCTCACATCTTCCTTCAGTCGTTGATTTTCTACATCCCCCATCTTTCTGCCTCTCCACTCTTACTCACGATCGCATCCCTTCAGCTCATTTGCCTTTCTCATTCACATTTCTCTCTCTCTCTCTCTCTTTTTTTTTAAGCTAAGCTGATCAACACTTCTTTTTACACACCTTAAATCCCTTCAACAGTACAAAACTATGGCCGGTGGTTCAAAACTTTCACCTTTTGGTCATGCCATAGCTGGAACCGGAGGTGCCATGTTCGCATTGACGTGTACCTACCCTCTGGACATGTATGTCCGTGCCTACCCTTTATGCTTGGGGTGTGACAAAATTGATTCTTGTTCGCTTTATGGACTTCTTTTTTTTTTTTTATTAAAAAAAAAAAAAAAAAAACGTTAATGTTATTGTCAATGTGCTTCGTTAAAGATGATCATGCTGGGAGGAACCAAGATAGAACGAGCATTTGTGGCTAATCGACAAACCCATTAAACTTTCTATACATTATTGTTGTCCGTCTTTGTCACTTTAGTATCAAGACACGCATGCAAGTCAGGTCCAAATCCACGGCTGATTCATCAGATCCAAATGTTTATCTATCTACGACCGATGCTGTTCAAAAGATCATCAAAACCGAAGGTGTTACTGGTTTGTACGCTGGTCTCCTATCTGGACTTTTAGGTACTGCCTCTCAAAATTTTGCTTACTTCTATTGGTATACATTTCTCCGATCCGGTTATATTAAGCGACAGCCGGTCGGAGCAACTATCTCTACAATCATGGAGCTGTTGATCGGTGCTGGTGCTGGTGCTTTGGCACAGATTTTCACTATTCCTGTCGCAGTTGTCACCACCCGGCAACAAACCATGCCCGTTGGTGAGCGATTGGATCTCAAATCAACTGCTATGGAGATTGTGAATGAGGAGGGCTGGACAGGCCTTTGGAAGGGACTCAAGCCTTCTTTGGTGCTGGTTATCAACCCTGCGATCACATATGGTATGTACTCGCGCATTCAGGAAGTGGTATTGAAGGCGTTCCGTCGCAAGGATATGACCCCAGGATTGGTCTTCTTAGTTGGTGCCTTAGCAAAGACTTTGGCAACTATTGTCACCTATCCATACATTATGGCCAAGGTTCGTCTGCAATGGAAGCCTTCTAAGAAGGATGCTGCCACCCATAAGCCATATACAGGAGCCATTGATGTGCTCCAGCGTGTCTTTGAGAAGGAAGGCCTCAAGGGCTGGTATACAGTAAGTGCAACCTTTTTTTTTTTTTTTTTTTATATGTTTCCGATCATCTCAAACGCTAATGCCTGAGCGTAATTATTATTTATTTATTTATTTTTTCGTAGGGAATGCAAGCTCAGATTTCAAAGGCTGTCATTTCTCAGGCATTGTTGTTCATGGTCAAGGATCAATTGGAGAAATACACTATCCTCTTGTTCGCCCTTCTTTTTCGACAGAAGCGAAACAAAGTCATGTAAAAAAAGAGAAAAATGCCTAGGAGATTATATTACTCTGGGATGATTCCTCATCTTGCATAAATATTCCTTAAAGAAGGAAAGCATTGCCTGTATCTTGTATAGCTGTTCTTCTTGATCTGACTTAATAGATCATTTCAAAACAAAAACAAAAAATTCCCCACTCTTTTTATAGACACATAATAAAAAATTCTTTTTAGATTGGCTACGGACCCAACGTTCTTCCGGACTGTGTTTTTAATGACAGGATAGGACACAATTGCCACCAATTTCATGCAAACATCCTCCAAAAGCTCATTGAATACATTCAGGTCATTCTTTTCTTTTTTTTTTTTTTTTTTTTTCGTCCGCTGCTCATTATGGACACGATCCTGCGACTCTACTCCCAGGATAGTTCTGGAGCTACCTTGCGGCAGTATTTTGACGAAATCGATTCGGATCACAATTCTGTTGACCATGTAACGTTCATAAAAAACGCATATGCATCTCTTCGTCAACGAAAAAAAAAAAAAAAAAAAATCATAACTTCAGCAATAAAACTATTTACTAAGCTCTGGCTCATAATACTTTAATTTAATTGATGTCTATAGATTTCAACATTGGTATTGCATAATCTGCAGGCACTTGGATCGTCACTCAATACTAGTGAGTCTGGAGATAAATGTCTTCAGCTAGTCCGTGCGATTCTAAAAGGTAGATAGAGAGTGTTTAATCTTCGGCAGGAAAGGCTTCAAAGAAACTCTCCTTTGGGATCCCGAATATATACTAATTCATCCCCAATACAGCATCACCAGAAGGCGATGGTAGCAACAGGAGATCCCAGGTCCTGAAGGGATCTGTGGCATGGTATGACGTTGGAATGGCTGAATTCTTCGCAAATGAAATCTTTATTTCTGAGTCCTTAAGTAACCCAACAATATCTTCATGCAATTTAGGCTCATCCAAGTTGGGGAAGCGGCATCAGATCACCTTGGAAGAGGCGCCTCTACTGCGGCAATAGTGGATGAAATTGCAGGGAAACTCACAAATACAATGATTGATACCGCCTCGACATTTACCCAGGAAGCGCTGGTACAAAACATCAGTACAATGACAGAAGCAGTGAGACACCAGCGACGCCCTCATGCTCAAATCTTTGCACTCCTGTCTAGATTAGTTTTGATCACAGCGAATGCTGACTCAGTTACCGTACCAGATTCTTCTGAAGAGATTTCAGGCTCAGAGTACAGGGATATTATTGTAGATCGAATTTGCACCGCACCTTGGAATCATAAGAGCGTCTTACCGCTAGCAACTGCACTAGCAGATATCAATATTGAGGGCAAACAACTTGAACCTGTGATTATCAAAATTATGAAGCAGTTCAAACACGTTGATGCTGCTGATCTCCCCGTTCTGATTTATAATCTTCTACTTCTGTCATCAAAAGTAAGTCTCATGTCTTTCATTTAACTTTTAACGAGTGTTTTAATTATTGAAAGCAAGTTGCTGAATTTATTATTGTCTAGGGTCACCAACGACTAGTCCTTAAAGGCACACTGGAGTTCTTTGACCGATTGAATGCTGGCGGAGGGATGGCGGAGAGGTATCTTTTTTTTTTTTTTTTTTTTTTTTTTTTTTTTTCGGTAATGATGCTTACGATCTAATATATCTTGCTTTCCTTCATTCCTACAGCCTTCAGTCTGATAACCCAAAAAGCCCTGCACGCTTAGGGTTCTCGGAGCTTAGCGCGATTGAGAGTACAGTTATCCTTCATTTTAGCTTTGCTGTCAAACAAGATCAGGAACTCGGAACAGAACTTCTCAAACATATGAAAAGCGGAAAAACTGCCTATATCTCTTCATTTTCATTAACTTGTCTTATGACGATGGCGAGAATCCATCGATTTGAGGATAATGTCATGGATTACCTGAAATCCACAATATCATCTGTATTTAAGGATACAGAGAGGATGCAACGCGAACCTTGGGTATTAGGTTCGTATTATGAAAAAAAATGAAAAAAGCTTTCAAGACCGAGCCAATGCTCTAGAGTCCTCAGTATTAATTAACCAATTGCTGGTGTATTAGACTTTGAGGGTATGTCTCCAGTATCAATCTTCGGTATTTTTAACAATATCATCCAGAAAATCCCATTCGGACTGGAGCAGCTAACACCAAGCCTTGTGCATTGTGGTGTGTATATCATGGACTCGATGGCACCTAAAACCCACTGGGCCGTCTCAGGTAAAAATTACTGAAGTAACTGGTAGCGATTTGAAGAACAGTGTTCAGGCATAGTAACATTAAATATGATGACTGATAGACAGCAGGCTACCTAGAAAGATGAGTCCCAAGTCACCAGGGGATCTTGGCTGTGAACTTGGGACCAACATTCTGGCCGAAATTTTTAGGGTAACTAATATCACAGCACAAGCTTTCATGGCTTTCATATTAACATTGTGTATAAATGTAGTACTAATATCTGCTATCCATGGTAGACCCAAGCGTCGGCGAGGACAGAGATCCTCGACCATATCATGTCCAGAATCGTCACAAAATCGACCAGTACTACATACTTCCTCCAGTTACTTGAGGCCATTGTAAAAGATAGCCCTGACGCCTTGGAGGAGCATCTCCCAAGGGTCAAGGAATCCCTCGATTACCTTTCATTTCTTCCCTTAGCAACAGCAGTTTGCCTCATGGCGGCTATCAAAGATATAGCAAAGTCCAATCGATCTTTCCGGGATAGTCTGATCCTTATCTTAAGGAAGGCTCTGTTTTCAAAGTAAGGCTTTCTGACATTATTTCAGAAAGATTAAAAACTATATCAAGTCTATTGATGGCTGACTTAATTGCTTCGTGATTACTTTGAGCTGTTTTATAGAACGCTTGAAAGCCGACAGGTCGCCCTCTCCGGTTTTCTCTTGCTTTTAGGGCCCGCAAGCAAGCCACAGATGAGCCTACTAAGTGGGTCAAGCAAAGCTGGGGCATACCGAAGTTTAGAGGCTGAGTTGCCTGTCTACTCCATGGAGATCCTGGGTTAGTGGATTTTTATGCTCATGTTGGTTTAAAAATGATTATTATCAAATGGCTATTACCTACTAAACTCATTAAAATAACAATATTGATAATGACGCTAAACCATACAATTTCTCCTTATAGGAATGTTACGGCGCTGTCTAGGCCAGCAGGGCGAAGTTCGCTTAGCATTATACGTTGGTCTAATGGAACTTGTGGAGACAGCTCCATATTTGAGCCCTATCATCTTTGAGATCTTACAGGCTCATGTAAGTGTCTGGCCATTAGTGAAGTCTAATGTTTATTAAATGATATGTGTAGCTCTTTTATTTTATTTAGTTTATTTTTTAACGAAAACTACTTTGTCCCTAGTTTATTCACTTTTATGACAAAACAGGTACACGATTAACGCCGTTGAAGCTCGAGGAGTGCATTGGCAATTCCAAGACTGGAGGTGAACCGATATTTATCGAACCTCTTCAGTACCTCATGACCGGCATTGTACGTTCGTTGGTCGGACTTCAAAGGCTCAATAGGAGATCCACCAAGGTGCATGGTATGTGCTCATCATCAATAATCTTGTTCGATCTTATTGGTCGGTTTTCTGACATCAATACAATGAATTTGTTTCTGCTTTAACTCGTTAGATGAGGTTTACGCAGATGAGCAGCAGGTTTCTGATTGCCACCGGGATCTAGACACGATCTTACTTGGTCTCCAACGGGCGGGATTGGAAGATTTTGAATTGGATAAAACTTCCGACTTTAACATGGGATCAAATATAGGGGCGCGCAATAATATGTATGCTACATTATTGACTGGATGTTATGAGTCAGCCATCGAGTATACTGTTCTCAAACAGTCCTTGTCTGCAGAAGCCTCTAGTACTCATGGAAAAAGCGTAGTCCGCGATAGAGATGGGCGATTAGATCCTCAGCAGCGCTCTCTGAAGCTTCCTAAAGGCTCTGCAGAAGTTATTTTGGTCTTATTTGGGAAGATACACAAGCTCTTCGATATTGTCAAGGAGAAAGTTATCATGTCAAGAGGTGAGGCCTTTGCCATCCGTAGATATCTGTTTGGGAATATGGAGAGACTTTTGAAAAATAAGTGCTTAACTGGGAAAAATCTTTTTGCATCCCGAATAGGAAAGAAAATGGGACCATTGGGTGAGAGCTCCGTGCTGGGACTAGAGGCTGTAACAAAATTAATAGAATTTATGTTTATAGAGCAGAGTGATGAAGGCAGACTAGACGAGGAGGCACTTAGACTGCGAGCCAATGAAGATTTTGTTTACTACATAACAACCGTTGTATATGTGCTACTTCACAAGGTAAAGAATACTTGGTTAACTAATATTCAGTCCTCTAGCTAGTGTCTGATTATATTATTTCAACTATTGCTCTTATGGCCCAAACAGCTCTACACATCGGCCGAGACATTGACAGACAATGAGTATGACTACTGCCGCAGACTCTCAAGGGTGCTTGTAAGAGAGTTCCTTGTCAGCGAGAGGCCTGATGGTCCTAAGGCCGTTGCTGCTGGTGCCAAAGGCAAAGACAAAAACAAGTCTCTGCTAATGGTTGGAATTGAGGCACTTACTTCAGGTCTGTTAGTCGTTCAGCGATTTTATTCCAGAGAGCCTATAGCCGCCTCCGACGGAGTGCAGAGTGACAAGATCGTGTCTAGCTTTTTGGCCGCCACATTGCCACAAGCCAATGGTGGACTTCGCCCTGATCAGTCTGCTGAAGAGGTTGTGGCGTGGACAACATCTTGCACACTACAACATGATACTGGCAGCCTCGCTTCTGCGTACATTCACTATCTGCAAGGGCTCGTTGTTATGTTTGTTAATGAGACAATCCCGTTGTTGAAAGAGGCAGCTGGCCTGCTAAACATAATTCAACTCCTTTCAAAGTACTTGCTGCGAATAAGTGAGAAAGACGTGGAGGAGGCTTCCGATAGTGACTTGTATAGGGTATCCTCAGTCGTGAGCAGCGAGATTGCAGTAACAGGATCCAATCAATTAGACAAACTCATTCATTGGATTGCTAAGCTCTGTCGAGATCAAGCGTTGGACGACGCTTCGCTGACAAAGACGCTGCTTTCCATGATGTTACAACTGGAGCAGGAATCTGTTAACCCACAGATGACTGCAGATCTCTTCCCATCCACTCAAATGGGTACGCTGGGAGAGGCGTCGTCCTTTGGGTTTGGAAGCCTCACAGCATCATCAGCCGTTGCATTTCGTCCTGAGGCAGCAGCTCGTCTACGCTTAGCGGCAGATGTGATGCTTACTTACGGTTTGAATTATGGAGGGCCTGACGTACCTACTTTCCGCGACTTACCTGACCGAGCACCTCAGGGCGAACAAATAGACGAAGACGTGGCAAAGTTGATTCAGTTGAGGCGAGAAGTTGGTATCGAGACTTGCTTCGCCGTAGTTACCTTGCGGACTTCAGGCGCTATCACAGAAGTGTTACTGCATCAAGTGGACAGGTCATTGGAAGGCCTAGAATGGGCTATAAGCAAACTCCGATACTGTGGGCTGGCGTACTCAGGTAAGCACAAAAAAAAAAAAAAAAAAAAAAAAGCTTGATTGTGACGTGGTCTTGCTTGCATATGATAAGGGGGCGTAAATGCAGTTTCGAATCTGGATAGCGGAGAATATTATTGGAGGCTGTAGGGAGTAGGAGAGATGAATGCGATCAAGCACTGATAAGATCTTGATGGAAAAATGAGAATTCACAGGAACAAAAAAAAAGAAACTGTTTCTTATTTATTTAGGTCCGTGGCAGAGTATAATCTATGGCATACAAAAATACGTGTTGGCGCTATATATCTATACTACTGTCCCCTATTCAATGATTATGGATGACTATTTTAGGGCTATGTTAACCTGTAGCACGCAGCTCATGGACACATGGCGTTCAATATATGGGAACGACGGAAACATTACGTTATTAAGTGTCCACATGACTACATTGAAATATAATACTAAACTAGCTAAAGAAGTGGTGGATCGGCTATTCACTTCATGCACACCATGCGCACGGGAAAAGTTTCTCGAAGATGCTGATGTTTATTTGTTGCTTTATGTTAAACCGCGGAGAAAAAAAAGGGCTTACGGATTGAATACTGATTAAGCATGATTAAATGCTGTTAGAAACAATGTATTAACGTTAAATATCGCTCTGTGCGCCTATTAGGCTTATCATTCACTAACCTGCATTCACTGCTCTCCGCTCTTCCCTTTTCTGACACAGGCTCAGATAACTTAATAACAAAACAATCAGCAATCGTGGATCATGATATGCAACAGTATCAGTCTTCCGCGCGGCCAAGAATGGATATAGCCGAGACATCCACATCCTCTTCCTTTGGCGTACATGCTTCATGTCCTAAAAAGTCGTTTACCGAGTTTGAGACAGAAATTTGCTGGAGGATTGAAATTTGCCTCTGGATCCTAGTGCGCATTTCACAATCATGCATTAACCAATCGTCATCTGAACATCTCATGCGAGTACTTCAGCGAAGTTATAGAGTTCTGGCGGCCCTTACAAAATACTTTTTAACACCGCCAAATGCTGCGCCGCTCAATCTCTTTTCTCCACTCTCTTCATCTACTTCTGCCTTAAAGTCTAACGGTAACAACCAACGGAAAGGTGCGACGGGAAACAGCGTCATCCAGTTACCACATGGTTTTCTGCGTGTCACCCAGGTGGCAGGTATGGAGCTTTCCAGATATCTGTACTCCTTCCTCAGCTATTTCCAAATGCTGGATGTAGAACAACAGACAAGGGCACAGGAACGTAATGTTGCTAGCGGGCAAAAAGGGCCAAAGAAAAATGGAGGAGGGAAAAAGGGTAAAAATGTGGATGATGATAATGGAGCGTCTCAAAAGAACGCGGGAGGCCGAGCAGAGAATACTACTAGCACGAGTGGAGGATTCAAAGCGCGACAAAAAGCCAAGATCCTGCGCGAGTCCAAGTTGATCCCGACATTGATCTACGCAGTTGAGCAATACGAGCGCTACGTGATCCAATTGAGCAAGAAAGCTAAAGTGAATCTCACGCAGTTTATGAGGCGAAGTACAGCACGTGATTTCAGGATCCAGATCCAACGTCTTGGAGATCTAGGGTTAGAGGATAAATATGAAGAGGAACAACAGCAACGACTCTTACAGAGGCAGCTAGAACAGCAGCAACAAAATGACGAAGAAATGGTCATGGTAAGTAGATGGTCATCGCCATTCTATCATCTGTTTTTATGTTCGGCTTACCATAGTAATCCAATTTGCTTATGTTGTTTCATTTAATCTTATAGGCTGCTCACCACGAAGAAGACGACGATGAAGAAGAAACATTATTGAGATCGCGCAAACGAATTAAGCACGAGGTGTGACAGAAACGTTGAGTTGTGTGTTTGGCGAGAGTGGACCAAAAATGCGGTGGCGTAGTCTCTCAATCAGCGAGGAACACAGATCATGAATCTGTCACATAGCACAAATAGCAACAAAAACATTACAAATGATGTGATTTTGGCACATGGATTTGTTTGTTTGAGATATAAATATATAACAATAATATACATGAGCTTTTATTACATTTGATTTATCAACAAGGTATTAAGTATGACTTCTCGCTTTTGTGTGTGTGCCATTATTTGTGCTTTCTCTTAAAATGAAGAAGACTGGTACGTTGGCAAATGCTGGTTGTATGGCTGAGGCAAAAGCATTGAAGGTGCTGATGGCCCACTTGAATTCATAGGGCCGGAAAAGCTTGGTGAGGAGGAGCGGCTGTGGGATTGAGAGGACTCGTAACGAGGTGCAGTGTATTGATGTTGCTGCTGCTGTTGGCTATGATAGTAATGTTGTGAAGAGTTGAAGGAGGGCTGTTGGCAGTATTGTTGAGAATGGTGCTGATTTTGTGAGTAAGAAGAAAATGAGACGGGAGGATTTGGTGCAAAGAGCGAAGGCAGGGATGGGCCTACGTTAGAGTGATGTACTGGGATCATGGATGGGGACAAGGAAGAATACTGCTTAGGAGCAGGGCTTGAAGGCGACAGGGGAGGCGACTGAAGCTGGTGGTTTGATGCCATAGGAGGCATAGGAGCAGGAGCTGTCTGGTAGCCATTAGTCTTGGGTGAGGACATGGGAGTAGACTGTCTTGAATCATATTGAGAAGCCATGGGAGCCAATGGAGGCAATGTAAATTGATGCTGTGGCTGCTGTGGTAGCATCTTGTTGACGGGTAAAGAAGCTTCTGAAGGCGAAGAGGAACGCGAGCCATTGGATGAGTGAGAAGCCAATGAGGCAGCACATGGAGGAGTGTGGGTCTCGAGTCCAGCACAGGCACGAAGACGACGGATCTCAGTAATGGCATTGCGAAGAGTAGTGATCGAGTTGGATTTGACAGGAGGCTTCTTCTCGGTACCATCGGCATTGTATTGTTTTTGCTGAGGTTGCCCCTGGTCTTGTTGCTGTTGAAGTTCAGCAGCGGATTCACGAACCAAGTTGGCAAGCTCACCGAGAAGCTGGTTCATAGTATCACGCCTCTGACGCTCATCCAGAATATGAGTCGCACGACGCTTTTCCAAAGCTGTGAGACGAGAAATTGAGTCAACGTTCTTCCTGTTAAGAACATTGACGCCATGAAGGCGGAAGACATTCTTAGCAGGGGTAGCTGAAGGAGAGGATGTGGAAGTTGCAGTCATTTTGAACTTTTTTTTTTAAAAAAAAAAAAAAAAAAAAAAAAAAAAGTGAGATGAGTGTTGAAATGAGGAAGTAAGAAATGACAAAGTAGTTTCAATTGGAAATAAATAGTGCGTGTAACGTGAAAGGATGGCGTTGAAGCGATTGACGTGGAGTGGTCAATGAAAGGACATGAAAGAAGAGGGAAAAAAAACACACAAGATGACTTTGTGTTAATATGATGGAGACAGGTGAAGAATTTCAAGAAGGAGGAAAGAAAGAGAAGGTTGCGGGTAAAGTCGAGTTGGTATTTATAGTGGGGAGTAAATAGACTAAAGACCAGCACATGCACACAGAATAAAATAAATCATCGGGTGCGTCTGCTTGGCTGGAGAAAAGTGTCTGGGTGGAACACACAGAGAGCAGACTGAGACCAAAAAAAGACAAATGGGAAAAGGGCAAGTAGAAAAAACCTTAATTCTAACTTCGTGAATGAATCGGACTCAATACTGATATCAGCAATATTGCAACAAAGATAAACAAATAAACAAATAAACAAATCAACAATCCTCCACGGCTCATAAAATTATTTCTCAATCTTTTCGTGTGGAGAGAGACCGAGAGAGACCGAGAGAGAGAAGGCGACGGAGTCATTGAGTATATTAGGCTATTCAATCAATTAATATGGTTAGAGATCACATTGCATTGTAATCAAATCAAACAGCCCTAACAAAACTCAAAACAGAATAATGATAAAAAACCAGATCGTAGTACATGTCGCTATATGTAAGCTATTCATTCTATTTTATTAAGCAAGAACTAAGCAAAGCTTTAACTGAAGACTGGACTCGACCGGCATCGAAAAAAAAAAAAAAAAAAAAAAAAAACATATCCCTGCTTCTTATAGGTTCTTGTGCAAGGACTACACATTCAATGTCTGTACACTTTCCTTTTGTGTGTGTGATTTTTTTTTTGTTTTTTTTATCTACCTCCAATGGCAGCGCTTAGATTGAAAATAAAATAAATACTAGTATTCAATGCACTATTGCATCTGACCTCCTTCTCTCAACCTTGACTGTTGTTGAAAGTAAAGACAAAGACAGCACAGATACAATGTACAATAATGGTACTCCGACTTTTCATCAATAAAGATAAGATGACAAGATCCCAAATGAGCGAAACCTTGACAAGACTATATATATAATAGAATGTGCATTAATAAGAAATGAATAATGATATGAATTTTGCTCACTTCACCTCCTTGCGCTTATTTCTTTTGACTCCGGAGAAAAAAAAAAAAAAAAAAAAAGGAAAAGCGATATATACATTTGTATTTAACGTTTACTTAATATTTATCTGAATATATTTTTATACACTTGTAAATAGATACGCATTTTGTACTGAATGAAGGAAAAAAGATAAAAAAATAAAAAATAAAAATAAATAAAATGAAAGGTTAGAGCGGAGAAAGACCCTGTCCAATGATCACATCATAGGCGTAGTTTGTCTGTATAGCGAATCAGAATAAAATAAAATAAAATAAAAGACGCCCGGCTTATGCTTCATTCTCTCGCTTTCACTCGATCTGAGGTCACCAAAGAAGATAATAGATCAACAATCCTTTTGTTTTATTCCTTGGGAATGCGTGGGGATAGAAGGAATGAATTTGTGAGAAAAAAGAATAAATAGAATATTGATAATGCAATGTGCCGTAAAGATAAGTCTTTTTTTACTGAATATGGATCCTATATTTCTTGGTCAGTGTTGTTTGTTTTTGTTATTGTTGATACTTTATGCATATGCATATTGTTAACGCCTTGACACACAAGATAAAAAAAATAAAAAATAAAAAGCAAGGAGATCAACTTTCGGATTGTCTCACCAAGATTTCTACCGCGGGGCAAGGACAATGAAAAAAATTACAGCATCGCGAGCTCATAGGGATACCTCGGATTGATATTATATATAACTATATATATACATTTACTTTGGCAAACTGAATAGAATATTAATCACTCCACTTCATTTTCTTATTTTTTTATTTTGCATGTAGGTTTGGTTAATACGCTACTACGATCGCTCGCTATCTCTAAGAGATGTTTTTTATCAACAATATAGACGGCGGTGATAACGGTTTCAGCTAAAGACAGAGCGTTAACCTGGGCGCAAAAAGAAAGGGGGAGAGAGGAAAGGGGAAGGATCCAACGTGTACATGTCCCTATATATCTGTATAAACCAAATATACATTTTAAAGATCTTTCCTTATCGCATTAACGTCAACAACCAAGGTTTGCAGTCAAATGAACTGCGAGAAAATCTAATCATATTCCAAGTGCTTTTTTTTCTTGTTTTGGCTCTTTGGTTTGTGTTCCATGGGTACTCTATTCTTTTTTATTTGTTTGTTGATTTCAGATGATGGTGCTTCCTCTGTGCGGGGCACAAAGTACACTTAAAAGAAGCGTTTCTATTGATCCATTGGGTGAGGTGTTGGCTCGGGCTTTCTAAGATATGAAAATTTTATTATAAAGGAATGTACAGGTGAATATTTATACCAGATATCATATCAGCATTCATCACAAAACTAAAGGCTCATTTATTTTCTTTATTCTTTTTCGTTTTTTTTTTTTTTTTTTTTTTTTTTTTTTTTGGTATTGGTCCCTTTGACTTTTCTTCATCTTTCTTGACTATTGCACATTGAATACATCTTTGTGCACAATCAAAGAATGCACCAGCGATAATCGCATCCAATATGAAGTTGCGCACAGGGTATGGTATCCAGTTATATCATCTGCATTCCAAAAAAAAAAAAAAAAGGCATGAACCAAAACTCCACTTAATTGTTTTTAATTCCTGTAAAAAAAAAGTTTATTAAAAAAAAAAGGAACTTTAATATATATCGCCAATTTTATTTGGTCACGATACCTTATATTTTTAATCTAAAAACGATGATTGAATTGTTCTGGTGGCATCTCACTACGTGACGGACTTGCAACAATACTCGTAACAAGCGAGCTAATTGGCTGCCAATACACTCGAAAGTATTCAAAAAATATAAGGTACCGCGACCAAATGAAACGGGCTATATATGGTGACATCTACATGTATACGGCTCGAAACAAAAAAAGTTTGTATGCACCAATTCAGTAGTAATACTGCCCTTGCATAAAAATGATGGAAGAACGGCCATCAATGTCCATTTCACCCTGCATTCTCGTTCATGCGTCCCTCTTCATGTTGCCGAAATGTATATATACCTAGAACTTTTTTTTTAATATGCCCAACAAGACATTGTGCATACGGGGCTCTCGATAAAGATTTTCAATATGCTCTCATAATGCTCAATATGCTCTTGTTATCCATTTCTATAAGCATGTTGTTTTTGTCGCGGTCTACTTTAACGGTAGGACAAAAGTCTTCTTTGGGCGATAAAACAGAGATTCCGTCGCGCTTTCTTTCCCACCTTCGAATATTAATGTATATATTTATATATATAGCCCGTTTCATTTGGTCGCGATACCTTATATTTTTTGAATACTTTCGAGTGTATTGGCAGCCAATTAGCTCGCTTGTTACGAGTATTGTTGCAAGTCCGTCACGTAGTGAGATGCCACCAGAACAATTCAATCATCGTTTTTAGATTAAAAATATAAGGTATCGTGACCAAATAAAATTGGCGATATATTTACATATTCAAAACAATACAAATATAATATTTATGTAAAACGATCTATTGTTGACTGGCCATTGTGGTGGATTCTAGTTTGATCTCTACCCCTATCATCTTTCAAGCGGCATCCCGAATATCAGTCAACTAATTAATGTCACAACGCATATCATTCCATGACGAAAAGGTACACCGCCATCTTTATTTAAAGAATAGTATTTTTTTAGTGTTATCAGTAAACGTGCTTACCACGTCGTTCTTATTTCAAGCGATTGATATATTTCTTGCTCTTTAAATGTTATATATTAGTGTATATTTATCTGTAAGTGTACACAGGTATACACAAATATATATATTGTCCTCGTCATTTGGTCATGCACATATTGTAAAAATATATTGATTGAATTGGCCCCAGAAAAAGCGCGTCACATTGAATGGGATTTGTGTATTGAATCGGTGGCTGATTTTGGCCACCAACTCTTTTAAGATTATTCAAAATTCTGAGCCGACCAAATCAATTCAATAATTATATGTTTTTAGAATATGTGCATGACCAAATGACGAGGACAATATATATAATATCTATACCGTGTGGGGAGATTATATGCAAGGCAAATATAAGTAAGGCTATTGACGGTCCAACATTAAGGAGTTGCGTCAAACATTTTCTTGGGACTTCAACATATCGGCTAGGTTGAAATTTGCTTGAAGGTCATTATATAATCGAGACATATAAGCATATTGAACTTTGACGAAATAAAGGAAAGAGGAATTACTTCTAAACAAACAAAAGATAAAGATATAGAGCGACTCAGCTTATCAGTGAGGAGAGGCAATGAAGCGATGGTGCAATTATTGTAGTATATATATATATATATATAATAATAATACATATAACCACTCCAATTCCAATGTTTATTTCTTTGATTATTATCCATTGGACAAGTCTTCATTCAAACTCCTCTATTTTCCTTACCTTTCATATCAGTAGTCTACAACTCATTTTCAATCAATATAACAAAATGGAACGAGGGCTGGGTTTTATTCGGATTGCTTCACACGGAACATACAAAAAAAGAGTAAAGTTTGAACGGTGATACTCTTGCCACGTTCCTTTGGCCTGAGCAGGGTTTGCTCTCTCCTGATTATGCCGGATATGACTTAAATTGAGATATATTCAGCACTGCATAGGAGGTATTGAATTGTATCGAAACTAGGCAAGGATCCAATTTGCCATCGATTGTATAACAAGGCGAGCTGGGTTATGTGAAAAAGTGGATATGTGGATACTACCAATCACTTTGCTCTGATACCTGATAGTGTTCTGGTAACTCAATAATTTTGTACAGAAAGAAAAGAAAAAAAGGACCGTAACTTGTGGACTTTGAACCCACAAGGCGCCGTGGAATGTCGAGTTTATTCTATGGGTACAGATATAACTATCACAAGCAAACAGACTAACTAAAGTTCACACGAGGCGTTTATTCTTGCTGGTCACATTATTCATGATTGTAAATATGTAGATAAAATTGAGGTAGTTAAAAGAGCAAGAGCATTATCCTCTTCATAGATACTGAATCACCTTGAAGGGAGCAGATAATAAATGAATAGAAAAAATCAAGATGCATTTGCTTGCACCTGCATGACATGATATGTGAGCGAGGAAGAGAAACAAGCAATCAAACATTTTATACCTTTAACCTTGCCGAAGAAGCATAGATACATTTATACTTTCGATTAGTTGGCTGTAGATCAAGATTTTTTTTTTTTTTTTCAGATGTTGAAAACACATGCCTAAAATGGGTGTATCCGTGGCAATAATTCCACCCCGCCCTAATCGCTTTATTTTTAGCAGGCTCCTTGTCTAAGATCTGAGCCCAATATAGTCCGTCCCATTAAAAAACGAGACATTCCATCTATTGTAAAAAGAAGAAATGTATTAGAACACAGAAATAAATAAATTAACCAAGAAAAAAAAGTACTATCAAGCCAATACTTACAATTTTTTTAAGACGAAGGCCTTTCTGGGCCTAGTCATGTTTGTAGTAGATTGTGTCCTACTGTTGTTGCCGGCTTGTCTCTCCCCCTCCTCCTGGACCCAGCAAAGGTCCTTTCGGTGGTCTTGATCCCTCTACTCCTCCTCCTCCTTCATCTGAAAATTTCCTTTTTGTGGATCTGCTACTACCACCACCACTGCCACCACTACCTCCACCGCCGCCACTACCGCTAGAAGCTTGGCCTTGAGTTCCTCCGTCCGGCGGCATATATTTTGCAGGTCGTTTTTGCTCTCTTATCTGCAACTCACAGACCCTTGCGATGTTCTCAGCACCAACAGCATCTCGATCAAAGTATGCTTTACAATTTCGACAGTACTTGGATCGAAAAGGAACATTCTCCAATATACTGTCACAGTGAGGCCGTGGACACTTGGCAGATGTGTAGTATTCATGACAACCTACAATGGGGTAGTCTAGAGATTTTGCCTGTTCGAGCCAGATTTAATACTCGTTAAAAAAAGACTCAAAAATTAAATGTCATTGATCAAGGGAATTTTTTTTTTTTTTTAACCTTTTCAACAAGCTTCTTCATCAATATCCCATGCTTCGATACTTGTCCTCGGTTTGTCTTGAATGATCCTAGTCCAATACAGATCACCGCATTCGTATTGGCATCTCTTCTTCTTCCATTGCTTCCGCCCGCAAGCTTCAGAATTGCCTTAATCACACAATCAACGCATCCGTTCTGTGCTTTTCTAATATCCCAGCTATTCCGAACAAACCACCCGTCATTATAGAATTCGACAAGCGCCCTATATTTAGTCTCCCTATTGTCGTCACTGGTCCCAGATCCACTACTACTACTGGCCTCAACTCCACTGCTACTACCGGTCCCTGCTCCACCGCTACTACTGGCCCCAACCCCACTACCAGAGAAACTACCTCCAGTACTTGATGGAGCTTGATTTAGCGGCAAGCTCATATAAGCGAAATACTGTGTTAAAGTAGGCCTTGAGAATGACGGAATATTGCTTTCAATCTCTGTAATTCCTCTTCTAAGCTTTCGCCTCTCTAGCTCGCCCTGAAACTTCTTGGATGGTTTGTAAAGGTACGCTCTAGAAATCCGGAGGATCTCACGTTCGTTAGGTTTCCTTGGATCCAACTTTGCAATTGTCATCGAGTACCTCTCACCTGGATCGATCCCAATGATAATGGTACTTTCGGGGGGAGGGCATGCTGCCTGGGTGTCATATTTAACTTCTACATGCTCGAGGAGACGGGATCTCTGCTTCCAATTGATCTCACGCCGGGGACTGGGACTCACCGGGAACAGTGGATTTGTGCTCGATGTACCTTCTTCAGCTGCTTCTTCTCCCTCTTCGCCATCTAAGAATGGTTCATCAACTTCCAGCAAGTCAATATCGCTGATACCCAGCAAGATATCGTCATCTTCATTTCCGTCGTCGTCTCCATCATCACCACCATCACCTGCACCATGGCCTGAAGACGAGGATCCCTGCTGAGCACTTGAAGAAGCCTGGACTGCTTGAGATCTTTGAGTATCCGAAGGTTGGGCAGCTTGCGAACCCCTACCTCTTTTTTGCTTCGATGTGTCATAGGCAAGAAGTGTTAGGGTAAGGCCGTTTGTAAAGAACGATGTCCGTAGTTTCCTTCTAGGGCCATCATCAGATTGCAGTCCAACGTCCTTGTATCCTTTCAAGGAAAACAGCTCCTGCAACAATATCCCCTTGTGGTTAAGGATCTTGTCCTCTGCAGCCCCCTTGGTACTCATGTTTAGTTCCAACAATTGGGCTATTTCCTCTCGAACTGTTGGGTTAGACCATAATATATCCAGGAGGCAGGCTTCCGTTAGGCAGAGAGACTGAGGCGGGAAAGCAGACGTAGGGAAATCCAGATATTTTTTGGCAGTTGCATTTTGCTCAAAAAAGAATTGGATGGAACTTCTTCCATCGCCTGGAATATCTATGTCAAACTAGACATTATATTGAAGAAATGATTAGGAACATTTCTATAAACATATTATAAGATAACCTCAAAATATTATAATATTATATTTACCTGCGCATTCCGATAGTGAGACCTTAGCGCTGCTTGAACAGGGACCATGACCATCCGAGACGACCTGCTGATCACCAAATCGGGATAGATCTGGTTTAAAGGACCAAGCCCTGTCTTTGCATAGAAGTTTTCGTATGCTTTGAGCTGGGACGGCTTGGCTACGTTCCCTTCGCCTTTTTTCTTCACTTCCCTGCTATACCTAGATAATGGACTCATCACTCCGTGATACAACAACGCAGCAAGGCCGTAAATAAAGTCTCTGCTATCAAGAACTTCATCTAGGAGTTGTGGGAGATCAGCTGGATTGGATGGCCCAGTGGTAAGCAGGTTATCGATCCACAAGGCGCAGGCCCAGAAAGCTCGAATCCGTGCCTCATTCAACATTTTAATAAATGATTGAATGAGCCCTTGAATTGTTGCAGCAAGTTGCTCGGGATTGAGATTGGGATCGGAAGTAGAGTCCAGCTTGGCAACTACACATGTCTTTAACGTGCCCAGAGTTAATGCAACAGTGGGGTGGGCCCTCTTCAACCGTCGATCCTCGGCAGTAGCCTCCTTCACTTTCCTGGTCTTATCAGTCTTTCTGATATACTTGGCCTTCCCTTTGTTCTTCTTTTTTTTTCTTCTTTTCCTCCTTAACCTCCTCTTCTTTGTCATCCTCTTTTTTTTCCTTTTCCTTTTTTTTGGGGGACTTTCTTTGACGGCTGGAGCTGACGGGACGGTCGTGTTGTTTGCAGTTGGTCAGGTCATATTTCTTAGGGGAAAGTTCCTTTTTCTGGGTAGGGAAAAAAGGCCGATAGCGATTCGGCTTTGCGCGTTTAGGGATATAGAATCTAATTAGGAACAACAATGTCAAGGGTTAGATGACTTTTTTTTTTTTTTTTTTTTTTTTGTATATGCTTTGGAAAATGTTCATTTGAAGGAGCTTACCTGGGTTGAGGTTGATTATTTTTATTCTGGTACCTAGCAGATATCGCAGTCCTCATTCTATCATGGTAATGAAGGAATCTTTCAGCGGTTGGTTGCTGCGAGGCCTGGGTTTGGATCCCACCAAAGAAAACATTAATTGAATGGTCAAACTGGCCTTCTGCAGGAGTTCGACGGCTACGGGCATGGACCTCACGAACATATGATACCGTCAACTTTTCGGCATCAGTGTCAGTGAGCGCGGAGATAATCTCAGCATTTGTAGCAAGACCAAAGGTTGGGATATTTGGGGTGTAATCGTTATCGGATATAATGCCATAGACCAGGAGTTGACTGTTCCTTGAAAACCCAAGGGCTTGCAGGACCTCTTGTTTCTCATAGAGTGCAAACATGTGATGGCGACGAGGGATTGGACGAAGAACTCTTTTTATAGAAGGATAGATGAGAAGGTCAGAGTCCCCAGACACAGCGATACTGGTTGGTGTACATTTGGCGGCAATACACACATCAGCCTCATTTCTACAATGGCAAATCACAAAGTTATTGTATCGACCGAATGGCGCCGCGAGCTCCCTCTTCTCGTTATGACTGAATGTGAAGAGCTGTCGAAGATTCTTTTTAATGGCAATCATATGGCTTCGAGATTCCCATTTGCCTTCATTGGACTTGGTTTCCATGTTGGCTATGAGCGTATCGAGTTTTGCATCCGCTGCTGTACGCTTAGCATCTCGGTCCCTATAGGCACGCGTTTTTTCTTCGCAGCGAGGCCCATCAATGTGTATCGTCACTGTGGCAAGAGGACCAAAGATCTTTCGAATGATACTAGCCATAGCATGGCCGCAGGCAGTGAAAGAACTCTGCCGGCTGAATCTCCTTAGGATGATATTATGTATATCGCTGTGGAAAGTGCCAAGCAGATCCAGCTCAAAAGATGAATGGGGTTCAGCAGCAAGCTCATGTACAACAATCTCCTTTGGTGGCAGGTCTCTCCTTGAAAGGTATGAATAGAGTCCTTTAATACCCATCTAGAGAAAGTATAGTGTAAAACAGTGCAAGCAATGTTGGTTTAAGCGGCTAAAGATTGAAGCTGAAGTTGTTAGAGTAGAGATAGTTTACCTTTAAGAAAGCAAAAAGTTATGATCTGTGAGGGGATGAGGGTGTAAGAGTACGGGTGAGAGCGCGAAAGCAATGTCGTTGTAAAATGAGAGAGAGAGAGAGGGAAAAAGAGAAGGAGGCAGGACGTATTTATAGGTGTATGAAAGAGAACGAAACAAAAGGCTGATGAATTTGGAACAACTCGAAACAATAAGATTCTCAGCGACAAGTTTTAACTTTTTGGATTTCGAGTATTGTTTACAGCTCTTCTCCAATCATCTACATTTACCAAATCAAGCCTTCGCCATGACAATCAACAAGAAATAAAAAAAAAAAAAACAGACTTCCTTACGTCCCCCTTCGGTATGTGTATCTGTCTGAACATGTCCTAACTGACATCCTCTCGACAATCCTTCCAAGGCTGCAGTGTTTGAATGTGTACAGGGAACAAAAGAAGTCTAGATACAGGCTCTCTTTGTGACATTGAAGGAGATCGCATGTTTCATGGCTATCGAGACAAGGTACCCCTACAGGCACAAGACAAAGGTATAACTCGGTTCAAACTCAAAGGAACGACTTTACCAATGGCCTTGTTCTGAATCCACTTGCCTATGACACAGTCCAGACGAAGAGACAGTAGCAGTCTGACGTAGATGAAGAAGATCTCAGCCAGGAATTGAAACTTTCTCAAGGATTCCTTAACACGGCGTGTTTTAAAGGCAGCCGGTGAAGACCTGACAGATGAAGACTACGCAAACATAAACTGGAAGAGGAGCCCCAAACTTCTTGAAAACGTTGGATTCACATTCCATGAGCTAGGGCGATGCTCATCTGCAAATACCACAACTACCGTCTAATGCGATCCTGGTATTGTTAATGCCCTTACGTTTTCTTCGCTAGACCGCCACAACCCTGACCTGCGTCAAACGGTGAAGGTGAGAAGTAGGCTCGTCAACAGCCTGTGTGTCTTATATGCGTTGCACCAATGCTCACTGATAGGTTGGGAGGAAAGACACCAAGCCGGCAACAACAATAGGATATGATCAGTTGCATATTTCACAGTACACGTGTTACATGAAAATTTATAATACAGACATACAGTACTAACAGCTCTATGCCCCATGGTGTGGTGCCCGAGACAAACTTGCAGTTTTATTTTGATACAAATTTGGATAAATGCCCCATGGATGTGATGTGTGAACCCACATCCTATTCTCACTTCTGCTCCCTGGTTACTATTTGTCTGTCTAAAATTTTTCATGAGCTACTACAAACATGACTAGGTCGGGAAAGGCCTTCGTCTTGAAAAAGTTGTAAGTATTAGCTCGACAGTGCTTTCTTGACTAATCTCTTTATTTCTATGCTTGGTCTAGATGGTGTTTTTTTATGGGGAGGACTATTTAGACAACATATAGACCCCACATATCTTAATCATAATAAATTGGTTTGGTGGCATTGTTGTAAAAAATATCTTTGCTTAAGGGACAGAAAGATAGACACAATCAGGAAAAGGCAGGACAAAGAGTGTCAACAAGATTGACAAGAGAAAATAGAGTCAAATAACCTTGACTACAAACAGCGCCATAGAATGTCAAAAGAAAAGATGGGAGCTTTATAGGTGAGCTCACAAACTGAGTTACCGGAAGACAAATGCTTGTTGTGAAAAGGGGAAAAAGATAAATGGCAAGATGAACTGCGGATGAAGAATAAGACATGTGGGGAAAACTGAAGACTTTATTAAGAAGGAAGTTTCTTTGGCTTTTATACTCGGTAGCTTCTAGGTGAGGCGGACCCGCCTATGACTACAAAGGGGTTCGACAGATTAGTGGATACAAAATAAACTGAAATTAATTTTAATGACCAGTCACACCACTTGCAATAACAAGCGAGTCAATTGGCTGCCAATACATTTAAGAGTATTCAAAAAATATAAGGGATCGCGACCAAATGGAACGGGCTATACTGTACACTCCTGTCTCACTCTTTTGCAAAATTTGCAAAAAGTGGATTTTATATATGTTCTGCAACGCTCATTGGCTGGATTAACTTCAATTCAAAAATACTATTGTAAAAAAAATCAAGCGATTCTATTGGCCTACTGTTTTTTCTCTAAAGGCAGGGAGACTTGCACTTACAGAGCCCTCATTCATGTGACCATTGATGAAGGAGCGTCTCATTTGACAAAGAATTAATCGATTTGACAACCCCCCTAATTTAGCAGTCACACCGGCTTATTTGGCAACCCAGGTCTTCAATTTTCACTTTTTTGTTATTTGACAACCCGGGTTGTCAAAAAAAGAAGAAAAATTGTCTTTTTCAACCTGTCACATGACAAGTCTTCACCCTCTTGCACTTATGGAGGGCCTTTCTCAGCTGGATTTCTAAAATGGTGGCAACACTCCGTTATCATGACTGTGGTTATAGCTTCTTCTGTCTCTCTTTTTTTCCTTTCCGCGTCTTACGCATGCGCCATCAAGCGTCGCATAACCACTCCGAATTTATGTATGCTTAGTGCATGTTACCCGTATAGGCACATTTTCTATAAAGCAAGCCCTTGTTTTAGAAATCAGTTGTAATAAAAAACAACACCTCGTAACCAAAAAAAAAAGTTTGTTATTTGAAGGAAGCTTTTAGATTGCTGGAGGGATTTCGTGTTGCTGAGGGATAGCAATAGAAACGATTTTCACATAATAATCTTGCCAATAAAAAAAGGGTTGTCAAATAACAGTGAGCTTGGGGTTGTCAAATTAGATATTTTACTATTTGGCAACCCGGGTTGTCACGCAAAGAAAAAAAATTGAGAAAAATAATTAAGGGGGGGGTTGTCAAATAAGAGTGACAACCCGGGTTGTCAAATAGATTCACCCTAATCCTGCCCTTCTCTCTCACACAACACCCACACTCAGGAAACTATGACTAATAATCTTTCAATCTTCTGCATCCTCGACGGATACACGGTTTCGTCTTCTTTTTCCGTGGAGGTTGCACTTGGTGCCACTGTCGATAAGCTTAAAGAGTCCATCAAGGCCACAATGAGTGCCGGGCTTGAGGGTGTAGATTCGAACACTCTTACCCTTTGGAAGGTCTCCATACCCGTTACCAAAGAAGACATGAACAAGGTCATTTCTCTGGAAGAACTGACTGACAAAGAGGTTCTACTCCCAACCACTCCACTCAGAGTTGCTTTTGAAGGACTGAAGGAAGGCGAGTTTATCCACACAATTGTGCAATCTCCACTGAAAGGTATTTTTCATTTCACATTTCTTTTTTTTTGACAAGCTAAATTGATCTAATTGCCAATGATTAGTATTGACAGAGCTGTCTTTATTGTACAGTGCCTGGACGCGCCTCAATCACAACAACATTTAACGTATCCCTGCGATCCACTCATATGAGAGCTTTTTCATGGTCTGTTGATGTCATGGAAGCCTCGTTTGAAGACTTTGTATCAGAAATATACGACAACTTCCCTCATCTTCCATCATCCGACTCCCCAAAGATAATACTATATCTCAACCAATACGATATTAGACATGTGCACGACGATCTTTCCTTTCAAGCAGTACTCTTAGAGTTGAGGAATAACGATGATACCAATATCGTTGTCGATCTTGATACGCCTACACTTAATCTCTCGAGTTACTCTCTTCAGAGCGTCGACACGCTCTACGGTTTAACCCGCAGTTTCAGTGGGAGGCTTTCAAACTTTCCCGCTTTCGACTCTATTGACAGCATCAAATTCAATTCCGAGGAACACCGCGTAGCACTGGAAAATCTCTATCTTGACCTCGAGAACAGAATCGATACTTCTCCTCTCTTAGAGGATGAAGATATTCCTGCCTTTGTGGCGCCACTCCTTCATCGATCTGTCGAATTGTTTAAAGACCAGCTTCAATTGAAATATAGGCCTACCCTCTTAGGGATACGTGGCGAGAGTCAACCTGACTTTATAATTGAGACAAAGGATTATACAAAGGAGTATGTCATCGTAACAAAGGCTTTGAGCAGTGATATCGGATCTGCTGTTGCTCGAAACATGGTACAACTGGAACAAACACTGATGCGGCAACAGGCAAAGCAACAGCAGAAAGAGATGCAAGCAAGAATCTGTAAAAAAAGAAAACGCGACGACCATGGGACAAATACTGAAGCCGAGTCTTCTGTCTGCTATGGGCTCGTAACTGACGGGAGCTTTTGGCATCTTACTGAATGCAGTCTTGAACCCGTGGCTGGATCATGTTTCCTCTATCCTAAATTCCGTACATCCCCTCTAGGCATCGTTACTTCATTCCAAAAGAATAGACTTAAAGTTGATGGTACCCAAAAAGCGTTTGGCACTCTTATTTGGCTTCTTGATACACTGATGCTGGCGTCAAATAAGCGAAGGAAAATGAAATAAATAGGCATGCTACCCATAAAAAAATACTTCGCCAAGTAGTCACAAAGTTAATGTTTTCCCCTCATATTTTCCCTCATCTTTTCTCACATATCTTTTCCCAACTTTTCCCACACAATTTACCAAACATGGCTCTCACTTTCAATCTCTTCTGCATCCTCGACGGACACACGGTTTCGTCTTCTTTTTCCGTGGAGGTTGCACTTGGTGCCACTGTCGATAAGCTTAAAGAGTCCATCAAGGCCAGAATGAGTGCCGGGCTTGAGGGTGTAGATTCGAACACTCTTACCCTTTGGAAGGTCTCCATACCCGTTACCAAAGAAGACATGAACAAGGTCATTTCTCTGGAAGAACTGACTGACAAAGAGGTTCTACTCCCAACCACTCCACTCAGAGTTGCTTTTGAAGGGCTGAAGGAAGGCCAATTTATCCACATATTCGTTCAATGTCCACCGAAAGGTACAACCCTACATTTATGAATTTCACTGCTTTTTATCCACGAGCGTCATATCATATCATACACTTATTTTCTACTCTTTCTCTTATTCAATCATAGGACCTTCTCAACTGATGCTCAAGATCTATTTTCCGGAGAAGAAACAAAAGGTTTCCTGGACCACTAATCATACTACTGTCCTCCTCGAGGAGCTGAAGACCATTGTCATTAATAACCATGACGGCATTGATATCGGAAATGTAAAAATATCAATTCAGCATCGCCGAAGACTTTGCCACGCCTCGTCATTGCCAGAAACACCCGCCACCGACAAAGACCTGCGTAACATCCTCTGCACCTATTCCAAGAGGGGACTCGGAACGCTTTCCGTCCGTGTCCCAGACCATATTCATCGTTCAGGTTCCAGGAGGTCTGCGAGCTTTCAACCCAGAAAAAATTCCTCTTGAAGAAATTTTCCCCGAGGAAGAGTCATCAGATAGAAAATTGGAGGCTCTGGCTGGGCTTTACGAACAATTGGCTACTTATCAAGAGACAAAGCGGCCTCGAGAGTCTGAAGCAGAGGTGTCCATTTGGGTCGGAGCCTTCCTCAGCCATGCTCTAAATGTATACAAGGGTCAATTAATTTTAAGGGTGGAGAAAACATTGGAGGGTCAACGAGGACGCGGTTCCATTGACTTCGCATTCGAATCTCCAGACGACACATTACTTCTTGGCGTTATTGAAGTAAAGCATGATGATTGGCTACAAGGGTTAGCACAAAACTTGGTCCAGTTAGAATCGTGTGCGGTGGCGCGCTTAGCAAAATACCCTTCTTCAAGCTCGAACATGAAGCGATCAATGTGCTATGGGATCATCACGACCGGCGCCCGCTGGCATTTCGTGAAATGTTATCTCGAGCCTCCGTCTGAAGTACTCAAGTTCCGATACTCCGATGCCCTATATTTTACCCTCGAAAGCGCAGATTGGAAGGATGATGCAAGGAATATCCTCATGCATCTCCTCAAGATGATCGAGGAAATGCTAATCATCGACAGCGAAAACAACAGAAGAAATCTCACGCCATCCATTCGTTCCAATGATTCTCTAGTCTCATCCATACAAGTCAAAAAAAAGAAAAATTTATAAATCGCCGCATTGGCTTCTTTAAAACCCCCAATAACTTTTTTCAGATGACAGAATGACTATAAAGGAAGGGTCGTCGTTGACAACGTCTTGCCCATTTTCGAATGGAACTAGTAACAATTTTCAAAGTAAAGTTCCATAGTACCAAATTTAATTATTATTTACCCCCAATATTATGGGGCCGAAAGATTACGCCGGGAAATCTGGCCTTAATATGCGCATCAATCCGCTCCTCCTCCTCTCTACGTTCTTGTTCACGCTTCCGAACCCCCGCAACATACTCTCGGCTGGCCTCAAAGACATCGCTGCCAAGATGGGCATCGGCTAACAACTCAAGTTTTTCTTTGATCTCCTTGTACTCTCTTCCCCGCAACACCTGAGCCGCAGCCATGAGCTTGTCGTGCGCTTCGGGCCTATCTCCCTTTCGCCCTTGGTCTCCTCAGAGTCCGAATATGAAGAAATCGTCGTAGAGCTCAGTTGAATAATGACAGAAGGTTCCTCGCCACCTTCCTCCAACTCTGTATCACTAACCGCCACATGAAGGAACCTGCCGTGTTCATCAAATACAAGATCTTTTTCGTCGCTGGAGCCGAGGAAATCATCATCGGAATCAGTTTCAGGATACTCGTAGAGCCCCAAAGAGTAATCTCCCTGCTGCTTGAAGTGCGCCTGGAAGTACTCGTTGCTTTCTTCTTGTTCTTCAATAAACTGGCAAAGAATGGGGGCCCCGTCAAGCAAGCTATGTAATGACGCCATCTCTTCCTCGTGCATCAACTCTATCACAGTTTGAGGCACATGCTGGATACTTATTGAGTTTGACAGAACTGAGGGTTGAGGCATGTCAGATGGCAAAGACCGAAGCTCTGCATCCATGATGTCGTTCAGCTGATAAAGTGATAGAACATCGCTTCGGAAATATTCTAGCGCCTCAGCAATATCAGAGCCATCAGTTTCACTTGCCAAGAGTAGCTCCTTTTGCTTGTCTTCGAATATCGGAACATGGTGGAAACAATGTCGGATACACTCTTGTTTGACCTCATGCCAAGCCTTCACAATATAGCACCAGCCTTGGAGATTGGTGATCTTGTAAGGGCTACCTTCAACAGGATTTAACGCCTTCCGAGCCCTCTCAATCGCTGTTTTACGGAGGACGGAGGCTCGATACTTCCGCTTGAAAACAGCAATCACACCAACGTCAAGCGGCTGCGTAACAGAGGTGGAGTTGGGTGGAAGCGCCAACAACTGAATACTCGGATACAATTGAGGATACCTCGATGCGAGAGTATGCGCTGGGGCATTGTCCATCAGTAGCAGGATGCGACGAGAAGGATCGGCTCTCGTAATTGAATCATGAAAGCATTTGAGCCAATAAAGGAAAAGTACCCCTGTCATGTAGTCGGCACGTTTGTGAAGATCGATTTTTCTGCATCCATCTGGAAGACCATTTAACAATTGATTAAGAACATCTCCCAAGGCTTTGGTAAGTGTCTCTGATGATAAAGGCTGGATGTCAACATCTTGCATTAAAACCTTGTTTTGTTTAAAGTCTTTCGGCAAATGCTGGGCTAAAATACATAAATAAAAGAAAGAAAAAACGCATGATAAGCATGGCAAAGAAGCAAGAGACATCACTAAGATACACTACCTCCTTACCCATGATGAAAGGCTTGCGTTTATCAGTTCCCAGAGCATTGGAGCAGAACAATATGGACACTCTTGAGCTTGCAGGCTTTGTGCCTGCTTTCAGTTCCTCAGCCGGGTCAAAGGTCCATTGCGTAACGGTCTGTAGAAAGAGATCTGTCTCGTCCGCATTGTAAATATCAGCTAACGAAAACTGGGAAGTAATCTTTTTGATATTTGCAATCTGAGGCGCAAGTTTGGCAAGATCGACAGAGCCTGCTTCTCCCTTCAATCTATGATATGAGAAGCCCCAAGCCTTGGTGAAAGATGCGATCCAAGAGTTTGAAAATTTTGGTCTTGGGAACTTCAATCCACCATTACGCAATGAGAGCATCGTGTAGATTTCATTTGCCATAAATCGCAACAAAGAGTAATCGACAGGTAAACGCATACGCCTCACGGCAAGGACCAGCTCTGTTAGAACCAGCTCTACCGGATAGAATTCACGGATTGATCCTCTGACATTATACCTGGAATCCAGCAAACCTTCGGGCATTGATTTGAGCACAGTTCTTTTAGTAAGAAGGTGCGAAATAAATCGGGAAGGCAGATTCATCTTCTTCTCGAACTGTGATGTACTGGGTTTAATCGGTACCATTGCACACTTCTCGCAGTAGTCATCATATTCCGCCAGAATTTGCAGCTGTTGCCTCAGGGTCATCCTATTGCATTTATTATTTTGTGATAATGCAGGCAGAATAGGCCTTGGCGTTCTTAGTCCTTCCTGGATGGTACCTGCATGAGAAGTTGTGAGGAGCACATTGCTTCTACTTCTCCTTGCACGTTTAGTATCACTTCTGTTTTTGTTTCTACTCTGCCGGCTGATATTAAGACTAGCGCTGTTATCGTCACCCTTACTAGTGTTGTCATTGTAGACTTGGAGAGGTTGGATGGGTTGGAAAGGCCGAATGGCTCGGAAAGGTCTAGATACAATTGGTGGATTAGTACTAAGTGGTGAGATAGAGACGGCAGAACTGTCGTTCCCGCCTCTGCCGACGTTGGATCGGCTTTCACTATTATTGATATAGCCTGATCGTATATTTTGAGGCGTTCCAGACATAGTTAGCCCATTGGACGTGCCATAAACTGGTGTGTGCGAGATGATATTGCCTGACCTGTTGCTGGCCCTGGTACGAGCACTATTGCTGCTGCTGTTGCCGTTGATGTTGATGTTGCTGGCCATTTTAAGGACTAAATCGGATCGTAGTAAAGGTGGATAAGCATTGATTCCTCGGCTACATGGATCAGGTAGCCCTTGCAGCACTCAAAGTTTGCAAAGAAGCACATTACTAACCTGACGTGTGTTTACGATGTCTGTAATTGAGAAAAGATATCATTACAGCCATGGATTATTTTTGTCATATATATATATTTTTTTTTGCTGGATACAGGTTTGTAAGCAGGATTTTTATTCTCTGCAAGTTAATGTGGTGCTATGGTGGGGAACTTTATCAAAGGTCACATGAAATGAGTGCTCTGTAACTGCAAGTTTCCCTGCCTTTAGAGAGAAAATAGTAAGCCAATAGAATCACTTGATTTTTTTTTTACAATAGTACTTTTGAATTGAAGTTAATCCAGCCAATGAGCGTTGCAGAACATATATAAAATCCACTTTTTGCAAATTTTGCAAAAGAGTGAGACAGGAGTGTACATGTATATGAAGCGCTTTGACATGCAGGTACATGTACATCTGTATAACAACGGCGCAGTCAAGGAAACAAGTTAAGCATTGAACCAAATAACTAGTTAATGAAATCTTGACCATGCCTCTCGCTTCTAAAGGCATAGAGTCATCATGGAGATGAACATATACGATATTATGTTTGTAGAGGAGATATACTCATTCTTATAGGATTGTGTCGCCAGTTTGTCAAGGAAGGTCGCTCTAACTTTGCAAACTCGATTTAGGGGTATATCATTCCTCTTTTGTGATAGAGTGGGTGTTTAAAGATGTGATTGCATATATTAGATGCGGTAAGAAGGGTTGGAAGAAGATCTGGAGCCATTTCCATAACCCCCGAGTTTTCATGCCCACGTCCACAGTGAAGTATCTAAAGGACCATAATGATAAGTAACGAAGCGAAGGAAAGATGTGATTCTTTGGAGTGCTCAATTTTACAATAAAAGTTTCGCCCAAAGGGGGTAGGTTCTCCCTTGGCCACCTAATACGACACACAGCACTGCCACGTATCTGGGTTGGGTCTAGACTGACCCAGACTGGAGAACATTACCTAGCGATGAGCCGTTGTGTATTGACAGTTTGGGTCATTTCGTAGATAATAGTATGTATGCTCTTCTTGATGATATAGTTATATGCATCACCTAACAAACAATATCTCTTATACACTTAGTGAACAACACGATCTTCTCCAAGTGGTCAATAGACATAATTCTGGAGAGAATCTATTTGGAATTTGTCATTCTCCGGACCCTTACAGTACCCCTGAACAATAGAAATGCTTGTGCTGTTCAATGGTCGTCTGGCAAGAAGAAAGATTAATCGGAGTGGATAAAAATACACTGTTCAAGGTCTATAAAAATAACTTGATAAACACCACAAGAAAGTGGAAACAGAAAACGATTAAATGTAGGCTAAAATATATGAATCGCAAGTTATTGGAGACGCCTGAAATAACAAAAAAAGAAAAAGAAAAAGAAAAAGAAAAAAACCAGGTGTAACCTTATATTCTAATTGAGATTGGCCCTGAAAACCCGCGCTATGGTACGGAGGTACTGGCAGTATTTACTCTTCTCTTCGTTATTATCCATATGGTTTCAAGCCTCAATATTAAATATCAAGCCAATGATGCGTAGAGAAAATATCGATAGTATACCAGAAATGACCATGACCTCGGGACACAAAAATTTAACAACAACAACTTTCCTGTTTGATTTTGACACAAGGAACAATATGAATAAATCCAAATGTTTTAATGAAAGCTCTCTCTCATTGAATGAAGACTCAAATATAAAGTTTATCACTGGTAGGAAATGATCCAGACAAACATTAAAAACCTTTTTATAAATGGAGAGTATTAAATTTATAGTAAAATATGTATATATTATGTATTATATATATATATATATACATGTCTAGCAACGAGCTGTTGCTTTTGCCGAGCAAATGCTCCGCCTCGTCAAGGGCTCTGATTTCGCCATTGTGTGTATTAAACGTTTTAAAATCTAATGCCGTTAATGTTTAATCCAGGACTCTTTGTCGAATCAACCTTCCAATATATCTTATTAAAAAAAAGATCAGGACATTAGACAACTCGATCCAAACCCTTGTCCCGAAAAAGAGAGTATTTTTTTATTTTTATTTTTTATTTTTATAGAAAGTAATACCATTGCAAGAGAATACATGGATTGAATGACTTATTGATTGTTTAACCTAGCATTATGATTAGCAATGCCATGTTTATGTATAGCTATTCTCTACTATCAAAGATGTTCTGGCAATGAATCGTCAAACACGGCTTAAAGAAACTGAAGTAGAAGCTGTCTATTTTTGACCAGATTCATTCCCAAATGAGAACAGTTAAAGCAGCTTCGCGTTGTATCTACAGTGTTTATATGCACAAGACTTTGGAATTTTGCATGCAAATCAAATTAAAGAACCAAGGCGCAGGCCATCGGAAAAAAAGACCAATTAGCGCATTGTGGAGATGAATGTTGTTTGTTCAATCAGTAAACATGCATGTTTAGCATAAACAATGTTTGCATATCTTTTAAGACACCACCTGATCAAAACTTGTTGGCTCAAACAGAAGGTAGAAAGAGCAACAGTGTGCAGCATAACGTGTGCATATCTATATGCAACAGCCAGAGATTAGACTATTAAGTAGCTGCATTGCATCAACAGGTACAATGGCGAAAGACAACAATATCAAAGCCCAATAAATGACGAACATTATCATTTCGTCAATGTTTAGCAACTTCCTTGGTTAGAGATATTCATGTAAACCTAATAGGAGTGTAGGCAAGTCCACAAGCTAATATTTTTTACCTTTTAGGATTACAAAAGCACTATTAATGAGATTCCAGTTTGAACCTTTAATTTGTTTATCCTTCGGCGCTTTTTCATTTTATTTTTTAGACAGTTTGTACGACAGCGGTTCTCCTTCTCATTTGATAACATATCAGCGTTTCATCATACAGGATGGATAGTCTAGCATTTATACAAATTTCGTAGATTACACATACACTCTGCCACCAGAGCGATGCAGACTAAACTATCATCGTTTCCTTGAGACAGGTGCTTGAATATAAAAGAATATTGGAGATGGCTCCTTAAGACACTTACAATAGCATTAAAAAAAAAAAAATACGAGAGCGGACAAGCAAACAAAGCATCTGACAGTCGCCTTTCCCGACTTAAAATTTCGTGCGCAGAATATACGACTTAAAGTATATTTACTTTCAGAAAAAATGGTTCAGTCATCCTATCTTTTCAAGCAGATCTTCTTAAGTTGATCACTAAATTTTTATCAATAGCCTAACCATAGCATAGGAAATGGATGATGCAGAATACAAGATTTAAAACTTTTTAGTTTTGGAGCCTACAAATCCTTTGTTAAAAGTATGGTTATGCTTAGCATTACTCTTTTTTTTTCCTGGAGATGATGAATGTCCATCCGTAGTTTTTAATGCTCCCCATCGATATAGCACGGTTGAATAAGTGAAGAGAATGCAAAGCAAGATGTAAGCACGAACTGGTAAAATTCTAATGGATAAAGCTCATTTCGTGTTACACTCAATGTGCATGAGCAAGCATGTATTAAACAAAAAATAGTCATGTTGATCACAGGGACCATCGTTTATTTGTTTGGACAGTGGATCCTAAACTCGCCACAATATAAATATATTTTATATTATATTTATACAATTAAAAATAGTCGGTGAGGATTGCCGGGTTTAGACCTTTATCGCAATAAACGTATTCTGTTGAAGGATGATAGTGAGTGTCTTGAACAATACCGACGGTAGCCATGATTTGTAACGACTCATTTTCCAGCCCACTCTGTTGCTCAATTAGGCTCGTTCCAGTCCCTCTCCATATCTTTTTGATGTATTTCTTGAGTTTATCCAAATGAGTCTCCGTGGACAGATATCGGAGAATGAATTTTTTTTGGAAGACGATCATTTTACCGTCCTACAAATGAAGACCCGACACCTTTTTTCCCCCAATTTAAGACAGTGGTCCCTTCACGTCAATAGGACGGGCAAGGATTACATTGAAGAGTAGGGGATTAGAGGCTGAAGGAAGGAAAATCAGAAAGGAGACAACCTATGATACAGACAACACATTCAGGGATCACCCTTGTCAGTTGATAGTAAGTTTTGATGCTCCTACAATGGCTTTATTCATAATTTTATATAAAACAAAAGATAATGTGCTTGTTTACAGTAAACATTCTATACATGTACATGTAACACGGATACCATTTTTATTTGCTCTTTTTTTTTTTTTTTTTTTTTTTTTTTTTTGGCGCCATATCCACACAGCAGCAAGCGAAGAACTGTCTAGAATTGAGAAAATTAACCAAAATCAAAACAGACTCATATTCTGATTAACATAATACATAATACATAATGCATCTTTATTCAGTTCATATACTCGTAGATCAGGCGCGGATTCAAAGAGGGAATCATTTTATGTCATGGATTTCTTTTTCACCTTCTAGCCCTTTGCTATATAGCCCTCATTTAAACGTGGAATGGGATGGGTAAGAGAATCTCTGATTAACTTGGCCATTCCTGTACCAAGATAACAGAAATGTTAGAACACAAGACCTTTATACAAATTTAAAAAAAAAAAAAAAAAAAAAAAAAAAAATTGTCATTGTTTCAATAATGGCTAGTGCCTCTCATCTGAATCAGTGAGACTTGCATGCGCTCAGATGTGCGGCAGTCTTTAGTAATGAATGACATGAATGACCTCTGGCAATGCCGTATATGTAGAGGATGTTCAGCCAAAAGAAGAGAAAAATAGGCCGAGAAACAAAGGAGTGCAATACATGGATAAAGGAAAAAGGGATGAATTGAATAGGTCCGTGATAATGTTTCCATGGGATTGGCGTTGTTGTACTCTTCATTATTTTTCCTCTAGACATTACACTCCATTCGTCCAACTTCTTCTGTGCAACCTCTCTGTTGGATTGTTTACTCATTCTGTGTCTGTCTGTGATTGAGCAAAGAGGGCTCACCATGCAAAAAGCCGTTAGGCATGTCCACTAAGATACACTCTATATAAACACTCATATTTCACACTTTTACCTCTTTTTTTTTTGTTTTTCTTTACCGTTAGGTCCTCCTCTATATATTTCTCCCCTCCTTCATTTCTCATTTTTTCTTATTCTTCCACATATTCCACTCGCTTTTTTCATCATGAGGTTATCCGATCCTTTAACCCAGATTATCATTGTGGTGAGTGACAGTCCATATACGCTCGACCAAATTATTCCACACATCTCTCATCTCCATTCTCGTATCAGCTCCACTCCCACACCTAGTCTCTCACTGCATATTGTATTGTAATCACCTCTTCATTCACACCACACCATTCATACTCTATACACGCCACACATATCCGACGTCCACAAATATTCCACATATACATTCAAATCCCATGTGGCTGCCTTTGGACTAATTAGTGACTTTTTGTTCCATGCGCCGATCAACAGGGTTTCATTTGCTTCTGTTGTCCTGGTATGTTCAATGCCCTCCAGGGTACTGGTACCTATGGTCTTGAGCCCAAGCACTCAGATGTTGGTAACAACGCTGGCACCGCTCTTTCAGTCGTGTTCGCCTTTTCTTCGCTCTTTGCCGGTGCGTTGTTCAACATGTTCGGTCATCGTCTCCTCCTCATCCTCGGTGGTTTGACTTATGTCTTGTACGTGGGATCATTCTTGGCCTACCACTACATTGAATCCATTGTCTTTGTTGTCATTGCATCCTGCTTGCTTGGTATTGGTGCTGGTTGGTTGTGGTGCGCCCAGGGTGCCGTTATGATGGGATATCCAGAGGAGGGACAGAAGGGCAGATATTTTTCCATCTTCTGGGCTATCTTCAACTGCGGTGGTGTCCTTGGTAATGTCATCCCGTTGGGTGTCCAATGGAATGACGAGAAGGGCGGCGGTGCCAGTACTGGCTCGTACATCGGCTACATGGCTGTTATGACCTTCGGTGCCCTTATCTCTCTCCTACTACTGCCTGCTTCCAAGGTCATTCGCAGGGATGGGTCTCATGTCGTCAGAGTTAGATATTCGAGCCCCATTTCTGAGCTCAAGTCTGTCTTAGCCCTGTTTAAGGACTGGCGCATGTTAGCTCTCATTCCTATGTTTTTCAGCTCCAACTGGATTTATACTTATCAGTTTACTGCCGTCAACGCCTTAAATTTCACAGTCCGGTCTCGTTCAATGAACTCCATGTTTTACTGGTTGGCACAGATCTTTGCCTCAATTTTCTATGGTTCCTTCTTGGATCGCGCCCAGTGGTCCCGCCCAACCCGTGCTCGCTATGGTCTCATCCTCCTCACAGTTTTCTTAGCTGCCACCTGGGCTGGAGGTATTATCTTCCAGACTGGTTTTGGACCTCGCTCTGCTAAAAGGGATGAAAATGATGTCTGGGTCAAGAATCCTGATGATTTCTACCATATCGACTTGGTCAACAACACTAGAGATTATATTGGACCTTTCTTCCTTTATTTTGCCTATGGTGTTGTTGATTCTATGTATCAAGGTTACTCTTACTGGATCATGGGTGCCCTGACCAACGATACCAATCAGGCTGCTCGCTTCGCTGGCTTCTACAAATTTGTCCAGAACTTGGGAGGTGTCCTAGCCCCCGTTGTCCAAACTTCCCGCATCGGAAACGCTCCATCAGATGGTAGCAACGCCCTTAATGCTGTTGGCCGTGGTATGGGCGAGATCATTGTTTGTATTGCCCTCGTCTTCCTAGGTATACTTGGTGCTATCCCTGTCGCCTTCAAGGCTGTCCAGGAGCGCACCATTGAAGAGGATGATGAACTCGTTGGAGAGAAGCACGAGCTCAACTATGAGGAGTATAAAAGCTAAAGGCCCCTCGTCGTTGTCTTCTTGCCTGCTCTTTCTTCGTATCTCCATTTCTCAAATGATAAACATCTAATACCGGTCATATCAACAGCGCTGGAGGCTTTCTTCCCGTGTCTCGGTAATCTAAGTAATAAACCATATAGCTTTTTGTACAATATTATCACCTTTATTATCATCACCATCAAACTACAACTATAATAATATTATAATAACTATTAAAAGAATGATAAATGCCTGTCTGAGATTCAATTTATTGTCCGTGCACAATGATGGTTGGGATGTTGATCATTTGGAAAGTTTTGTGTCATGTGGATTAGAAGTGGCTTCCCAGGGACTTCTGGGACCGGAGACCACATAGCATGGTTCTTCTCACCAGTAAATAGAATGGTCAGCCAAGAGTTACCCATCATTTGCAAACAAGTAGATAGTTGTAGGACAACCTATACCGGAGCCGAATTTTAATTCACTCTATCTATCCACTTCTGCCACACCGTCCTTAACTGCATTTGCACGTCCTACTTATACTATTTTTCGCTCATTGCACCATTCCATCTCATCGGCGATCCGTTTACATTTACTCATTCTGTTACTTATTATTTTTTATCACTTGCAAGCACCAAGCTGCTCTATAACCATTGTATATATCAGTTTAATTGTCTATTTTCAATCTGCAGAATCCGTAAACTACCTAAAATAAGGTGCTCCGCCATTATCTTCAACGAATATGAGAATGAGGCACAGAGTAACTTTGTGCGACTGATAGCTCATACAATCCTGCTTTTTTTTCTTTTCTTTTTTCTTTATAAATAGTTATTCACATCAACTTCTTTATACGATGTTGCTATTGGTGCCTTCCAGTAAAACGGACGACGACAGTAAGGATGATGGCTCGACAGGATCCAAAAAAGTCTTGGTTTTGTTGCCTTCAGACATTGACCTCAGCTCGAAAGTCGTCGTACCAGATACAGCTATCACAAATATCCTTGGAGCCGATAACACATCACTTGGCAACTTCAGTAATCTTCTAGTCAAGCCTCGGTCATCCCAAGAGAGTGCATTTTTAGATATTTCTAGGTCATCCAGAGATGACTTGGGGATTTTACAACCGCTTAGGCCTATAGATCAGCCCTACTCCACCCAGTCAACTCTAAAATCACCCAGTCAAGTGCTTAATAGAGCTTGTAGGCATTCATATACAGGAGTTGGCGAGAGTGGATGTGGTACACAGCTTCGCTCCCATCAACATTTAAGCTCGCGACAATTATTATTACATGGATATCCCTGTCAATATCAACCTACCATAACATCTCGCGCCTTGCGAGCCGCGTTCAGGAAAGCAAGGAAGGACCAATCACCTCTATTGACTTCGACTAGTTTCGGGACAAACTATATAATACCGGATTTATTTAATGATTCTGAAGATAGCGAGCTACCGACTTCTTTGGGACGCTATCACAATCCAAGCCAAACACCAGACTCTGTAACAGAAGAAATGTTTAAAACAACCATTTCTCCGAGAAGTGCAATTGAATTCGGGACAAGGCTTGGAAAAGTTGACAAAGCTGCCGGTGGTAATATCGATTCTAATGACAATGGCGATATTTCTACATACAACTTGAACACGAGGACACATAGAAAAGGCCTCAGTATTGCAGTGGGGACTACAGCTGAACACCAAACTCGCAAACCATCTGAGCTCGTGGATAAAGATGATATTCATAACAAAGGAATGCACGCAAATTCAAAGCCTGAAACGTTTGAATCAGGTGATACTCACACAAGCCCCGGTCCGCCAGAGTCTGTAAAGGAAATTGGTCCGGAACTGGACAGTGCGCTAGACGTTGATATGACTGCTATCCTTGGGATGGCGTCTGACTCGGAGTTAGTGATACCAGAGTTCGACGATGACTATCTGAAAGATTCAAAAAATGACTTGCCTCAATTTGAGACAAGCAGATCTCCAGTCTCAACAATGGCAGCCTCCTCCTCATGCTCGTATCCTTTGTCTGCGACAATTGCTTACGTGCCAAACTATACTTCCCCAAAGTCCTATTCAGAAACCTCATGTTTAACCTCCAAGGATAATGATGATGATGATCGTACGGATCCACAGATACAACCCCAGCCAATCACAATAAACATGTCTGATAATCCATCTGGCTCTGGAGAGCAGGCTCTTTCGACAAGCCAGGTAGACATGGAAAACCTCAAGAGACATCGAGAAAGCCTTAAACAAATGTCAGAGTCAACGGCGCAATCGGAAGAGTCGCTGGCCTCTTCAAAACATATTTATTTCAAGCCAACCTATCATACCCTACCGCAACGAGGCACTAGTGGACACTCTTACCAGGCTGTTATGCCTACTCATTGCAGCCAATGGGGATATAGCACCAATGCTAATAGCCCAACAGCAGCCAGCACCAATCCTTTGCAGTATTTCCCTTGGCAGTCCGTTATGGGAGGAAACGAGGGCAATCATATTTTTAGGACGCAAGAGCCGTTGGCTTCTATTCCGTCGCCAATTCTAAATAAAAGGATGGCCATGACAGTAAGCAATATTTCAAAGATAACAGCCAATATGAGCGTACAGACTCCTCAAGAGATACAGGAATGTTACTATGCACGGAAAAATTTGCGTATACGCCAACGGCGGCGACGCAGGAGGGATTCCACAACGGTTGGTATATCAAATAATAGTGGCTATTCGTTTCAGCATGGCCAATTTGGTCACAGCAACTACGGCAGTAGTGTTAGTAGCAGCAGTAGTAACAAGTTTCCATGATGAGATATATCAATCAGATGACTATTGCCTTGGAAAAGGATCTTCTGTAATTGCGCAACTGCATCTTAGGTGAGCTGCTCTATACCTTCTTCTGTTTCCGACGCAGTGCTGGGAAATTCACCGAGCTGCCCATAATAGGTACGCTTCTCCCCGCTACGCGGTCTGTTAAGGGCCCTAATCTTTTCCGCCATACCCAGGTTCTTGTTTGCGTCTTTGTTCGCTTGCTTTAGCTGTCTGCAGGGCAATCGGACAAAATTGCGCATTTCTTCACCATTGCTATTGCTTGTAGTATTCTTTCGAGTCAATAATTTCGTCTTACATAGTCACTGATTGCCCGCTCTTTCCTCTCATTACCCTTTTATAAAAAAAAAAAAAAAAAAAAAAAAAAAACTATAGCTGAAGTGCATTAAGCAAGGATGCAAGAAGCTCTACATCTCTCAACTTCCTTGCCTAGCGATTGAGCGGAAGAATTAAACCATTTGATGCTGGAACTACCACAGCTCTTCTCGGAATAAGCTTTAAGTAGTTATTCAAGGAAGAATGGCACTATATAAACCAGAGTGATTTTTTTCTTTACCAAGCGCTATGTTTTATCACCAATTACGTTGTCTTAAGGTTTTTGATACCCACTTGGACTCAAAGAGATACCAAAGCCTAGATGGACAAAGGACTACAGAGCCACCCCATAGATTGCTTAGTGAAGAAACCCCCCCCCCCCTGCGATATACTGGATCTGAAAGCCAACCTCAATCATCTTGAGATATATCACTGCATGCATTCGTTCGAGTTCAATAATACATTTTAATTAAACCAGAGCATTGTACCAATGCAAAGTCATTCCACCAGCACAAAGCCGTTCCTTATCAAGCCATATAAAAAAGATACAGAATCGAATAGCTTCTGGGGCCTTTATGTATTGTGGTTCTTTCGGTAACCATTAACCATTGGCAAAGGAAAGTGCAATTCCTCGCTTGCCGTTGTCCTGTATTATCTATTTGTCTTCCACAATACTGTTACACAAAAGACAGTACGGAATAGACTGTATGGCTTTTCTTTTAATCACAATCAATACTTAGTTCACTGGGAGGGCTAGTTTATGACTCTATGATAGCCTCAAGGACTACATTTGAAGGCCTTACAGCAATACCATAGCCCACTGTACTCAAGGTGGTAGGGCAAACCATCTCCTCGTGCCAGACCTACAGGCGCCATTACTTTGAGAGTGTCTACGCTTAACAAAGTTTCACCTATTGGCAAAACCGCTTTTGCCTGTATTAGAGGCCATTCTACTCCTGAATAGAAGGAGCACTTACAACAGGGAGGCAGGCGAAAAGGAGAGAGGGGAGTTATATCTGGTTCAATATTCTAAACATTTCCAAGCGACAATAGACTGGTATAGAAGTATATATTCTTTACATGTATTTGATACAATAAAAAAGTTTTCATTTAATGAGAGTTTAGTGTATTCTAAATTTGGGTTCGTGGGAAAATCAAGCCGCGCACTGATCGAGCCGCGCGAGTTTGAGTGACTGTTAAGATTATCTGTTATCCGATCTGTGCGTAGATCTCTTTATTATTTTATTTGTAGTTCAAACTCCGGTAGTCTTGTTGTATGAAGTAGAAGAGAAGAGGATGTAGACTTCTTGCGACTACAACATCATTGAGAGAGAAAGGTGTATAATAGAAATATTACAGCAAAAGATATAGGGAAGTAGAAAGACAGAAAAGAAAGGAAAAAAAAGAGAGGTTTGACTTTGTCTTGGGAAAAAAGGGTGGAGCGGGCTTTTTCTATTTCACATGAGATTTTAAATTGTTTATGGTTATTTTTTTATCACATCTTGGCAAAACCTCCTCGATTCTCACACACACAATTGAGCATCATCTGCATAAGCATCCATAAAAAAAAAAATTACCGGAGGCGAAGGAGAGATTCGGGCAGGATGTGACGAAGGATATTCAGTTCACCCTACTGTTGGAGATTCCGAAGATCTATTATGATGAAAAAGTCAAAAACCGAAGCGTGGGGATCTTTCCTGAATTTGACAAGTGCATGTTGCACAGGGGTAGTTCGGTCTGCTCGTTTGGCTCGTCAGTGACTCTCTATCGTTCGCCTGACACGTCGGGGTTTCCCAAATTCGCCATCGCTGTTTTAGTACATGTACCTGTAGGAGTGGTTGAGATATAAAAAAAAAATCGTGATATCCTTCATCATACAAAATCTATACCGCTTTCTCACGGTTACAAATCCGGTCATTTCCCCATCAAGAGCAGTAACCTTGTGCCATTGATGCTTATCAGCATGAGAAAGGCAAGCTTGACAATGTTTGGTGAACGAGAACGAGCGGCCAAAATTTAGATGGGTGGAAGAGGGGGAGCTGGAGGGACAGCGTGATCGGATAGGACTAAGATTGGATGGATGTAATAAATTGTCGTTGCCCAATGCTGACAATTTTTATTTTCTTTAGTGTATAAGGGGTGGGTCCTTATCTCGCAATAGTTTATTGAATGAACCATTGAATTAACCTACAGGGCAAGATGGAGAGGAGCCTCTTTCTCCTCTACAACATGGCGGTCACCTATTGTCAAGGACCGATAAAGCGTCGCTTTTTTCTTTCTTTCCTTCTTTTCCTCCACTTGTCGCTTCGCCATTGCACTGTTCTTTCTCTCACGCTCCTTTCTGTTACTTCCCCACCTTCACTTTCACTCGCTGTCACTATATTCACACCTATCTGGTAATAATCCTTTTCATTTACATCTAATATAACCGGATTTCCCTCATCCACACTTTCATTGTTTAATCGCCTTATTTGTCGAACTCCCTTTTTCTGTGGTAGTTGTGGATATAATCTGTCACCCGTTATTATCGACATCAATATCAACGTCAATCAACTTCAGCTCTCTTTCATTCTTGGATATCATCACAATAACTTCTTTATCCATATAAAGAAGCAGTTCCACATCACCAAGTCTTCCTCAATTGTTGAGCTAACCCACAGCTCATCTTAATATCTGCTTTACGTTCCATAGTTATAAACAATGAGACCACCTTTCCCTTCCTCAGCACAGGCGTATGCCGAATCCATTGACTCGGAGACAGCAAGTCGACACCATCCAGATGCTCGCCTCACTATTCTTCCTCTTCCTTCTCTCGCTGCACTCTATCCACTTGATGATAACCATCTTCCATCTTCATCTCTTTCGCACAACGATTCCTCTTCATCACATCGGAACGACGTTATTGCTGATTCTTCGCATCGGAACCTTCAAGTGCGCCTGCTCCACAGGAACCCGCAACAGAATAACACTCATCGTTCATATCATTCACAGCCTCCTTATCAATCTTTTGACGCACGCTTTCAGAAGTATCCTACTTCTACTCAACCCTTTTCCTCGGCTGGTAAAGCCTCGCAACTGGCTCCTCCGATGAATGATGATGGAAAGGTTGAAGAGAAGGTCTCTAAGCCAGGATGTCCAGAATATATTGGCACGGGCATGGAGTCACTTCTGAATGCGATTGAAGTTCATCCTGCTCTCTCCGCTTCTTCCCCTTCACGTTCTCCTTCACCCTCCTCCTCGGGTGGGTATCCCCACAGTTCATCATCTTCACCGGCCTCTCCATTATCTTCGCCTCCTTGCTCAGAATTTGGTGCTGAGCATGTAAAAGCAAATGAAAGTCATTCTTCGCACGTGTCAAACACCGCCACCAATAAGGCACGCATGTCTATCAGCAATCTGCTCGATGACTCTCCTGAGGAGAGGCTACTAAAGCAGAAGCAGCAACAGCAACAGCAACAGCAACAGCAACAACGCTCCATCAAGGTGAAGCCTGCAATGAAAGCATCTTCTCCTACTTTCAGCACCATCGACATCAACAAGCGTAAATGGTCGAATTTGAGCAGTGCAAACTTTGAAGAGGAGCGCAATGCAAAGATTCGCAGGTCTATTCAGGACCATGTCTCTGCTCATGCCAATCAGTCTTTGGTGGGATCTGAGAGCGAGCCCGCAACCAACTTCTTCCCTCGTCAAGTCTTTGACAGCAAAGATCCATCAGCACGCTATCAAATGACAACAATCTGCTGTTTACATGCTTCAGTAGCACAAAAGTCATATGGATCAGAGAAGCGCTTCTTGTGTCCCCCACCTATTGTCAACATTCAAGCACCTCAAGGCGACTCCAAGTCAGCTCTCAGCAGCAAACCTCAAGTAACCATGTCTGTTGTCTGTGAGTCTGGCGATAACAACAACCAACTTGGCCAACGCTCGACTTTAGAGGATGATCACACGGGGACATTCCGTTACTTGTATGTTACTGGCTCTGCAAAGGCAAAGTCCTTCCAGCTCAAGCTGCAAGTCTACGGTCGTGCATGTTTGCCCAACGGATTCATTTCTAACGGCTCCTCTGAGGCAGAGGAAGGTGTTATCAACACTGCAGACCTACCTGAGCCTTACGCTGTCTTTGACAGTGCACCCATTGCCATCATTTCCAAGCCATCGAAGAAAACCGCCAAGGCGCGCAATGTCTCTTCATGCATCCTCGCAGGCTCTTTGGTCTCTCTTTTCAATCGCATTAACTCACAGACAGTTCGCACAAAGTACATGTCTGTTCAAGATGGAGAGTTCTGTGCAAAGAATTCGACTTGGTCTTCGTTCTCGATTACGATCGTCTCCAACAGCGCTGGTAATCCTAATACTCCTTCAACTACAAAATCTCACCATCGCCAGTCTGCGGCCCAATCCTCTGTCCCTATCACGTATGGTTCCGAGATCATCTTGACCGAGACCGCGACAGGACTGAAATCTGATCGTTTGATTGTCTGCAAGGTCGAAAACGGACGCATTCAAGAGAATGCGAGTGGTCCTATCTGCCAAATGCAAAAGGTGGCGCTTATGTCAATGGAGCGTAGTAAGGATGGTGAACCATTGTATCTCAGCGCGGTTGGCAACGATCATCAGGTTGGACGTTACATGGATCACTCATCAAGCACCAAGACTGTATTGAAGTACCAGCCTTCGACTATAACCGGCGGAAATATTGACATTATGAAACCTGGAAGCGACGACTTTTTGTGCTGGACTATTGTCGGGATCTGTAAGTTTACTATATGCCTATGGCAATCACTGTTCACAAGCCAATGTCATAATCATGCCTGTCTGTTTCTGCATACTAAGATAAGTTTGTTGTCTTACTGTTATGCCACATAGCTAAATTTGAGTATACATACTTCGAGTCTCTCCCTGCAGACAGCGAAAGTCATCATCCCATTACTCCTTTTCCAACGCTGATGAAGAATCCTGTCTACAATGCTGCGTCTCACACGCTTGAGTTGGTTGTATCCAATTTTTACTCACAGATTGGCGACCAGAGAAGCGAAATGCCTATGAACGTCTGGCTTGGATCACGAGGTCCCCTTACAACACGCATCATCCGGCGAAGTGTTTCGGGAATGGAAGGCAACAATGTGGACCGTACAACGCTCTTGGTCGAGTTGCCACAGGGCAATATCGGGGCCACACCTGAGGAGAAGTCACTTTCACTGCCTTTGCTTTTTGTGCGCAACCATGATGGCATTACTTACAATTCCAGAGCCACAGTTGTCTTTACTCGTCCCGAACATGGCGATCGCTGGTCCGTCAGTATGGCCTAAAGAGGGTTTAGCTAGAGAGGAAAAATTACGAGTCCATGATATGTGCGGATCAAGTGACCAACTACATCATCGACATTCAAATTTTGTATATTACAGACATGAGATAATGGCAAAACAAAGATTATATACCCTGTAACAACATCATGAAATGCAACGAATAAAAAAGTATGCGCAGCAACACGTAATCTAATTTTTAAAATTCTGAACTATTTTTCCATCGTCACTACTGATTTTAAGTAGCTCCTGATAAAGAATAGTCCTGGAATTTTTGCTTGATAAAGAATGGTCCTTGCAATGAATAGTGAAGAGAGCACAGGCCAATCTTGCAAATAGACTATTTTATTTTTAAATGTCATGTAATGTCCATATGTCATGTTGTTTTTTGTTTCTTTCTTTATTGGAAAACAATTCTTGTCATTATTATTATTAGTCGGAAATATTATTACACAATGTCAACGTATTCTATTTTTTTTTTTTTTTTTTTTTTTTTTTTTGCATGCTTGGGTAAGAATCTTGATGAATGCCTCATATTAAAAACCGCCACCAAAATCTCCACCTCCAAAATCTCCACCACCACCGAAATCTCCACCACCAAAATCGCCACCACCACTGCCGAAAAAGTCCCCACCACCACCATAGCCTCCATCGCCCATGGCTGGGATGACATCTCCTCCATAGTAATCTCCTCCATAACCACCATGCATTCCACCGGCCATCATATTTCCTAACAATAATCCTGTGGCTCCACCTATTTGTGACAACGTATGGGTAAGCGACAGGAAAGAGAAGTCAGATGCAAATACATGAACAAGGCGTTTATTCGCCTAAAGTACAAACTTCGGTTTTCAATTTCCCTTTTACTGCTACTTGCCTGCAAGTGCGCCCATAGCAAGACCAGCGCCTGGACCCATACCACCCATTCGGTTGTATGAGTCAACATAGGGTCTATTGTATCCATTGGACTGACTGTTAGACTGTTGGCCATAACGTTGACGCTGCATCTCTTGAATCTGATGGAAACGAGCCGTCTCCTGAGCGTCGGCAGCTGGCCCATTTGGGTGCGCCCAGGTTACATGTCCTGTTTGTGGGTAAACATAGTATAACCGCTGCTTATTGGGGTCAAATTGTGAGATCCTGATTGTCATAAGCATCATCAATCAAAAAATGTTGAGATAGAAATGTACATAAAATGACGGAAGGGTGAGAAAAAAAGAGGGGAAAGCAGGAGTAGGGTGAAAGAGAGAGTGAATAAAATGTTATTGTCAACATAAGGTGATCCTGATTAATAAGTAGAGAAAATAAAAATAAAAGTATGTATCATTACCATCCTGAAGGAAGTGTTGAAGGTGGCAGCGCTTGTTGAGGTAAGGTATATGGTTCTTGGGGAGGTCTATTGATTTTGGGCGGATTACTGATTCTTTTCGAACTTGTACAACCCATGATTAATGAATATTTTTATTTTTGTAAGTTTTTTTTATATGAATGTGTGAAGGAGAGAAAAAAGAAGTGCTGAGACAACAAATGGCAGAAAGAGAATTTTATACTCGCAAAAATATCTGGCCGCATGACATCACAGAGCATTCCAAAAATTGGAGTCGACCGTTGCGATGGCTCAGCCTTCCGTGACAGCCTTTTTTTTTTCTTTAACAACGAGTTTCAGCCAAGAGGCAGTGTCAATTACTAACAAATAAAAAAAGGAAAAAAAGAAAAAAAGCAATGGGATACGCATCACTTGAGCCTCACCTCCCTTCATCGCATGCGCTGCTACCACCAGGAACTTATCTCTCCATTTCAGATACACAGGCATCAGATGGAAATTTCTTGTTACACCATTTCATTTCCAACTACATTAAGGCTGATCACAATGTTGTCCTCGTGGGATTGGCTGGGATTCTAGTTCATTATACGATGGTCGGACGTAAACTGGTAAAAAAAGGAAAATCGAGCTTCAACTCAAAACAAGATTGGTCAGGGCTGGTTGATTGACAATAATGCAATTATTTACTAAAGAACACGTTTGATTGTTGTTTTCTTAGGGTGTGAATCTGACAACAGCAAAGACAAAAGGCACCTTTTATTTTGTGGATGGACTGACACAACTCACGGACTACGCCGCACCAAACAAGGATTTTCTGATCAAGCCCACGGAGGCCAAACAATCTGGAGAGCAACGACCAACGACATCACCATCTCAGTCAGCAACAACACCATCTTCAAGTACTTCAAGACCAACACAGAGAACAGCAACTCCAGTAGCTACAGCACCTACAGCACTTCCGGTGGTCTTGAGCTATAGCCCAAAGCTCTTAGATTTCTATAAAGTGCTTGAGGATCTCATCAAGAATACGGTTTCAAAAAACAATGTCAAGGAGAAACAGTTATGCTTGATTCTGGACGATCTTTCAGTGTTGTTAAACTGTGGATGGCCTTGTCGAGATGTCATGGGACTCGTACGCTATCTCAAGTTGCTTGTCGCTAAGGTAAAGACAACATTGTTTCTCTTATCCGTATAGTAAATAAAGTTGAGTTACTCAATATACTCATGATATTATTTTGTTATTTTCAGTTTAACGGAAGCTTGATCACCCTCGTACACGCAGATGCAGTACTGGCAGAGGAAGTTCCACAAGATGGTCTTGTAAAAGGAGTGTTTTATGAGGCTGACTATATCATCGATGTACGCGATCTTGACAGTGGTGGCTCAAGAGATGTTCATGGCCAGGTACTCAAAAAAGTGAAGAAAATGAAAAAAAAAAAAAAAAAAAAAAAAAAAAAAAAAACTGACAAATCTGACAAATCTGACAAAGCTGACATGTGTTGCTCTATAACCTCTAAAATCAAAAACTAGCTTTCAATGCTACATGGTCCACGCTATCTACTTCGACAACGTGCAGGCCATGTCAAAGAAAATGACTGGCCTGCACTAACGTTGCACTACAAGATCTTGGATAATAACGTTGAAGTGTTTGCTAAAGGCTATTCATCAGGAGTTTTATAAAATCTTGAATTCAATATAATAAAATAAACATTTCTCCTTATTTTATTTTTTTATTTTTTTGCATTAAAACTAAAAATGTTCTCAACAAAGGAATGCCATGACCATAATCAACCAGGTCATGTCTGTAATCATGGAATTAGCGCTACTGCAGAGAGTTTGGATGAGATGGATTTCAGTCGATCGATCCATGCAGCTTGCCTCAACAATAATGCCGCTCGAGTTCAAACCATCCTTTCCAAGACGATAAGAGGAGGAATTTCGCCTGCTAATGCCTTAGATCCTGCGGGGTATACAGCCTTGGTAAATAGTGATAATGCTATGCACAATGGCTACAGCTGATATTCGCTATTATTTTACGCGTCAAAATACATTCCTACTCACTTTACCAAGAAAAACCGGTCTATTCATATCTATCAGCATTATGCTAGCCGTGCGGGAAACAAGGAGATCTGCTCACTTCTCTTGAATGCAGGTGCGGATTATGATATCAAGACACCAGAGCTTGGCACCACACCGTTGATGCGCGCGATCCAGCAGAGCCACTTGGATATTGCTCGGCTTTTGGTCTCTTATGGAGCGTCTGTAGAAGCCGTCAACACAAACCAAGAAAATGTGTTTCACATATTGGCAATAGCTGCCAAGAACCGAATCAACAGTAGTAGCAATAAAGGCAACCATGAAGCCGTTGCGACTGTCAACAGGGACATGGACATGGCGCGGTGGCTCAAGATCAAGGTGAAAGACCAGTTTGGACCCGAACGACTAGCGGAAATGCTACAGGCTCGTGATCTCGGTGGTCAGACCCCTTTAGAATGTTTAAATATTTCAGATCAAAATCAGGAAGCGTTGTCTGCTCTTTCTGCTCTTTCTGCTCTTTTGACAGTCAACTAATTTTTGCTGCGCGACACACAAATCTCTTTTTGACAACCATGAGTGACAGCCAAGTTTGCCATGTACATTGGCGTGACAAGGATCTCATTAATAATGAGACCGAATGGGAAATGGAAGATTTGCCCGATGACGGTAAAAAAGAAAAAAAAAAAAAAAAAAAAAAAAAATGAAATGCCCTCTAATCATACAGAAAAAATAAAAAATACTAGTAGCCTATGCTTCTAACTTCATGTTCATGAATTATCAGATATCATGGTCCCCTTAAATGAGCAACCAGCATCCGCAGAAGAAAGCGAACAAGGTACAAAAGATCGCATGAAGACAACCAACCACAGACTAAGTAGGTTTACTTCTCAATTAACTTTTTTTTTTTTTCCTTTTAAAATAGTCTATGATCAAGAAATGCAACAGATGGAACAGAAATGGACTGATCAGGACCTACCAACAATATCTGACACCGAAAATTCACATAATTAAACACAGAAAAAATAAAGCTTTAATAGTAATAATAATCATTATGTTTTCATTAGGGAAGGTTCATTAATTTGAATGGTGCTATGCAAAACGGTAAAACGAAAAAATTAAATAATATGCGTAAGTCATTAAAAAAGCGATAAAAAGAGCAATCTCCTACAAGTGCTCGTCCACATTGAGGGCCTGAACAACATCTATGGGCCGCTGCAAGCCTTTCTTGAGAACCGGGATAGCTTGTTGCTGTGAGGGCGAAATCCCTGACACCTCAAATGTCTGAAGCGCGCCTGTCTGATGTGGTCCAGGTCTAAACCAATCCTGATGATGGATCCGCTCTACCCTTTCCCACGGTTGAATAACCTTCGTAAGAGCCGGGAGGCCCGCTCCGCTCGTACTGCTAGTATTACTCCCACTTGGCCCATCTTCATCTTTAGTGGCAGCAGTATTGATGGTCTTACTGATAGATGCATATTCACTAACTGCTGCAAAGGTAGGGCTGGAAAGAGCGCCATTGATTGTCAGTCCATCCTTGCGACTTGGGCTTCGTTCAAGCTGCGAGCTCGATCCAGAGGGTGAGATGGAGGGCGATGTAGGATGCGAAGGAGGAAGGACACCAGGTGGAAGGACACCAGGTGGTTGTTGATGAGCTGGCAGCGAGTGTTGATATGGAATCCTTTCATGTCCCGCAGAAGAATGTCCATTCTGCTGCTGCTCCTGGCCATTTCGATAATGTCCCTGATCAGAACCGCCATTATACGACCGTCCTCGGCTCATATTGCTGCCGTTATTGGCTTCGTATTGAGCAACAGCGTTATGGCCTCCTCGAGGCATTGCTTCCAGGCTTTCTTGGTCAGGTATATAGTTGTTGTTGCTCTGATGAGTCCTTTGTGACAGCGATGCGTTCCTGCGAGGAACGACTCTACCAGAGGCTTGGCTGCCAGGTGTAGGCATAGGATATGCTGCATTGTTGTTGCCGTCATTGTTGGCTGTGTTTGCACTGCTATTATTGCTATTATTGCTGTTACTATTGCTCAAGCCTTCTGTGTTGGCGAGCTCTGGCGGCAAGATACCCTCGTTGGTGTATGAGCCTTGATTGGGAAGAATGCGACGGCTAGCTTTCTTTGCAATCTCTGCCTGCTGTTCTAGCGTCATGTCCCGGTTTGAGCTCTTTGGCGGTCGGGAGGAAGAGTTGGAGGATGGGGGTGGTGGAGTATATCCTACATTTCCATTGCTATCAACCGATGTCAAGCTTCCAGTCCTATCCTCGTTGGATGGGCGACTTCTGGGGCCAAGTGGTGGTGATCGTTTATTGTTGCTGTTAGAGCTACCTTGTCCTTGTGATAGGTCCGTGATCGATTTATTATTTGAAAGAGATGCTACGATCTCATTTCTTTGATTCAATAACTGGTCACGTTCAGCTCTCCAGGATGACCCATTCAACCGTGAGGATTGGATGTCTTTCAAACTCTTGCTTCTTGTCAGACTCTTCTTTAAAGTTCTCTCACGATACAGCTCTGCGGACCCACCATTTAAGAACTCTTGCATTGCGCTTGAGCTTGTTCCTGGTGAACCTGCTTGTGAGACTGCAGAAGCAGAAGCAGGCGAAGGAGTAGATGTAGGCGATTCATTACGCCCTGTGCCTGTAGGAGAAGTTCCCCCAGTTGTTAGGGGGGTAGTCGTCCCTGGAAGACTAACTTCGTTCGCCAAGAAAGCTGGCAGATCACCTACAGGGTCTGACCATGACGGCTCAAAGAAGTATGGTTGCATTCTGCTCTTTGTCCATCGAGGTGTGCGGCCATTGATCATGGGGTTATCAATGTTATGGGTCGCAATAGGAATAGGGATCGTACATTGGTAGCTTGTGTCTCCACCAGCAAAGACGGATCGCTTGACACGAACGATACATACCAATTCATAAAAGACCTTGAGGAAATTGGATTCAAAAGTCGGAATGGAATGGGTCACACTTGAAGGTGGAATTGTGGTCAAGATATCGACTTGACCTGTCTCACCTGGTCGAACCTTGCACTCGACCGAATTAGTCATGATATCGACCTGGACCTGATTGCTAAGATTAGCATAGGTAGTGGTGAATGTGCCCTTGACTGTACGGCGTAAAACAACATCAATTCCCACAACTTTGTTTTGACTATTATTGATTACTGTTGTGGCCATTGACAATGGGTCGCCTTTGGAATGTAAAGACAAGCGAAGAGTAACATTATACGATATAAGTCTAATTGCTCTATAGCAACATGGCGCAAAACTACATGCGATTGCATATCATTGTTCACGACAATAGAAAAACCCTCCCTAACCTGGAACATAGATCTGTTGATGCATTCTGATGTCGAGTGCAATACCAGTGGCTTGCTTGTGAAGCTGATGCGAACTGTTTTTGGAAATAGCAGCACCGACGATATCATGGTATGTCCACTCCATTGGTTTTGGGGCAAGGACATTGGGAATGAATTGGCAGAGAACTTCTTCGGAGCTCAGAGACGGCTCAAACGGTCCATCCACATGCGCAGTCCAGATATAGCGAATAGTAAATCCCTCGAGATCCTAGAGAGCGAGTTATCCAAGGAATCAATATCCGTTAAGAAATATTCTGCTTCTATGGAATATGAACAAAGCAATAAAAAAAAAAAATAAAGAAAAAAGAGAGAGAGGGAGAGAGAGACACTTACAGGAATACAAGGAGGAAAATTGACATTAGGGACTTTGAGGGCAAAAGGGAAGGTGTGAGTGCCCGGGGCAATCTCTGTCCAATTGGCGAGCTCATTATCGTTATTATCCGAGCCAGAGACCATGACTTCAGTGTCAAAAAGAGTGATGACAGTCTGTCGGTATTTCTGTCGGACGGTGTCTCCATTCGATTCTTGACCGAGCACGATCGCACTTTCCTCAGCTGAAGGCCAAAAAAAAAAAAAAAAAAAAAAAAAAAGTAAATTTGTACATATTAATATACATTTGTAAGTCTGATAAAAAGTAATTATTTTTTGAGGGATGATTACACATTTCATGTGAAGTAAAAGTGAGCGACGCCACAATTTACATGCAAAGCCATGCGATTGACAAATAAAATAAATGTACAACATTTAGATAGAATGAATGACTTTAATGGGATTTGGAGGTCCCAATGTATTTTGAAAGAATCCAAATGGTAATTTGTGTTGTGAACCCACGGACGTTTTAAATATTGAAAGCTTCCCAAATCGACCCAAACAACATTAGCAACAAAATAAACAAAGAGAGTTATTGCAATAACATCTCTGTGAAATGTGGAATTGGCGCGTGTGCGACATTGAGGGTCATCTCAATAATCTTCAATAACGGTTTGTTTGCATCGACCAGCATTTCAAACTGCATATTCATCCCAACTGCATTCTTTGAGGCTCCGCAATTGTAATAGACGAAGCACCAGAGCAAACGAAAAGAGAAAAAAGTGATCACACGCATGCAGCGGGCAAGAAAGGGACAAAGGACGTTTTTTAATATATATGTATAAAAAAAAAAAAAAAAAAAAAAAAAAAACTCGGCATTATGCTCGCCATGGAACAAGCATTCCATGCACATGAACTTGCAGATGCAAAAGTTGTAGGTAGTGGAATGTCAACAAAGTGGCTCTGTCCTTTATTGTTATTTTACCTTTGAGTTTGACTCGGATGCCAGAAGCATAGCATGGTTTGATCAACTTCAATTCAACTTGGCCTCTAACAACAGTATTCGGCCGCAGTAAACATGTTGATCCTCCTTGTGCAAAATTAAGTGAGATTGTGGATCGTGGTAGTGCGTTGGGCGGTAGAGCCGGAGGCGGAATGGAAGGATGTTGTGGAGAAGAGACCGCCATTGAGGAAATTATGGTATTAAATGATGCTAAATGATGCTAATAGTGTCGTATTAAAAGAAAAAAAAGGATATCGGAGTGAAATAAGGTATAGATGCAGGAGGGAAGGAAGAAGGGTCCTTAGTGAAGGACAAAGGGCAAAGTGTAGAGTGTAAAAAGGACTGAAGTGTCAAGAAATGCTGGATTGATATGATGAATGCAATATGAAATACAAAATGAGATCAGACGAGGATAGGAGAATTAAATGAAATAAAAAGATAAAGAAATGAAGCAAGATGGCTAGAAGTGGAGTAAAAAAAGAAAAAAAGAAAGAAAGAAAGAAAGAAAGAAAGAAAAGAGAAAAGAAAGAAGAGAGGCTGGAGAAGTAAGTTTATACATTCAATTGATAAACTGAGCATGGTCCCCCTTGCTATTGTGAATCACTAATTCAGGAACTAAGGCTCTGGCACAAGCACAGGCACAAGAACAAAAATATACAAACACAGGAAATGAATTAAAAAGTACATGTAAAAATATATATTTCCATCAAGGAAAAATAGATGGAATTTGAGCACACATACTAGACTAAAGATGAGCTGTAATGGCCCTAAAAGCTGTTTTTCTAGGGGTCGTTGTTTGGAGTTAATGGATAGCACTAGCCGCGAGGGGGAAGCTGGGCAGTAGCTTAAGGCCCAAGCATCAATGAAATGAAAAAAGCAGTGAAGTGTCCAGGAAGGAGGACAAAGCACGGAAAGGAAAAAGGAAAAGAAAAAAGATGACGCGTGTGTGCTTGCTCAGTTTTAATACACATTTTGCGAAAATTATTAGGGACATGCAATGACGGGGAGAAATGTTCTACATGACAAGAAGACTCAGTTGTGCTCAACAAGGTCAAGACACAACTTTTTTTTTTTGCAAGGACCCATATTTCATCATAGCATGCTACGATAGAAAATGAGGACCTGGCCAAACCCTAGTAAAGTTTCGCGCTGACTTTCTTTCCCATCACGACTGCACACACCCTGGCCAGCGATGAACTAGCGCAGTGCTCTCAAAGGAACACAAGAGTAAACGCAATCAATCATTCGCAGGGTGCAGGTAAAAACAACATCATTAACTGAATCGAATACAAGAAACGGAGTGAAAATGTCACGGTGTTTAGACTACAGTAAAAAAAGTAATAGTAGGTGGCAACGAGCTAATATTACACGGGTCTGGCGTAACAAAGAATACGAAAAGGACCTCTCTCGTTATCATCAAATGATCAAGACATCAATAAAAGTACCAATTATTCAGATGGGACATAAAGGAGAAGAAGAAAGGTCATTTTGCCGCTTTTCCTTGTGAGATGTGAAGTTTCTAGTTGACACCAAATGTTGACATTAGACCATAGAACCAGAGGAGTTCTTTGTGCCTTTGCATATATTATTGTAAGCACCATTATATACAATAAGTTTGCCTGCGCCAATATTCGATGTTCGATAACAGATTTATCGCGTAAATTGAATCAAAGAAAAACATGAAATGAACAAAATCAAATCACTACGCCATCGATGCGCGAGAAGTAACCATGGCACAAAATGTTTTTTTTTTTGTCTCATTTTGCCTGGCTCGTGGCATCGTACAGAACTGATCATGACCTGCTTGCGTGCTCTCATACACTATACCTGTGCCATGTTAAACACCGCCCTTCCCCCAAGCAACAGAAATTAGTCAAGGTTCCTTTCCACTTTCGCCCTTTTTCCTCACCTTTCTCCTACTTTTTAATATACAATTGTGCACGGTTGCTACGGCTATTACAAAACCAGAGGACTGTCCCTCATGCTCAACCCCTCGCTTCCCAAGGTAAAGTTTATAAACAAGCTTGATGATAAAATTGGGCCTTGTGGTTGAAGCAGACATTCAATATTTGGTAAACAAAAGTATAAATCGAGGTATTGTAAAAGTGAATGTGTGCCCGCCTACTTTAGCAAGTTGGTTTAGTGTAATGAGAAACAGAAGGGACGTGGCTCTCATACTCAGTAACCCTGACCTGACGTGTGCCGCCGTAGCTTGCCTTTGGTCTGGCCCTTGCGATCACGAAGCGGAAGAAGTAATTTGTAAAATTGGGCCTTCTTCCTTTGGTAACAATTATTTTATGGTTTATGAGCAACTTGCTCGATAATTAACTTCCCCATCAGCTGCCAAGAATAAAATAATTATCAGTCATTCCATCGGTATATATCAGAGTTCATGAATATCATTATATATACTTGTTTAGAGTACAGTTGTTTTAAACCAACCGATGCTTCTGAAAATTCATGTATAGCGTTCTGTCCATCAGGCACGCTTTTCTCGCATTTTGAGCCATCATTTCTGTCCAATTATTTAGAACGGAGCTTTATCATTCCTGAGCGCTCTTCTACCACATGTTTCTCATCAGCATTTCAGCGAGCTTTCTTTTTTCTCATAGATCTTTCAATCTTTCTTTTCATTGATTTTGATTTGAGGGCCAGAGTACCATGTAAAACTGGAATGTACTATTGAATAGATTATATACTATCCCCATAAGTGTGCTTTGTCGATCTTATTACATTGAACCTGAGCAAAAGGCACGAGGGACGAAAAAGTGGAATGAGCTTGGCCCAGGGCGCACAAAAAATAAGGTGGATGTCTCTGCTTTGCTCACATCTCTCATTGGGCTCCATAGCGAAGAGGCGTGGCAGAATAAAAAAGCATAAGAGATCTTGTAGGCACAACAGACACAAATGGGTCCTAATGTTGCATCTAGTTTGAAGAAGCAGATCAAACAAGACGACCCATCCTTTGGTTCTTGCTCCTCTATCAGTACCTCTAAATCATAGAAGAAACTTCTATTGACAGGAATCGCGCTACCGGGTATTGTGTTTGTATTTTTAGAGTGACGTTGGAGGCCATAACCATGTTTATACTTTAGCCTAGTGGAGCTCCGATAGTCCATTTCTTCAATGACCTTTGGAACCCAAAAATACGATGTGGTAGCTTTGTTTTTCTCCAAGGACAGAAGCGGCGCATTAGCTCCTTAACAATTCATATGTTTTAGCGTCTTTTTTTTTTTTTTTTTTTTTTTTAATATACCAGTAGGCCATTACACAAAAAGAGAAGTCTCTTAATAGCTTCAAATCTCAGCCTTTAATAGATGCATTACAAAGCATCAGCATGTGAGCCATCATCTATTCAATCGGTCCGGAAAAGTAGACGAGTATATAGATCATTTGTATTGTATTAGAGAGCTTTCATCATAATGGTGCATTGCCACAATTAATCAAGTGAAGAAAAAAGCCTCTTCCCAAGTGTATGAATAAAATCGTCCCTTAGCATATTTAGCACACAAGTCCAATGCCGATAGAAGAGAAAGCTCATTCCTCATATAGACTCGGAGCGCTCCTGCCTGTTATGGTTGTTTGATATAGTCCTCTCTTATACATCACTCATGCACCAACATCTCATCGACATGCAAACCTCTCCGCCTATCTGTTGTATCTGTTGCCCAGCTTCAGTGAATATTAGGTTCGACCCAATCTTCTGCATGGCATTGCCATTTTCAGCTACGTCTATTAGAAAGAGCTAGCTTGAGCCTATATAGTGAACTGATTCATTAATGAACTCTATGCTTCTTGTCCTTGAGCCCATGGCGGTAATGCATACGTTCATTAAAATTCTGTACTATGTATCAAAAACCCTACTGGTTACTCCTATGGAGGATAGCCCTGTGCAAAGTCTCCGCAGTAGAGTATAGAACCCCAATGACTGGACTACTTCTGCTGTCCATGCTCAGACTATAGAAGCATTCTCTCAAACACTCTGCGGGATCGCGAACCCTCAATAAAAGCCCACTAAAAATTGTAGTCCCCGCTTTTTTTTTTTTATTCTTTATTCTTTATTCTTTTTTCCTTTTCTATCCTCATTCACAATAGGTATTCTTTTTCTTGGGCATTAGCACCTCGCTATGTCATGCGGTTAGTTTGGTTCATATGAACATGTACTTCGCTTACATTCCTCTTGTACTTCCCAAATACAGGGAGCTGCCTCCTGTTTTCTACTATAAGCAGGATCCAGGAAAAGAACATCCTTCCTGTAGTGAATAGACTTAGCATCTTCGCCAAATTGCATGCAAAATACATGAGCAATATAAAATGTAATAATACAATTCTTCATAGATCTTCAGAAACTTGTAGCTTAAAATGGAGTTGATGCTTGATGGATAGATGCAGTTGTCTCTGGAGTGTACATATCACTCATAACTGGAGCCAAAAAAAAAAAAAAAAAAAAAAAAAAAAAGAGAGAAAAATAGATCGTCTTATGCCTAAACATCGCCAAGTTCTCAAATATCAATATCCTCTATACTTTCGTTTCAAGAGGATTGGGTGGAGATACTACCGTTTTTATAAAGCCAGGGCCAGCATTATAACCATTAATGAGTGTCGGCTATGATGTCAAAAACATGACATGGAGTGACGCCTTAGATATGTCTACCCGAAGTCAACAAAAAGGGAGCTGAATAGGAATTATTTGACCTTTCTTAAGCGTAGAATCATGGATACTGAACTGATTCCATTCAATACTTCTTTCACCCTTCCGCTTATGGCTCAGCCTTCTAACGTATAGACTGCTTTTGTTTCCAGTGATAGTGACGTATTGTTCCTGCAGGATTAGTAACTACCATTTGTGACCCCCACCCATACTCCCTGCTTCTTACTTTGCATCTTTTTAATCTTACCAACTGAGAGAGATCAATTAAAGTTAATTGCTGTAGCGCAAACTGGTTGTCCAACTTGTGGAGGCCTATCAGCTTCCTAATGGCCTGACGCTCAAAAGCTCTAAGAACGTACCGTGTAAATAGAGAATAGAGACTGAAGGGAATAAATGCTCAATGGTAATGACCTCAGTGTTCCCCCGGTCAATAATGTCTGTATTGGGCTAGAACATGGATTCCTTTATCTTCGAATGAAAAAAGATTCCTCATTCCTCCTCTACGAGTGCTTTTAGTCAACTGATAAGGATATAGTCCTCACAGCTTTTATCCAGGAAAAAGGCCACAAGCATCCCGAACCCTATGTCAGGGTTCTTTACAACTATAGTAAAGAAAACCTGAAGAAAAGCATTTTAAAAACGCCAGAAAAAAAAAATTCTTGGTGCTTGTCTTAGGACATGTTGTGTCACTTTCATTTGCAAGCACTGTATGATCTCAAAACTGCAAAGCCGTTAACGATTATGATAAATAATTAATCTGACATCCATTCGTGTCAGTGATAACGATGGATGATGAACAATGTTTCACATAAAGCATTTGGTTATATTGGTTAACGAGATCAACGAACGGATAATATAATGACTTCCCAGACTCAATTTCAAAACCGGGAGGGTTTGTTGTCCAGCACAAAGATATCCGCGCTATTTTCCGCCTGTAGCCATCAGAGCAGCGGCAGTAGCGCTTTATCTTCAAGCAAGTTGACTTTGAAAGAAAAAGGTGTGCTCCAAACAGCCCAAAACGCAAAGCCTAACCGCTCGGTGTCCAAAAGAAAGGAAAGGAGAAAAGATCCATGTTGTTTAACGAAGATATGTTTATTCAAGTGATTAAGCATAGAGAACGATATTGGCCACTATAGCCTTGATGTTATGCCATTTCAGCACCGTGAATTTCTTACGTTCAATATGGATACATCCATATCAGTAACTTTAACGAGCCCGTTGAGCTTTGCGTTGGTAGTGTTCCATCGTTGAGGTAGGTCATTGGGTCGACGATTGGGCAATTTTTTTTTTAAAAAAAAAAAAAAAAAAAAAAAAAAACAGTAACAGTAGCAGCCAAATACACTATTACACGACGCAGTAAGCCTGCTGATTCTTCAAAGGACCCAACTATAGGCATGTTGTTGTTACCGCTTAAAGTATATATTTACGCTCGACATAGATTCAGTGGAGACACAGAAAGGCGATGAAAAATGCTTTATACTTGTTGACATTAGTAAGCGTCATAAGGATATTTCTATGAGCAAGAGAGCGCGATAGTCCTAGTTTCTTTAATCAAGACTACCAAGGGCTGTGACGCAAACATCTTACACAATTGTTATATGAATGCTGTGTCTTTTTTTTTTTTTTTTTTTTGTATTTCTGCATGCATGCACGCACAAACAATCTTTCAAGTAGTAGCACAGCAATAAACACCATTCGTAATCATAAATATTTAGTACTACTATGAGCGGGGGCGGTGATCATTGCGTGGGAGAGGGAGAGAGAGATGAAAGAAGAGGGCGTGAGAGAGAGAAAGAAATGGCAAAGGATGGAAGGTTAATAGAAGGTTATTGAGGAAGGATATTTCATTAATTGTGACAAAGAATAGTTCCGGCTTTGGTTTGATTCTCCGAAAAAAGGAGAATAGAAGACCGTGCATAATCCACATGCCTGTAAACATTCCCTCTCTCCACAATTGGGTGAAACCCTCGTTCCTCGTCGTAATCCAAACCCCTCAATATTGACTTGCTTGAAAAAAACAGGTTACAGGGAAAAAAAAAAAAACAAAGAAAAAGACCTCATTGTCAATTTGGTAAGGATGGTGAGTGCTAGATAATAATGATATGCTTAATCGATCAACGGAGCATTCTGTTGTCGGATCGGAGTGATTATAAAATAGGGGGAGTCGGGGAAGAAGGATGGACATGAGCATATTAAGCACATGTATAAATATACATATTAAGCATATTAAGCATGCATAGGACAGTTGAGCAGCCAAATCAAACGGTCTTTTCCTTGACGGAGGACCTCATTTGGACATTGCGGACTTCTCAAACGCATAAAAGCGAATTCATCTCATACATGTGCTTGGCACGTGCTGCGGCAAATAAAAAGGCAGCTCTTATGGTTTTTTTTAATACAAAAAGCATTGCATTGGACATTTCATTCATTCCATCACACCATTAACGACATGGAAACACACAACTAACGACTTTATTTACTTCTCTTTGTTACGTCCTCCTTTATCTCTCTTTACTCTTTTCTCTTTTCTATCATTTTAACGACCCCCCCCTCATTTCAGCATAAAGAGTACCTCTAAAAAAGGCACTTTGTAAGTAACGAGTTTTTTTTTTTTTTTTTTTTTTTTTTTGCCATCTCGCCGTGGGAGTACAAATTGGAACATGTACCAGTCGAGTCGAACCTCATATCGGACGCACGGGCAGAAAAAAAATATCGCATAGAAAAGCATTGTTCTTCTGACATCTCTTTCCGTTTCTTTTCTACTCAGTTCCTCTTCCTTACTTCTTCTTCTTCCCTACTTCTTCTTCTACTTCTTCTATTTCTTCTTCTACTTCTACGACTTCTTCTCAATTTTACGAACTATTTCAGCTCAGCATTTATATTGCAGCACCTCTAAACATACGCATTACGCCAACGAAACGAAGACATCCATTTTATATTTCTTAGTTATTTTTGTTTACATTTACACGATGAGTATCGCACTTCTTGGTTTGGCAGCCTGCATGGTGCTCACAAGTCTAGCCATGTTGAAAAACATGCTTACACAAAAACTTGGCTCTTTAAGGGATCCGTTGCAAGTCTACAATACACTCCAGAGCATTGATGTGTTACCACTTCGAATGCGAGGCTGGATCTTTTCAACTATCGTTGGTTTTGCCAATCCATATGCTCGTACTATTAATTTCCGCATCACAGAGCTGCGCAAGGGTAAAGCTTGTGGTGTCATGAAGGTAAAAAAAAAACCCCCCAATGTTATTATCATTAAGAAAAAATGTTTTTGTTTTTCCTTTCCCTCTGTATTCAACTCGAGAAAGAAAAAGAAAAGGGGTTTGGTTCAACGTGCGTTACAAGGGGAGAAAGAGAGATGAGTGGCAATCTGAAGGTTGGTCAGATGAGGATTGAAAAACAAAGCGCTCTCTCTTTTTTTTTTTTTGGTGGGGCTTTCCGCACAGGTGATGGCGTCTATGACCAAACGACGTGTCGCGCTCTCTTCTTTATCTATTTTTTTTTTTTTTTTTTTTTGCATTGATTCAAGGGGACACGCATTATGCTAAAATTTGTTGGTACTTTTTCTTTTTTTTTTTTTTTTTTTTTTAACAATTACCGTAGGAGACAAAAACAATCTCTAATCCCTTCAGGTGCGTTCATGCAGCTGCTCTTATCACCTTTGGAGAAACAGTTGGAGGGCTTGCACTCTTTACACTGCTCGGTAAAAAAGATCGAGCCATCCTTACTAACATTACTGCTGAGGTAACTATTAAATGTTATTACCGTTATTATCATTTTTTACTTGATCTATGATTATATAATATGAATATTAAAAAAAGAAAAATAATAATAAAGATTCTTCGTAGCTGGTTCGTCAATTCTTTTAATTCAACCCTAATCTAACCCCTCCTCCTTCTTCTTAAAAAAAAAAAAAAAAAAAAAAATTACACAGTATATCAAAGTATCTCGAGGATTGCTAACTGCAAGCTCAATTGTCACACCAATTAAGGATCGCGATGCAACTGAAATTACGACACATGTATTGATCAAGGATGCTTCCTTTGAAACCGTTTCCAAACTTACCCTCACTTGGAAAGTAGATCTTAAGGATTAAAAAAAAAAAAGTAACAGGGGAAGAAAGAGTGGTGTATCCAATATTCAATAAATACATTGAATACATTATTGACACGATGAAACGCATGTATTAATAAAATAAAATTACATTTTTTTTTTTTAATCAAACACATGTTTGGTGAATGGCCAATGCGCATCCATTAATGTTATCTCAAATCTAATAAACATGCTTTATTTTATGAGAGGGGGGCTATAGACAAATGAAAACGATTCTTTTTTTTTTTTTTTTTTTTTTTTTTAGCGATGAGGAGTCTGAGGAGTGGCAATTGCTGCAGCAGGATAAAAGTAAACAGCGACAGCCACGATAAGATATGTGCTCAGTAACATGGCACCTTCTAGCCAGTTAGATTCTCCATCTTGAATCAGATAGTTAACAATTAGAACAGACACGAACAAGACGCAGGTCTCAAAAGTGTTAAAGAACAGGGTCATGGGCCTATCAATAATCCAACCAAGGATCACTAACAACGGTGTGATGAATAGTGCAACCTGCATAGATGACCCAACAGCAACACCGATAGCCAAGTCCATCTTGTTTTTCATCGCCACTGAGATGGCAGTGTAGTGTTCAGCAGCGTTGCTAACAATAGGCAAAAGGATCAAACCAATAAATGTTGGGCTGAGGTGCGCTGTCAGCCCATCCATCGAGCCCATCATGTAATCCGCGCAGACAACGACCAAAACCGTGATCACGATCAAGAGCATGACACTCAACCACAAGGGAAGAATAGGCTCTTCTTCTTCTTCACAAGTGACCGAGTACAAATGATTGTGGGTCTTGAGCTGGAAGACCAAGTATAGCACATAAACTGCCAACAATACAATCGAAGTACCATAGGACAGGTTTCGAATGTTGGAGGTCTGATCAATCTCTGTAGCAGTCGCATGGAAAGCAGCAGGGATCAGCAAGGACAAGCAAGACAAAGACAAAAGTGAAGCTGATGTCTGTGCAGCAGTCTGATTGAAAGTTTGAGACGCGTATTTGTAGCCTCCAAAGACAAAACAGAGACCGAGGACCTGAATGATAAAAAAAAAAATACAAATGGGTATATGAGTATTGAGATGTCTGTATATATTGTTAACTTATGACTTGTAAAAAAAAAGGACAGAAAGCCTAAAAAAACTTACCAATAATAAGTTTGAAAGAACAGAGCCGAGGACAGCTGCTTGAACAACGTCAATCTCATTTTCCTTTAATGCAATGATGGCGATGATGAGCTCGACAGCGTTTGCGAAGAAACCGTTGAGAATTGCACCAGGGATCTAATAGATCAAAGTCCAAAAAAAAAAAAAAAAAAAAAAAAAAAATGAATAATGATGACCAGAGCACGAACTTTTGAAAAGTCAAGAAATGCCTTGTCAGGAAAATAAACATACCTCACCAAGCCGTAATGCGGTTTCTTCTGTTGTGTAGGTGAGAACTGGAAAAAAGTTTAAAGGTCCACGTGTGCGGAACAAAAAAAAGGTTTAGCATTGTCAGTAAGGTAAGCGCAGTTCATCCCGATTTTTTCTTGTGTTCCACAAAAAAAAAAAAAAAAACGGAAAAATGAATCGTTGAACTTTTGGTATGATGGACCTTTCCTTTTCCCAACACACCCTAAAGACTATCCCCAACACAATTGCCTGAATCATTGAGAGAGCTTTTTGTGTATTATGCTATACCCTGATCTGTAGTGTTCTGCTTTGCTCTGTCCTGTTCTGTTCTGCTTTGCTCTGCTCCGCTTTGTTCTGTTGATTTTGTACAGGGGAAAGAGAAAATGTCTTATCGCCCTGTCGTACAGTTGTTGCAATTGCCCGGACCACCCAATTTTTTTTTTTTTTTTTTTTTTTTTTTTTTCACCTTTGTACACTCATTCATTTGACGATCGGACACAGAAAAAAAAAAAAGTTCTCGCATACTTAAAATTTAAGCTGCATGACATGAATGGAAAAGTGAGAAGAAAAAGAAAGATGGCATCGAATACTCCAATCAACTTTCTCCAATGGATCACCAAAAACCAAAAAAAAAAAAAAAAAAAAAAAAAAAGCGAATGAACACAAAAACGCATAAACACACGATCTTAGCTTACGTTTTGCTAGTGGAATGATGGCAATGAAGTTAAGGATAAAAATAGCTACTTTTGACCAGTGAAGCTTCGCGGCAATGATACCAAGAGGTACAAAGACAAGAAGCACATTCAGTTTGGTCGCAAAGAGCACTGCCTTGAGGCATCCAAGGACAGAGAGTGGTTGTGGACGTCCACCATGTACAGAGTCTAGGATGGGGTCGTTGTTTGGGGGAAGGGTCCGACGAAGAGATCTCTCAGAGCGGAGAGTGACTTTCTTTTCTGAATTGATGCTAAATGACCCAGCTCCTTCAGCCGAGTTAATTGCATTGTTATCCTGAAAAGATGAGGGTCTACTCGTTGTGTTGTAAGGAGAAAGATGTGTGCTTTGGTTGCTAGACTGATTGATCCTATCGAGTTCAGTTGTCGTGATGGAGTCATGTTGTGACATGGTTTAATAAGGTGTGAGTGTGTGAGTGTGTGAAAGGCTATTTGTAAGGTGAGCAAGTAGGTAAAATTTGTTGTTTAGGAAGAGTGAGACAACAGCACACTGTTTAATGCAGAATGAGTGAACGAGAGGGAATGGACAACGGTTCGGATGAGGTGAGATGAATGGAGATGGAAACCGGAGTCAATCAATTAAAAGAGGAGGGAGAGGATTAAGAAAATCAATGTGGAGGGAAAGTGCGAAAGAGTATGTGAGCGAGAGACTTTTTTAGAGCTCGATTTTTTTTTTTTTTTTTTTATCTCGTTGGCAACAAGTTCTCCCTTAGTGTCTGTTTAATCTTATTACTTTTTGATGCTGTTCCTTTCTGGGAGTGATGCTGTTCCTTTCTGGAAGCACAGCCGCCATTCGTCTCTCGGTTAAAGGCACAAAAGGGTTTCCTTTTCCTCTATCTTACTTTAAACAGTCCAGGGACAAGTTGAAACCGCTAGGGAAAAATATAGAAGTTTCATCTTGCAGCGAAATAATTCGTCCATTCACCCACTAGTCTAATTACTTTCAACGAAACTCCCTTCATTGTGTGTTCCCTGTTCTAAGCTTTTGGATCTTGAGTCATATAAACATATTAATCGCTGTAGAAGCCTCCCCTGATAACTCTCATCGGTTTATTTATTCCCTTTACGATGACCACCAAAATTGGTCTCTTTTTGCGCACATGGACATGCTATAGCCCAATTAGGCCTTGGAAAATCTATTTCAATCGACTGACCCCCTTTTTCTGGACTTTTGCCCAAAGGTTATTTTTACATCTTTCCGATGCAAGTGATAAATTGACCTATTAAACTGGGAGCATACTCATTCATGTACATGTACATGTACGTTCTTCTCTCCCTTTCCTCCCTAATTATCATTCATCGATACTATGTCTAATTGACAGGATAGGACAGAGCGCGACATTTGGTCATGCAGCAACAACATCATTGCAAAATATGACTGACTACTAATTCCATTTCTAATCAACATGGTTAGGTTTCCCCTTCATATACTCCTGTACTCTGTATTTAAAAAAAAAAGCCTGTCTGTGCCTTCACTATGGCACTTTATCAACCCATCGAAATCGAAAAGCAAAGACAGGGTTTCATGAAACATTGTGGCAGTGTCACAAAAAAAATCATGACATCATTGCCCAATCTCTTCTATTTGATCCAAGCTTTTTCTTGTGCCTTGGACTGAATGTGTCAGAGCTGCAGAGCTGCATGGAAGTTTCTTCTTCTGAACAGATTCACTCTCCAGGGCGTTCAGGTGCGTTCAAAAGGTGCGTTCATATCGTTGGTCACCATGACGACACGCGTCACACGAAGAACAAAATACGATGTCATTTAGTACATGAACGTTTTGGAACAGTACGTCATTTTAGACAATTTTTGTCAAGCATTAACCTTTTTTTTTTTTTTTTTTTTCACAGATATAAAAACCACGTCCTTTTCAAAAAACAAATCACATTTACAACTTCAACTACATCTTCAAACCTCAACTACAAATTTTCAACATGAACAACCACACTACTGAACAAAAGCCATCCACCGTCGAGACCATCAAGGAGAAGGCCTCCCACTTGCTCCACAAGGTCACCGGAAAGGATCACCATGAGGGTGAGACTACCCATACTACTACCCACCCTGAAGGCCAACACCATCATGGCCAGGCTAACACCCATGCTCCTGCCCCTGTCGCTACCGGTCACAATGCTGAACCCATCTACGATCCCAACACCGTTGCTGCCGCCGCCGCCCCCGGAGCTCACAACAACCTTCCTACGCATGCACATGTTTCTCCCAATGTTCCCACTGCAGCTGCTACAACTGTATTCCCAACTGGGCCTCAAGGCAATCACCATCACGTAGATCATCATCATGGTGGAACTACTACTGGCGCTTCTACCGGTGCTGAGGCTGTCTTCCCTAGCACTGGTGCTGGTACTGCGCCTATTACTGGTGCGCACGGCAGCCATCACCATGTCGATCACCACCACGGTGGCGTTAACGCTGATGGTGCTACTGTCGGTACTGCTCTTGATGCTACCCATCACAACAACCTCACCCACAAGTTGGGCGAGCATCATAGCCACGAAAACCCTCACCATGGTGATGACCCTCAACATGGTGTCACTACTCGCTTGGTTGGCGTTCCCGGTGACGTTAACAACTTGGAAGGCGTTCACTTGAAGCCCACCATGTAAAAAAAAAAAAAAAAAAAATTAGTTAATGAACACTGTAATATAACTCTCCAACCTAACCAATAGCGAATAATAAAACCTCAAACTCGCCATTAAAAAAAGATTACTATCACTGCAAATGGTTGTATATATTTTTGTAAAATCTTCTGGATCATGCTTCCAAATGTGGTAATGTGGTAGGCGGTTGATTTTCTCTCCTTTCATATTGCGGTCTCTTGAAATAGACCGAAAAGACGCGGAGCGCTTAATGGAGAATGCCATCACTAAGTCACCACTTTTTGCTTCTTAAAAAGAGAAAGTCAAAACATGAAGAACGAATGTACATTCCCCGTCGTGACAATAGCGATAATAATGAACATTGAACACAATTTATGATCACCCTGACTTCTAATGTGTATCACTGCGGTGTATATTGAAAACTTTTTTTTTTTTTTTTTTTTTTTTTGCATTAAACATAATTAATTGTAATTCTTATTTGCATCTATTAAGAAAAATAAAAAATAAAAAAAATAAAAACTTCTCTCACACGCCCCTGCGCAAGCGGTCGAGCTCGCGCTTCAAAGCTTCGTTCTCCCTTCGCAGACTCTCATTCTCACGAACCGTCAACTGTAATTGTCTTTCGATCGACTGACTTGAACCCGCACCTTCCTGGCGGGTAGCTGTTGAATTCGCTATCGCTGCTATCGCTGTACCAGCAGGGATAGCAGTCTGTGACATATCTGGGCCTGTAGTTGCAGCCACGCCAGTCTTCAAACCGAGTCCTGTAAAGAGCTCTGAAAGGATAGCTCGTTGTTGTTCGTTCTGTCGATATAGCGTTTCCAAATGCGTATAGACAGAGCTCACGCCTTGTACATCCATCAACCCT